TTTATGCTGCACACTCAGTAGAAGTGATTTCTAGCTGTCACCTGACGAAGCTGTTCACGCTGTTGAAGAATGTTAATGTGTTAGAAATGGCTGTTTGCTTGCTGCTTCATGCTGTAGTCGGCAAGATGATGGCAGTCTCTAAATAATCGAGTCCGGAACAGACAATCCATTGACTGACATCATGAGCATCAATCTATGCAATTGGGATATGATTACATGCATCGACCAAGTCAGCAAGCTTGACCACCCGATAGTCGCCTCTTTCCGACAAGCATGGGTTGCTGAAGACCAATTCTAACCCAATCTTCACAAGTCAGAAATACCGGTATTTTGGAGTTTTACGTCCAGCTTGACGCCCCGCCTAAATACAGTCATGGATATATCACCATACACTTGCACTGGTACACAAATGTACACAAATAATAATTATGAGTATTTTCTAATCCGGGAACAGAAATGTATTTTATTTCAAATGTGCTACAGGAGTGCCCCTTGTAATGTAAGTGAGTCAACAATAGGAATATTTCAGATCCCTCTTCAACTAGGTGAATTTCATCTTGCCACCATTTAGTTGATAAGTGGATGTAATGAATCCCCCGGTATATTACCTGAAATCATCCAGTGAATTATGCATGAGCATGTTACTGGTTGGCCAGGTTACCTGGTGGAAGAACACTTATCACTGGTTCATTTGGAAAATATAAGATCATTTCTAAGTGTGTCCATCAACATATTTAACCATTACGATTTTCATCATGCCATTGCAACTTTAAAACAATGAACTTCAAACCCAATCACATTATCCAGGGATAGCAGTTTGAATTGGAAGAAGGACTCAGGTGGACATTTCTAACTCTGTCTACCAAAAAACACCTACCAAAGAAGTATATACGTCTTTGAAATTACCAAAGACAACATTCACAAGTGCTAAGTTGTGAACACGGTCGGACAAACGACTAATTTCAGAGCCATATAATTCATTACTTTCAGTTATTGATAACTGCATAAGAATAATTAGTATCTGTTCTACAAACAAGAGATGTGCAACCTGTTTCTATTACGTATGTCTGCAGGTCACAGCATCTCCAAGTGGGACATGTTTGGCCGCTACACTGGCCTTTGTCTCGCAGCTGGGAGACTGAAGAAAGGCAACAGACTTTGCAAACATTGGTGTATAAAGAGCCACAACTTGGCAAATTTATAGTGACGAAACAATAAACGAATTGCCAGTTTTTCCACCAACATGAGACTTAACGGGATCGCAAACAGACTGCACAGACGAATTTAAACTTTTGTTGGCCCGTGACAAATAAACATTTTTACCTAAAGATGGAATAAGAGATCTTGATGCAACAAGAGGCTGGGCAGTAAATGTGATATGTTACATGCTTAACACCATACTCAGCAATATTTCACCTACATCATGGCCTCTCATAAGTTATCAGATCTGGACCAGACAATCCATTGACTGATATTATGAGAAACGACTAATGTCATCTGGACGCCAGATAGATTGGTTGGTCTGGCTGGGGTCACTGCATGGCATTATGGATTGTTGGTCATAATATCATTCATTGGATTGTCTGGTCCAGACTTGCTTATTTACAAGTTGCAGTCATATACACGGTGAGGTGTGGTGAAATGGGGTTTAACGTCGCGTCCAAGATAATGGCACTTATAAAGCGACGTGCATGTACGTGTGTGTGTTTCTGTGGCTGATTGTACTAGTCCGGACTGATGCCGATTTAAAGTGCTAGTTCACTGAGATACCATGCCGCAGTTTAACATGAATACCCCACTCAGACACAGTATACTGACTCCGAGCCGACCAGGCCTTGTTTTAGCCATTAAATGCTTAGCGCCAGACAGGGTAACAACAAGTACCATCTTTCAACGTCTTTCGGTATGACGCCGTCGGGGATCGAACCCCGGACCTTCGGCTATCCAGGCAGATGCCCCACCACTAGACCATGGAGGCGGTCTCATATACATGGAATGAGGCTGAGTATGACGTTAAACAGAAAACAATAATTTTTTTCTTAAGAAGATAAAAATTAGTTTTCTGTGACATCAAACTAGCCATTGAGGACATTGCCTATACATTACATTTACCCTTTGAAAATGTTACTAGTCACATGCAAGCAGGCTAGTGTTAATTTCTAGCACTGACAATATGTAGAATTAAAAATGATAATAATCCTCTGCAGTAAGTCATAGCAAAATCTACCTATTCTGCTTTGAAATGGACAAAGAACACTGTGTCAAAATGTATTCAAAATGACATAGTGTAATGTTTTGTGACAAACTTCTCCTCAGCTACCATTAGAAATCTCTCAAAGTGTAACACATTGTTGTAAAAATACAATTATAAATCCACCCTGCCAATGACATAAACATCATACTGAATGGGTGTTCCTAACATCATCAGAAATGTCCAACAGTCTTACGTTCTGACATTTCAAGCCTCTGGTAAAACAAATATTATCCTGCTTTCAAATATTGACGACAAATAATATTTCATAATGAAACAATATTACCCAAGGAGAAACACATACCATTTTATATCATAAACACAATGTCACAAAATGTCCACCTACTTTTCCATGATCAAGTTTATACTCTATCATAGCTGATCCTAAGGCAAATAATAAAACTAATAATTATTTAACACAATATTAAACATTTTATTCAAAGATGAATAACAGCTTATGCACGAGACACTGTGATGTATATGTCATCAGCAAGGTATATCTCATTACAACATCAATTTAAGTACATGTAACCATGGCAACCACAAGGTCTCCTTAAACACAAATGTCATAATAGCAACCAGTTTAAACTGGACTGAAAATAACTATTTGTCTCTACGAGTCAGTTGAAGACAAAATTTGTTTCCTAGTCCAGTAAATGCTTTTCATTGGAAGTTATGACTAATGACTAACATAATAATGATAACATAATATTTTTAAATATTTACATTATGATGGATTATGACACTACATGTATTATCATATGTACCTTGCAAAAGTGAAAGGTTTATTTCCAAGTTGGAAAATGTCACGTTATTCATTGTTGGAATCTATTTTATCAACATCAAAAACAGAAATAGTTTTAATTACTCTCAACCAATGAAAGTGCCATATACCTATTGATGACACACCTACTGATAATGCTAATCACAATCTATGTCTAGGGAATAATAATGATATTTCTTATGATGCAATCTATAACAAAAATACCCTCTACTGCAGAATGTATAGGACAATCATAAGTAACAATTCTGTATTGTTGAGCTAGAGACGTAAATGCCAGTTGTTAAGTAAAACAACATTTTATGGAATAAAACCAGTATGTGTGACAGGTGTTGAAGACATAAACATCACAATCTACCACTATTCATTCCTTGTAGGGCTGGGATGGATAACTCAGGTACTGACCCAGGTACCCACAGGACTACCCAGACAAAAAATATTGACAAAACTTATCTATAACTCTATAGTTACACTACAAGTCACTAATTTTCGCATTTCTTTCTGAAATTTCACATTTCTTTCAATGCACCATTCCTTCTGACTTTTCATATGGTTGAAGAAGTATAATACTTCAGTCAACTTCAGTGTATGCATGACAAGATCGTTTAATACATGTATCTAAATACATATTGCCAGGGCTATGGTAAAAAAATTCCCCATCAGAAATCATGTACCTACCTCTTGAGACCTACAGCGGGTACCCAGGTAGGGCCGGGTAATAAGGTGTAGGGTACCCGGGAAGAAAATTTGGACTCGTCTCAGCCCTAATTCCTTGGACTAGCCCCATATGATTGATTCCACTGCACAATGCATTGAACAGCACAACATTATAAATAGCCACGAGGACAGTTCCCCAGGAATTGTTACTCATTCTCACAAGAATTCAATGTGAAAATAGACACTATTATAATCAGACAGTATGTGCGGAGAAAGGAAAACAGGTGTGACAACATGTTAGGAAAGCACTAAACTACTTCTTTTTCAAATGATTTTATTTACAGAATGTAATAAAAATGATTAAAAGGTAAACAGAAGATTTTTAGAAGCAAGTCATGTTTTACAAATACGGTCAATGTGTGATGAAACAATTCTGCTAGTTTTGAGGTTTCTTTGACCATCAACAATCTTTCAGGTGGTCTTGAAAAGGTTTAGCATGAATTCTAACCATGGTTACTTCAAGCTCATCTACCATTCATTATAAATATTTTGACTACATTAAATAATTGACTACTACATCAAATAAATAAAAACAATATTTTAAAATACTTCTTTTTTAATCTAAGTTTACAATGCCTGTGGTACATGATTTTTAAATTTTTTGAAATACTGACTTGATGGTTATATTTTTTTTCTTTTGCCACCAAATGCTGTCACATGTAAACTATTTACGAGAACTCAGTCTCATCAAATATCTTAATAAATAATAACCATCACTATTAAAATTATGTTCAAAAGGCACCTTTACAAAAAAAATACTAGTCATTAGCAGAAGGTAGTTAGTTCATTAATCAATATGCAGAAAACCAGCCACAGCAGCACATTGAAAATACCATTTCAGAAAGTACACAAAAACGTTATTGAATAAGATACACGTGTGTTTATAAAAGTCTGGCGATCTGATTGCATCTATTTTAAAGCTGGAACCGAATATCAAGTTAGGAACGAATGTCGAGTCAATAGTCGATCTATTGATTATTTGTGAACTAGATTCCTTGATTCCTTTATGTTTGTGTACTAAATGACGTCTCACCTGAGAATACTGAAATTCTGATTCTGTATAACTTGTGCATCTGTCATCAGATATCACAGAGCTGTCATTTCCCTAAATCAACTCCCGTATCCTCGTCTCATACACTTACCTAATCAGCTGCTAATAGCTCCCACAAGCGACCCAATATACAAATCCCACTGTCAGCAATATACATCCCGCTATCTGACAGACACCGACAAGCAAATTGGACATCTCACCTGTTCGCCATGACTCGTCTACTACAGGTGCTCGCCAGCCATCGTCCTGTGTCACGCTTCGAATAGCACGCCCACTGTTAGAGTGTGGGTCGGGTCAACATTCACCAGACATTAGATCATCGTGGGTTATCCCCAAACACTTCTCTCTTTGGAAATTAAATAACCCTGTTCGGTTTCGTATGTAGCGGCAGTTATAGTAATACTTGGCGTGTAACACTCGTAAAATTTACCCTCGTACTAGTTTCGCCTCTCAATGGACGAGTTCATTTCTGTCGTAGGGACAAAGGGTGGTTTGTTATATACGCGCACTCAAAGTAAAAGGTATACCAAGCGACCTCGTGCATAACAAATTGTAATCGTACATTAGATTAAAGTAATATTGCATTGCAACTGTTCTTGGATCCTTTGGCGCATTTTCATCGCATGTCAGCGGCGGGTGTAGAAAACATAGAACACACAGTTTGATGGATTATGCCATAGTTCGCGACATTGTGCGTGTGTTGACAGTTCGATCACTGGGTCAGGTAGCCCAAGCCACTTGCACGAGAAGCACGAAGTAATTGGTTACAGTTAATATGGGTCAAATAAAAATGCACATTTCCATACATACTGAAGTAAATCTGCCAAATAGACGATAAATAAAGACAAAGTTACTAGAGTAAAGGGAAGCAACTCTGAGATGATATCGGGTAATGGACAAGAAGGGAAGGTGTTGATGGTTGTGGAATCTTTGGTATGTTGATGGTTGGGTTTGTTGTCACTAGCAATTATTTGCAGTACTATAGCTTGGTGGACAGGTGTAACGTCCCGAACGTGAGTTTATGTGTGTCGTTGCAGTCAAAACTCACTGCATACGTGGATGGTTGGAGATAGTGTTTCCGCAGGATGAACGCTGAACCCACTCCCCCGCACTCATCACCAAACTTTCAAAGTTGTACGTTCAGCTATTGCGACCACGCCCATTTTTCAACATCCCCACGTGTGTAAACACTGGAAGTAATTATACAGTGTGAACATGCTTAAAATGCAAAACAGGTAACGCACTGGCAGGTTCCTGTCTATCCCGGGGTTCCGCTGTCCAGGCGGAAAGTATTGTGTACGATGGGACTATTTCAAACATGGTCAAGCTCTTATCGTTGCCTCTATTTAGTCGAGTTATTTACACATATCTAAGTGATTAATTTATGTCTTCCATTTACTATACAGTTGTAGGTATGGTGTGTGAAAAAGGGGAGGGATAGGGGCGGTACGCACCCCCAGCACAATCCCAACCACACCGTTCCCCCACCCCACATTCACCCCCACACCCCGAATCTTGATAGTATGTGCCCTCATTTGTCCGGCCCTATCCAAGTTTATGATGTTTGTTCAGATGCAAAACTATTTCTTGTCATGAAAGAAACACAGCTATTACTGTTATTAATACTCATTGAAACTGTCACCTATTATGATAAGTAATTCTTTTCATGAAACTCAGACTACATTTCCAATGTGTATATCAGCAACTATAAGTAGGTCTTTGGCCCAACAAAACAACCTGTTCTAGAACACCACAGACCTGAAGGTCCGTACATGGGCACATAGGTTTGTACTTGAATAAGGTAACTTGATAAGCCCTGAATATTATATTTGTCGATTGATTTTGCAACACCACACAATCAATCCTCAGTCAGTGTCTAGACTTGTTGCTGTTGTCTTCCTACAGGTACAGTCTTAATTATGATTCAAGTATGAGGTTGTTTAATTGTTGATTGATTGCCCTGTGGAGATCCAGGTAGAATGTATTCCCAGTAACCAGGCTCGATGTAAGTGATCTATGCTTGTAAGAGTTAACTAGATTGGACTTGGTGGCTGATAGTGTGTCACTATACCCTGAATGATGTGTGTCACGATACCCTGAATGATGTGTGTCACTATACCCTGAATGATGTGTGTCACGATACCCTGAATGATGTGTGTCACTATACCCTGAATGATGTGTGTTGTGGTCATGCTTTCAGTCACTGGATTGTCTGGTCCAGACTCAATTATTTACAGGCAGCTGTCATATAGCTGGAATATTCCCAAGTGCGTTGTTAAACAAAAAATAAAAACAAAAACAAAGCAGACAGTGATTAAACTCCATGAATATAGGCACTACAAGTATGCATCTTCCCGAGGCAAGGGAGTTAACTGACTGTAAAAGTCCAGTTTCCACCCTTGGAGAATTTGGCTGGAATTTCTGGTCTCAATAGTAGTGCACACCACCATATTTGATGCTTGTTGTTTAAATCACTGGCTTGTCTGGTACAGACTCGGATTATTTACAGACCTCCATCGTATAGCTGGAATATTGCCTAGTGCAGCATTAAGCAACAAACAAGCAACTCTTATGCTAACTATCAAATGTATGATAAATATGCAAATATTTGTATACACAATGTAACAACAAGAAACTGAAACAAACGCTAATCACTGCTTGGTTTAGATCAATGTCTCAGAATGGCTTTTCTGTGCCTAGTCATCAGGAAGAACGTATGGCTGCTGCCATGTTTTATTTATCAAGATATTTAGATAAGTGATCTTTCATTAATCTGTATGAATTTTATGAATGTATCTAGACCTGCTCAGAGACCAATCTTCGGCCCCAAATTTGCAGCAGATGTTAGCAAAAACTTCCTAATTCATGTTAATATATTTATTACTAATGAGATGGATTGGTCAAGGTGACCTGTATCTCAGACACAGAGACTTTAATGCTTCACTTTAGATGCTTGCAGTGAATGCAATGTTACACTACTATGTATTGATCACAACAGAAAACCAGCTATGTCATGTCCGAGTAGGTATTACACAGGTTTAACTTTGGATTGGTTTGACTTAGGGGTTTGACTTAGGTCTGACTTTGGTTGGTTTGACTTACGTCTGACTTTGGTTGGTTTGACTTAGGTCTGACTTTGGTTGGTTTGACTTAGGTCTGACTTTGGTTGGTTTGACTTAGGGGTTTGACTTAGGTGTAAGGTGGTCAGACTCACTGACTTGGTTGATGCATGTCATTGTATCCCAAATGCGTGGATCGATGCTCACGATGTCAATCACTGGATTGTCAGGTCCAGACTCCAGACATTTAAATGACAACTTTTCATGCAATGTTACTTGGGGTGATGTTTCTTTTGCGGTTGAAACCCGGTTTGGGTTGGTTTGTTAAAGCCAATGGACAAAAACGGTACTTGTTGGAGTCATCTACAGGTATAGATGCAAATATGAAAGGTCAGATAGGGACTATTTTCAGTGTTTACAAACAAACATGGTGTCACCAATCAGTGATGGAGTCAGAATTAACCATCGGGAATCTGGAGAAACTACTGGGATAATTGTCATCATTATCAAAGGATAGTCAAAGATACTGCAAATCAGTGGGACATAGCTGTGGCATTTACACATTTTTGTATCTTTATAGATATTGATTTTGAAACAATTTAAAACGGCTGGATTTGGCCAAAATATGTCAGAATTGTTAGCTTGTTTCTATTTGTTGCTGTGTGTCCATCTGATTGCACTTCATAACGTTATGACAAGTCAGGCAGAATCAAAACAACTGTGACGCTAGAGTTAGAGTAGCTTCCCTTTGGTAAAGGGTAGTTACTCCAGCGAGCGGACCGATGCATTGCTGCAAAAGGCAATTAGAAACAATATGTCCCATTGCGACGGTCACATCACTGACCTTCTGACGTAAGATATATTATTCTGCACATTCCAGGAAAACTTGCAATATTTGTGAGAGATGATGACAGGTTTTTCGACGACAGAATTTATGAATGACATATGATAAAGAGGTTATCACACTTGTGTGTACATATCCTATATTAGGAATAAACACATTAAGCTTGCTAAGGCTTGCTATGTTCAATGTTTATTCCTAAAACAGGATATTTGCTGTCCCCAAACACACCTGCGTGATAAACTCTATGCATCATATCTCCATTATAGTATGTATCCCAGGTAGACGTTGGTGCTCCACCAGATACTTCTGGTATTGAGAACACAAGTCCGTCTGTGGGTCCAAAGCTTTTACTCTTATTCTCTGATAGTATACTGCTACATCATATGCATGCAGTTAGACTCTCGGAGGCTCAAGAGGGCCAGCCTGCCTCGCCCCTGTCCGAGGGTCAAGTCTCGACTCACAGAATGCGTACTATCTTTAACCCTCACTGTCAGATTGCCATGTATCATGTTACGTTACATAGATGGTCAGCCTGCCGAATCCCACACCTCATCCACTATGTTAAGCTTCAGTGGCCAACTGACCATTCTCTAGCGTTAATTACAAGCCGCTGACCCACACATGACTTTGTGCTGCTGGCCATGGTAATGATACCCCAGCTGCTGTTATAATTTGTATTGGCAGCACTGTGAGTACATAAATAGATGTAATCAACTTCCTTAACTGAGGGAGTATATAAAACGTATATGGACTCCCTGTTAAAAAATATAGACTGTTATACATCCTGGACCTGTTTACCACAGGCCTCCTGAGGAAGTGGCATGACCATCTTTATCTCGTTTATCATACATACATTCATACAAAATTCCTCCTTTCATTGGTATATTTTGATAGGACAGCTCATTTTAGCTTTTCCTGTTTCAAATCCGACACAAACCACAGCTGTGGTGGTACATGTGTCCGGGTATAGAATGGCTAGTGAAATAACACTGGGAGATCAAGGATGCCAGGTATGACATTTTCCTGCCTTTGTGTCAGCCAGTTTCATTAAAAGCTGATCTGTTACTCTGATAGGATACCTCTCTGCAGGAAGATCTGAGGACACCTCTATAAGAGGTCTCATCAGGTGAACTTTCTGATCAGCCAATTAGTGTTTAGGACTTATAAATTCTCTATGTTCTTGATCGAGATATTCAGACAAACATATTTGATTTCTGTATTTTGTAAACAAACTTAAATGGCAAGTTCTGAAAGTTGAAAGTATAGCGGCATCATTATATTGTTGTGGAGATTTCAAACATCCTCTTGTAACTCATTGTGTCATGTACACCCGAAAGGGAAAACCTGGTTAAGCACTGTGTCGTGTACACCCGAAAGGAAAAACCTGGTTAAGCACTGTGTCGTGTACACCCGAAAGGGAAAACCTGGTTAAGCACTGTGTCATGTACACCCGAAAGGGAAAACCTGGTTAAGCACTGTGTCGTGTACACCCGAAAGGGAAAACCTCAATGAGCACTGTGTCGTGCACGTCCGAAAGGGAAAACCTCGTTGAGCACTGTGTCATGCACACCCGAAAGGGAAAACCTGGTTAAGCACTGTGTCGTGTACACCCGAAAGGGAAAACCTCATTGAGCATTGTGTCGTGCACACCCGAAAGGGAAAACCTGGTTAAGCACTGTGTCATGTACACCCGAAAGGGAAAACCTCATTGAGCACTGTGTCGTGTACACCCGAAAGGGAAAACCTCATTGAGCACTGTGTCGTGTACACCCGAAAGGGAAAACCTCATTGAGCACTGTGTCGTGCACACCCGAAAGGGAAAACCTTGTTGAGCACTGTGTCGTGCACACCCGAAAGGGAATATTATTGAAGCAATATTGTGAATTGGGGTGGTTAAAAACTGAAACCAAATTTTTTCAGAAAGACAGCTGATTGGCTCAAGAACCCATGCAGCCTTCATTTAGATTGGGCAGTCAAGTTAACTTAGGTTCCAACTAACTTGACCTTCTATGGCGGCTGCTCTGATCTTAACACAGCAATGAACCATAATGGAGTGATTTTCAGGAGAATCTTTGGTGCCTTTTCATGTGTCTGTTCATCCTCCCTAGTATTGTCACATCTGTATTCCCTGATATGTGTCTGTACGTAATAGCAGCTGTGTTCTTGTGTTATATATGTTTGCAATATTGAAAATGCTGGAGCACATTATAATGTCAATTTTGTTTTCAATGTGGTTATTCATTATGACACTTAGTTATCTGTTTTAATCATAAAGCTCGTTAGATGAAAGTTGTTACAGAACTGCTGACCAGTAGGGGGCACAGGTGTTGGCGAGACAATTCTCTGTGTAGAAACGCCAGAAATCTATGATTGTGGGTTGAAATCCTGGTTCACCCAAATTACATTTCTAGGTCTGTCACCCTACCCTGCTCCGGGGGTCTGCATCTCTTCAGGCTTTCCTCCCTCATTTAGCTGACACACCAGGATGTAACTGGAATACTGTTGAAAGCGGTGTTAAACCCAACTCACTCACTCACTCACTCCATGGGTTTAAATGAGTGAGTGAGTTTGGTTTTACGCCGCTTTTAGCAATATTCCAGCAATATCACAGCGGGGCACACCAGAAATGGGCTTCACACATTGTACCCATGTCGGGAATCGAACCCGGGTCTTCGGCGTGACTAGCGAACGCTTTAACCACTAGGCTACCCAACCACCCCCATGGGTTTGAAGTAGGCCTGCCAATACTATGCTGGGCTAATCCTGTCAACTGTAGGCACTAGTTCTCTCTCTAGTTTAATTGTAATTCAAGTAAGGTTAGGTGAACTCATGCACATAACAACAATGCAAAATAACAGGAAACAATTCTCGAGGATTTTGTAAATCGTCAGGTCTGCAAGATAAAAGCTGGCCTGAAGAAGCTAATGTTTCTTGTTGTGTTGTTATGGCAGCTGTATGACGACTATTCAGGATATTTGATACTCTGGTTACCAGCTGATGAACTTTTTGTTTGATTGGTTAACAAAGAAAAATCATATTCTTATCTCTTTTTTTTATGTCTTAATGAATAAGTAGGCAGTCTGTGAAGTTATTAATGTTGACATATTTATTTATAAAAATTGACTTCAAAATGTTTTTACATTTATGGAGATATATATGTAAAAAAATGGTCTGCACACTTTGCAAAATTCCACTTAAGAGATTTACACATTATGCACACCATTTTTTTTTCCCCCCCCAGCATATAATGGGGGATATAGCGATCAGCCAGTCTGTCTGTCCGTCCGTCTGTTCGTTCGTAATCATTTCCTTTGCCGGGGCAGAACTCGAAAACCATTCAGTGTATTTGATCAAAACTTGGCAAATCTATCAGTCACATACTGAAGGGGTGCCTTTTGATATTTTGGGAATTTCCGAATTTTTATTTTTTAAAATTTTTATGGAAAGAAGTTGGGCATAGACTAGGGAAATCTTGCAGGGCCATTTGTTTTGTTTTATTTTTTTCGATACTATCTTGAAATTTCAAGATAGTATCTTGAAATTTCAACTTATGATCTTGAAATTTCAACTTCTATATCTTGAAATTTCAACTTAGTATCTCGAAATTTCAACTTAGTATCTCGAAATTTCAAGTATAAAAAAAAATAAAAAAGCAAATGGCCCTAAAAGGCTTCCGTACATAGACTCCATTGGAGATGGGCTTCATTTCCGGGGCAGAATTCGAAAACCATTCAGTATATTTGATCAAAACTTGAAAGATGTATCAGTCACATGCTGAAGTGGTGCCTTTTGCTATTTTGTTATTTTCAATTTTTTTATTTTTAATTCTTGATTTCTATTGAAACAATTTGGACTTAGTCTCAAAACGGTGGGGGTAGGTGTCATTTCTGTAGCACAACTTGAAAACTGTGAGAGAATTTACATCCAGACTTGGTACATGTATTAACCAAGGGCTGAAGTGGTGCATTTTGCTATTTAGGAATTTTAACAAAAATTAATTTTTCCTGTTTTAATGGCAACAAGTTTGCCTTTTGCTATTTAGGGATTTTTAGAATTATATATATCTGTTTCCATGGCAACAAATTTGACTGACATAGAAATACAAAGTTCTGAATCCCAATTCCATAGTATTGTCTTTATAGCTCAAAAACTACTCAGACAATTTAGAAATTTTCTCGTCAAGTTGGACTTCAGGTGATTTGCCCTTTCGAACTTGTTGGGGCCAGGAGGATTTGTCATCCTCTGAAGACTCTTGTATGTTAATACCTCCATGAATGCAAAAAATATTGAAGTCAAATCTTAAATAACCTACATTCAGTAATAACCTACATTCAGTCTAGCATTTCCGTTATCTCAGTTAGCATCAGCTTTGTGACAGACAAAGTCTCCAGGCTATAATTCAGCGGGACCACTTTAGCAATCTCATTACATTTATATCTTGTGATGATTAAAATGGTGTCTTTTTTAAGTATTGCTGGTCGGCAATGTAGCTTTACCTAATCCTATCAATGAAAACATTTTTAGGAATGTACGAACATATATAAAAAAACCAAAGAGGGCTGAGTAAGCAATGATAATGTACATACATTTGTTTATTTCTCTTCTTTTCTTTCTCTCATTTAATGTATTAATTGTTAATACATGGACATATAGGGGAGAGGGCGTTCTGATAATTTGTGCCCTATTCTTTTCAAGAGAATGAAATATGTTTCATGTAAAACTAATATTACTGACTGTGGTGTTACACTCACTGACTCACTCCCTCCATCGTTGTGTTTCAGACATAACAAGACCAGCATTGCCAGTCCTCCCACCATGGAGACAGGAAGTGCATATGTTGAGGACGTCCTCCGTTCTGGAGTAAAGAGCGCTGATGACACATTTGAGGCCCTGGTTGTGATTGAGTTTACTGCCGAGGCCAAGCAGGCATCCATTGAATGGCTCATGGCTCGGGTACAGGCGCCAAAGTCTGAAGGTGGCGCCGACCTTCAGCTGAGGATGATGGTCATGCAGCATAATAAGGTATGAGTGTATTCCAGGGGGTTACACAGAAGCCTATTTAACATGTACAAGCAGGGACAGGCTGTTCAGAGGATGAGTTTGCTTGCATACCAAATTCCAGTTTTTGAAGAAGTCACTTGGTTGTGAAAACATGATATGGAGAGGCCATAAGTTAATGTGTCTTTTTGGAAGATTGAACTGGACATTTGTACCATGAGATATTGCACTATCGCATGAGTGCAATGGCGCCAATGGTACAATGGTGTACAAGTAACAGGTCACACAGTGTTTGAGTGGCCAGTAGCCACAATGATTCTGACACCATGGATCAGACAGTGGTTCAGATATGATGGTTCTGACACAGTGGTTCAGATGCAGTAGTTTAGACAGTGGTTCAGACACATTGGTGGTTCTGACAGCGGTTCTGAGAATGGTTCAGCCACTTTGGTTCTGACACAGTGGTTCAGACAATGGTTTGCGCACAGTGATTTAGATATGATGGTTCAGACCCCTAGGTTCAGAAACAACAGTTCCGACATGTTTAGATCTGGAGCAGGCAAACCATCAACTGATGTAGCTAAGTGTCCCATCAAGTTCAGAGCCACAGATCACTAGTCCCACCTAGAAGTTGCAAGAGAAACCGCAGAACTTACAACATAGTTTTCATGCTTCTATTGCAAATGGTTCAAGCTAGTATGTAACCAAATTTACAATAGTGAAATCGTGTTCTTAAGTATTGCAACATTTTACTGCCAGGGTTGTATGTTTGGGATGTGGAATATTTAAATTTAAAAAAAAAAATGAAAATGGAAATGAAAATGAAAATATGGCTTTATGATGATGCAAGCGGTGCCTGAGAACCAAGACTATTATTTTTGTTAGCCTGATATGGCATTATATTGTGCTGGTCAGTTTGATTGGTGAGGATAAAAGATACATATTGCACATGTTTGATGTGCAGGTGCTTACTATCTTACAGCAATAAGTAGTCACTTCTGTCAGCTCGGGGAATGAGTGGTCCAAACATCTAAGGTAGAGCAGGCATGAATCTATGATCGTGGGTTCGAATCTGAATTAATAGTTTTGCCCCGATTATATTTCTATGATAGTCAGAACCATACCCGTTCTTGTACATTTTACCAGAGTGTTCTCTGACAACAAGCCGACATGCCGTGATATAGCTGAAATACTGTTTAAAACGGCTTTAAACCAGACTCACTCACTCTATGCCATGATTGTGACTTCCAGGAGAGCGGAGATGCATCCACAGAAGCGGACCGGGTAAGGTTATTGTAACATGTGATCGGGTGCCCCCACTTACTGTTCCCCCTTGCAAGGTTGCAGTACACCCTGCAGTACACCCTGCAGTACACCCGTAGTACACCATTGGATTGTGACGATACTGGATGACGTACCCATGGAGCATGGCATGATATATCACTGTACTGTCTCAGATGTAGGCCAGTGTTTGGGAATTAGTCAATAATTCTCAGTGAACACACTAAATGAAAAACAGTTTTGAAACAAAATGAAGCCAGACCGATTAATTTTCTGATTTTCCCCAAAAATTGAAAAATGACAAATGTTGGGTCTTGTTTATTTCTTGTAAAACAACTCTCGACAAAAAAGTTAATACAAAAAACTGAAAAGCAAAAAGTCGTAAATCATCAAATTGTCAAAAAAACCAGCATTTTTGCTTCTGAAAATTTTTCCTTCCAAATGTTTTGGTATCCAGCCACATATTTGTTGCATTGTGTGACCTTTTGATTTATCCTGTGTCAGCTTATATGTGAGACAATACAGTAAGCCCCATGTTATAATAATCAGAGTGTTGGTTATTTGAATATATTTCCCCACTGAAATTTTATCCTACTTTAGCTCACCTGGCCTGATCAACCAGGATGAGCTTCTGGTATGCCAGATTGTTAGTTTCATATAATCAGCTTCCGAGGTTGATGGACTGGGCAGTACTTATGAGTGGACATTCTGGGGCGCCAAGTTCTGCTATGTTATGAGAGCCAGGTTTTTTTTCTACAAAGATTTTCTCTTTCTCTTGTGTAGTCTCAACATTTTCCAAATAACACACACTCTCCTCAAAAGTTTTTAACCATGAAAACTGATGTTTCCATTTTTTTGTGATCAGAATTGAGTCCGAATTACTAATTTGGTGCAAAATCATAGGTGCAAAAGGCTATGGTCCCATAACAATATTTTCACCAAAGTAAAACTTAGTAAAACACTAATATTGAGGAGCGATTTCTGTAGACTAATGGTAATGTTGCTTAAGATGCACATTTCATGGTATCAACATGATCAAGACATCGTAGATGGGGAAAAAGACAAAACTATTGCAAGTGCTTCTTTTCAATTCAAGTTCACCTTTTTCTATTTTTGATTGTTATAATAAACCGCTTTGACCATTATTAAATCTACCATCAGTGCCCATTACAATGCTATTATAATCATTATCATCTGCATGAATATGTTCACACCCTTCATTCATCGGTAGAATTATGTGTGAATAGTTTGTACTGGTGGAAGGTTTTAGATACGTCTGAGGAGATTGGATACTCTCATCCTTTTGTCTCTCTACGTGACCCAGAGGTGGAGCCAGGACTGTCTTTATCCTTCACTTTGACCAGTACTTCTATATTGGTCATGATGGAATTGGTTTGGTTCCCCTACCCCATCTTTAATTATTGTTATATCATGTATATTGCATTATTAAATTGATCCTGCCTGGAATCATAAGTGTATTATATTAATTGCATGTTGTGTGGATATGCCTTCTGACACGAGATCAGATCAGATCAGAACTTTGACTGATTCGATACTTCTCTCCCTCAACATCTGTCAAATCCTCCATAGGAGGCCACTGAATCCTGAACTAACCTATACCAGCCAACCAAATTAAGGAGGTTGCATGTATTTTTGATCTAAGCAGATGACACCTATCTAAAGAATTTAGCTTCATCAGCTTGATTGAAAAAAATCTAACTTTATCGAAAGAAGACCCACAAAGAACACAAATGTTCCCTTGATGATAAACCCTTTCCGGTGTAGCACGCAGAAAAGACAGGGTGTACAAAATACAAAAGTTTTTTCCCCATTCGGAACTGCCCATTTATGTTCATTTTTGAGATAGAGAAATCAAATATGCATACTACTATGATTGTTGCACTCGCTCGTCCTAATAATTTATAAGCCTCCATACTGATTGGTTGGTCAGAAAGCTCAACTGATATGACCTCACATGAAGGGTTTGTCTGATATTGGTGGAGAGGTAGAATATCTGATTTGAATAAGATGTTTGGATGTGTTTGGATGTTCAGAGGAATGTTTAACCTCAGAGTATGGAGACTGTGAAGCTCCATCACTGTAGCACCATGTTCCATTTGTATCAGTAAATATGGTTGTGCATTTGGATGAGATGGATAATAAGCATGTGACTAAAGTAAGTGGAGTTTTCTTAACTGTTTTCCAAAATTGGAATGATTTGTGAAAGTAACACTTGTTTTGTGTTTTTCACTTTATTAATCAAATGATTGAACCATGTATGCATATGATGATTTTCTACTGGTCACAATTGAAACCTTTCAACATTTTCCTTCTGAATTCTGACAGATAGGTGGTACATGAATAGTTAGCTCTAGACAAGTATGACCTTTTTCTTTGAATTGTTTCCTATTTCAGTATTAAGCAATTATGTGCCATGCTGCTGTGTTGGGCTTGGTTTCCACACAATGACCCAAACATTCTGTGTAGACAAATAAATGTCATTTCATTTACCCGCACTCATTTCTTGGAGTTATGTTCCCCGTGAGGGTGCATCCTGTCACTCAGAGTTGTATCCCTCCCTTCTTATCATCTTTGTATGTGGGAACTCAATACCAACAGCATTTTTGGATTTTGTCCATTAGAGTTACCTCCCTGTGTTCTACAGTTATCCCCCCTAATTTGCAGGAGACCATCTTGTACATTGGTGCCAGTAATGAACGACTGCTGATGTCGGCAGAAGTGATGGCAATGAAAAAGCCACACACAGATGGATTTCTCCACGAGTTTTCTGTTGCAGACTTCGACAACTTTCGTGGTTCAGGTATGGCATGTTTTTGTATATCTAATTAGGAAAGAAGCAAACATGATGTCAGAAAATTCAATTTCATTTTGATAAATGTTACATCTAAAGAAAAAGAATGTGAAACTTGATATTCTCTTGTTGCAGGAGATGTTGGTACATTTTTCTCAATGGCCGAGAAGCAGAAGATTATCCTGAAGGAACTGGAGGGTATCCGGGCAGGGGAGATGGATGCGCACATCCCAGGATATGAGCAGCACAGACTCTACCCTGGGAAGAGCATAAGTAGGGATATAGCAGAACTATACTGCCTACATTTGTTTTATGAAAGTTATATGTATATGTATGTACTGTATATCGCCGTGTATAAAGCGAACCCATATAACAGAAATATGCATCCATGATCTCTAATTCTATCAATGTATGTAGGGAATAACAAAAATATACATCCTAGATTTCAAAATTATGTCGATGATATATAATATATGTAGTGAATACTGTATTCGATGTAATAAGCGCCCCGCTCTTTATAAGCGCCCACAGCGATATTTGCTAATATATTGGCTAGTGAACAATCCCAATTAGCACCCCTTCCGATTGGTCAATGTACAAAAGACTTTTTTTTCGCATATAATACACACTCGTGTTTTATATGCACCCTTAATTATGGGCATTTAAATTCTGGAAAAATATATCTGTCATATATAAACATTTCAGCATAAACCACAAAATTTATCTTTCAACTCTGTTTTTTTTCACTAAAATAATATTCTAATAAGAGCCCCCTATTTCTAATTTTGAGAGCGCCCTGGGCGCTTATTACGTCGAATACGGTAATGAAAATAGAGAGCCTACATAGCTCATAGGGAATAACAGAGGTATTCAGCCTTGATGGAAATGTACACCTGTGTGTCTAGCATGAAAATCATGGCATGATCTTACTTTCCAGTCAAGAAGTACCAGAGTCGACAGATTGTGCTGCAGTTGTTTCCTCTGCACGATGAGGAAGGTTTGAAGACACTAGCAAGCGACTGGTGTGGTGTCCGCAAAGTTTTCAGCAGGCAACCAATACGTTAGTAGACAAATACAGTTGTTGTCTTTAGAAGAGCTTACATGTTGTCTGTAGAGAACAGAAAATGTTATGGATTCATCACATCGTTATCATTTGCTTGAAATGAGAAAGTGGTGGTGGGGTTGCTGGGTTATAATGTGTTCGCTCATCACACTGAAGGCACTAGTTTGATTGCCCATGTGCCATGTTCCCTGCTGTGATATTGCTGTGATATTGCTGTGATATCGCAGCGTAACACCCAACTCCCAGTCACTGATATTGATAGTTTAGGGAATAATGAGTAAAGATTTGTTTGACATGAGAGAAAGTGATGGTTTGGGGAACATTGAGTTGTAATTATTTCCGTAAGAAATGGAGCAAGTTGAAGTTTATGTCACTTTTAGCAATGGTTAGTTGTATCATGATGGCGACAACAAGAACGAGATCACACATTTCACCGCAGGAGCTGAAAAGCAGGTCTATGGTACAAGGGTTTATGAGCCAATCCTTAAAAACTAGAAAGCCCACTGCCATTGATATGACATGGAGACACCACAGTAGATCAGCATCTAAGTACCTTATTAATAGCATTTAATAGTTATACTTGAGCACCGATGAATCTAAGTACCAGTTCAATTTTTTTGACTTGACAACCTTCAATAAAGTCCCATTTCCCAACAATAGAAAATGTCAAAACTTTCTTTGGAAATATTATCAGTTAATGCTGTTTCTAATTAAATATTGATTTGCAAACCTATTAAATTTTCTTTTGCAGATCGTATACAAAGATATTTTGGTGAGAAGATTGGCATTTACTTTGCATTTCTGGGTCTGTACACCATTTCTTTGATACCACCGGCGCTCATCGGGGTGGTGTATTTTGTAACTTCATGGCGGAGTATGTACAGGGAGACGATATTCGCTGTGTTCAACCTCATCTGGTCCACCATATTCCTGGAAGCCTGGAAGCGCTACTGCTCCGAACTCACATATCAGTGGGGGAGCATGGATTCTGTGTCGTCCAAATTTGAAGAGCCCAGAGCAAATTATCATGGCTCTCTCGGCCGGAACCCAGTAACCCAGAAGCCAGAGCCGTCTTTCCCCAAATGGAAGCGTCAGATGAGGTTCTATATGATTACAGTGCCGGTGATATTTGTGTGTCTGGTGGCAGCGTTCTTTGTCATGCTGGCCTATTTCTGGATGCAGGATTGGGCGGACAGTGTCTACGCCGGGGACAAACATTGGGTCAACTACATCCTCTTGTATGCCCCTACAGCTGTGTATGCTGTCATGATCGGCATACTCAATGGCATCTACAGGATGGTTGCCAAAAAACTGAACGATTGGGGTAAGGTCAAGGACATATGTTCTATCCTGTGTTCATATCAAAAGCACATTTTATACAATACCCAGCATATTATTGATATGAGAGACAATGGAAGGTATCTTCTGCCACCCAAATGCCATTAGAACTGTTTCCATGATTGTTCAGTATTATACTTAAGCTACCACTAAATTAAGATCTGAGGACATCCCTTTACAGGTCACGTCAGAATGACTCCTCATCCGACCAATCAGAGCGTCGCTTACCAGATCAGGAAAATGGCAGTCTGAATGTGTTTTCTAATCATGCAACACTGAAACAATCACTGTCTAACCATTCCTGTAATGGGATAAACATCTGAACAGAAGAGACTTTGCATTGCCCATGGGAAGTTCTGTCATACAACCGGGCATCTGTTAGATAGACATTCCAGAATGTTCTTTTGTTCAGTTTTAAGATATTGAATCGTGAAATTTGTCAAAATATTTTCAATACAAGTTTGAAACTAGTGCCCTCTAGCTTGAGAAAGCTGCTTTCTGATAGGCTAATGTCAACTTTATGTCAATCATTTCATTGGTTAGTCAAAGTTTACAAAAGGTGACCTGTAATAGGAGGTCCTCAGATCTTTGTTTTGCGGTAGCATGAACTAAGGTCTGGTTTTAATGAAATTGTTACTGGATGAGCACTATTTTTGGCTTTTGATATGATCCTCTGCATTCTTCATTGTACTTTAATAATATCATAATTTTCTATCACAAATGTTTTGAACTACCTTGTTTTTTATTCAGTGAGGTTGTCAGTTGCTCTAGAAAACCTCCAGTGAGAGTTTGTGTTTTCTATGTGAAACAAGTGACTTGTAAGATCACACACTTTACAATTGTCACATTTGTGCTTGTAAGCCATGGCTACATCAAACTTTTGAACTCTGCACAGACTGCTAAGATGTTAAGTGTCAATCTGGTTCCAACCAAAAGTAATGTCATCAGAACAAAGCTGAACACATTTTATTATATAATTGCCATGGTGATAATCAAATCTATAAGTGAGATCAATCCCCAGTGACAATGAACAGATCTCATCACTTCTGATAGAGCTGGTATCATACATTGCCCCCAGTCCAACCCTGATGGAAGTGGTTTATTCCTGAAGTGATTCTAGTTTTGGTTCCAGCACACCCCCGTTTGAGAAGGAGTCAGCTTGAACAATAACCTATATATCATGTTCACAATCTCAGATGGTCAGATGAAAGGTTGTTCTGACGTGACCCGTAATGGGATGTCCTCAGGTCTTTGTTTAGCAATAACAAGAAGTTAGATCTGATTTTAATGAGATTGATCATGTTCAATGATGGTTTTCAAATACAGTATTTATCTCATCATCGTGTGGCTTGGTTATAAGGATATTAATTCCACTCATGTAATGAGATGAGATGAACAGTGTGTTTGTCACCCACAATTACATGTCCTCTGTTTCGGTTCATTGATGACCCAGGGGGGCCCTTGTATCAAAGGTGATGATGGAACACTCTACTAGTACTGGCAATCCCGTTTCGCCCAGATTATGTTGCTAGGTTTCACCATAGCCGTGTTTGTGGGTTTCACCGAAGTGGTAAACGTCTGAGACCTGTATCACTTCAGGCTTTCCTCCCACATTAAGCTGACACACCGCAATATAACTGGAATACTGTTAAAAGCGGCGTTAAACCCAACTCACTCACTCACTCACTCACTCACTCACTCACTCACTCACTCACTCACTCACTCTTGTGTGGAATATTGTAGTACCACATTGAAGGATTCTGGTGCATAACACATCAAATGAATTGTTTGATTACAGAAAACCACAGACTCCAGTCTTCCTATGACAACCATTTTACAATCAAACTAGTTCTGGTGAGTAACACAGAGACTAAGGCTGAAAACAAGGAATTGTTTCTGGGCATTGGCAGGTCACTTCAAGTCCAGCCTGTCAGTCATTGTCATTGCCAGTTAATTTATATTTAATATATACTGAGAATATCAGAATATCAGATACTATACTTCTAAGAGCACATTAATACACTGCAACGAAGTGAAATGACAAATCAAGTATTAGATACGTGGTAACTGTACATGTTTTAAAGCAAGTTCAATGATCTATTCTTCAGAAAAATAAATCAATTTGGTAAAATATAAACGGTGGCCATCAAATTTGAAATTGTTTTTCTGGTTCACCTTTAGTAGTGGGGTTGCGACAGAATCACCATTACCTATACTACTACTCCTTTTACCAAGACCCTGTCTTATTAATCAGTTATTCACCAGTGTCAGTAAGGTACGTGTAGTGATAGGCTGATAGGCTGATCAGTTGCTATGAGTTATCATTCAACAATGGTGTGTTTGTATACCGGTTTCCTTTCTCGCTGAATGATGAATTGTATCAGAGGACTTAGTAAATGATCTACTTATATGTTTTTCTGCTTCCATGATTCTAAAAGTCCGGTTCAAATCATGATAAAAGCAAAAACAAGGAAACTGTCAGTATCTACTTATCAGGTTTTTCTTGTTTTCGGCTTAAAATGTTCCTGCTCCAACTTCTAGGCCCCATTCAGTCATCACTCATGAAAGTCTATGGTTGTGTTGGTGAAAAGTGAAAGTACATGAAAAAATGCTTTAAACTCCTGAGGTTATTGTAGAACGTTTCTTGACCCAAATACCAATAGTACAACAGACACAATCTGTTGATATGTGAGACGTCTGTGGTGCTATAGACACTGCTGCTATATGATGTGGGATATTAGCCTTACTCCAAGGCTGCACTGGATGTGTAGTAATTCTGTCCTCCCAATAGGCAAGTCTAGATAAGCGGACGGCACATCTAGGGACGCCAGTTTCTTATAGGGACAACTTATTCTTATTATTTACATGATATAGAAAGTATGATTTCAACTAATAATTATTGCCTTAGAGACTTGCACAAGTCTAGTGTGATGTGTCTGTGATGGTATAAGCACAGTATGCTGGTACAGACACAATGTGTTACTGTGTGATAACTCTATGCTTCAGTTTGACTTTGTGAACTGCTTCATTTCGCTGTTCTATGTGGCCTTCTACATGCAAGACAGAAATGTTCTCCACAGTGTAAGTATAAGTATGTTATATATTTTTTGCCTGTAAAGGGGGCGCTTAATACCGGTATGTTTTCCCAAATTGGACTTCATACCTCAGATACCTCCTATATCCCCTGGGGCATTTTGAATGAATGTTGTTGAAGGTCAAGGTCACTCAGAGTGAATTCAGCGTTTAAATGCATGCTATATCTTGAGTATTTATGAATTTATGGAATTAAACTAAACTTGATATGTATGATTGTTTTTGATCGCATAAATCCAGCAGTTTTTTACTCTATTTGATACCTCGATCAATTATTTGTTTGTTTGTTTAACCCCCTGGTCAGTAATATTCCAGTTATATGACGGTGGTCTGTAAATAATCAAGTCTGGACCACCAGACAATCCAGTGATTGACATCATGAGCATCGATCCACGCAATTGGGATACAATGACATGCATCAACCAAGACAGCAAGCCTCTCCGATACTGTTAGTCTCCACTTTCGACAAGCATAGTCGCCTCTTATGGCAAACTTGGGTTGCTGAAGACCTATTCTACCTCGATCAATGAAGATCTGTCCAACCCCCCAGGAAGTCAAATAAGGTGAACATGTAATGAGACTATCAGCATTGCAGCAGCAATATACTTTCGACTTACAAGTGAAGCGTTTGGAGCATCGCATCTGATTTCTGTATCTCAACTGTTAACAGGAAGTTCCTAATTGAGAATAATAAATCAATTGGCACCCTGTCATTTGTGCAGTGGCATATACACCCAAAAGGGTGCCCTGATGAGGGAACATTTGTTTTTGTGGGTTTTCTTTTGTGCGGACCAAAATGTCTGAATCGGGGACTGTCAATGGACTGCATTGACAAGATCAGGAATGTAGTGGAGCCAGATAATGTTTTAGAAATCTGACATCAGCTTGGTTAAAAAACTCATACAGATCTCATTTTGATTGGGCAGTCAAAGTTGGCATGACTTCTTATGGAGGGTTTGTCAAATCTTAATGGAGAAAGGTAGCGAATTGGAGGAAAACAGTTTGTGATTGCATCTACTGTAGGATGACCTCTACATCAGTCACTACAGGTCCTAGGTTAAGGTCACATTATTTGACATGGCTCAAACCTCAGGAAACTTGGTTTAATTCTCAGAGTGAGTGAGTGAATTGGGTTTAACGCCGCTTTTAACAGTATTAAAGTTATTATCGCGGCATGTCAGATTATCGCGGTATTATCGCGGTATTATCGCGGCATGTCAGATTAATGTAGGAGGAAAGCCCGAAGTGATGCAGGTCTCAGACGTTTACCACTACGGTGAAACCCACGAGCACAGGTATGGTGCTGATCTAGAAACATAATGGGGGCGAACCGGGATTTGAACCCACAGTCAAAGGTTTCTGGCATGCCCAAGCGACGCAACTCTGCACAGCGAATCGCAGCGCCTTAGGCGACAGGGCCACCCATGCCCCCTTAATTTTCAGAAGCCTAAGCATCTTTCAATCAGTAGGGACAAGTAACTGCAGGGACTTTATCGGTGTATGGTCTCTCATTACTATCATATGTTTTGTCAAACATCCAGGTTACACATGTGAAATGACTTGACATTTGTTTCATTCAGAACGACTTGTCAGTATGGTAGGGAGAGTTCCCTATTTGTAAAACCACTTCACCGTTAATGTTCTTGCATTTGATTAGTTGACACTGTGGGTCCTGGTCGTATATTTGGAAGAACATGACTTGTTAGTACCTTGAGACATTGGATGTTCTTTGCCAATGTTTCCATAGTGTTTGGTCTCCTTTCATAGAGCAATCAGAGACACAATTCTACCTACTTAAAAACATGATATATTGTGATAGTTACTGTACTGATTAATCAAAACAACATGTAGTGTAGGTGGTTAATTGAAGAAAACCCATGAAAGGATCATGTTGAGATTGCATGTCTGCACTTAAAGGGGACTATCCTCTTCGGCCTGGAGCCATGTTCCAGTGTGAGTCAAGACTTTGTAATGATAGATATTGTTCTGTGTAATAAGAGCAGTTAACTACGAGATTGATAAACATCTTAAAAACTTATACAAATAAATAAAGCATCAAAATATCCCAAGTCTACCGGAAGCTTGCCCTAAGGTGTCGGACAAAATGGGGATCGGTAGATCAGGCTCTGTTAGCTGATTGTGTGTCTTGTACTAGGGCTGGGATGAGTCCAGATATACTACTCAGGTACGAACTGTAGGTCTCAAGAGATAGGTACAAAATGTCCGATTGGGAAACGTTTGACTGACTCATGTCAAAATGTATTTAGATACACGTATAAACCGATCTGGTCATGCATACACTGAAGTTGACTGAAATTTTATCTTTATGCAAGCATATTAAGTTAGAAGGAATGTGTGCATAGTCAGAAAGAAATGTAAACATTTGTCACTTATAGATCTAGTGTAACCATAGAGTTCTAGATAATTTTTGCCATTAAAAGATTGATCACATGACTTACCATGGGTCCGGGTAGTCCTGTGGGTACCAGGGTCCTACTCAGTACCCACCTGACCCGAGTACCTAAGTTACCCATCCCAGCCCTATGTTTTACCTTTATAGTGTTGTGAGTTTTTATTTATGCTATCCACCACTGATTTGCCTGCCCACGGTTGATTGTTGTATGTTGATAGAATTCTAAATTGACAGCCTAGCTTTCTCCGGTTGATTGAAACCATGCAAGTTAATATCGTGTGTAACACAATTTTATCATGCACGGTTCAATGCGTTTATACTCCAGTCAAAATACACAATATGAAATTCATTTCATAAATACATCTTACCGTGCCCTGATTATGTTTCTAGGTTGGGGGGCTTATTAATGTGTTTGTTCAAATGTGAGTTATGCTGATGCTGGAATAGCTTTTATCAACAATGTTCTTTTGACGGATGTTAGAGACATGTTGTACATCGTATACACCCGTGGGGCATTTATCTAACATGATTCAACAACACACTGAAAGTCAAGGTAACTCTGTAGGAACTTGAGGTAAAAAAAGAACTTGTTTAAGGATGACTTATTTATGAGTATTTATCATTGGAATTTAACAAAACTTGGTATACATGATCTCCAGGGTGGGGTTGGATTAATTCATGAAAAATCAAAACATTTTCAAATTAGAAAAACTCTAAGTAACTAAACAAAAACCTGTCATATCTCATGGTTGTGTCAAATGTCAAGTTCATTCTGAAGGGCATTCAGTCATGAAATGACTGTAAGTAGGTGCATTGCGATAGTGTTGTCAGTGTGGTATGAAAACTTCTTATTTATGACACCGGCTATGTTTGCAACTAAAAATATTCTAGCATAGTTATGATAGGATAACGTTGAAGGTCAAGATCACTCATTGAGTTTCAGGTGTACATAATGACTTGAGCCCCGTGAAGATCCGGGTTAGAATATATTTTTAGCAACCCATGCTTGTAGTGAGAGAGGGCTAACAGGATCAGTTGGTCAAGCTCACTGACATGGTTGATGCATGTCATCATGTCCCAATTGTGTGGATTGATGCTAATAACATCTGGTCTGGTCCAGACTTGATTATTTACAGACTGCCAGCTTATAGCTGGAATATTGCAGACTGCAGCGTTAAACAACAAACAAACAAACATGATATCAGCCACTCAGCTCTATTCAATGCATATGACAGCAGGATGTAACAAATTATGTCTGAACCAGGCAATCCAGTGATTGACTTTACTAAGTTGAGCTTAATCAGTGAAGGGTTTGTGTCAAGATTATGTCTGATTAACAATTTTATGTTTTTTCTTAAAAAATTGTATACAAGTCAACCAAGTGATGAAATGGTACCTGTTTCATGTAAGGAATTTATGATTCAATGATTCCCTGGTAACAAGTTCAAATGATGGGAGTGTTTATTCATGGTCTCTTCATGAAACTTAGCAGCTTTGTTAGGACTGGTGCCTATTGTTTTCACGAGAGACCTGCATGATAACCTTACAACAACCACGGGAGACCTCCATGATAACCTCACAACAACCACGGGAGACCTTCATGATAACCTCACAACAACCACGGGAGACATCCATGATAACCTCACAACAACCATGGGAGACATCCATGATAACCTCACAACAACCACGGGAGACCTCCATGATAACCTCACAACAACCACGGGAGACCTCCATGATAACCTCACAACAACCATGGGAGACCTCCATGATAACCTTACAACAACCATGGGAGACCTCCATGATAACCTTACAACAACCACGGGAGACCTCCATGATAACCTCACAACAACCACGGGAGACATCCATGATAACCTCACAACAACCATGGGAGACCTCCATGATAACCTTACAACAACCATGGGAGACCTCCATGATAACCTTACAACAACCACGGGAGACCTCCATGATAACCTCACAACAACCACGGGAGACCTTCATGATAACCTCACAACAACCACGGGAGACATCCATGATAACCTCACAACAACCATGGGAGACATCCATGATAACCTCACAACAACCACGGGAGACCTCCATGATAACCTCACAACAACCACGGGAGACCTCCATGATAACCTCACAACAACCATGGGAGACCTCCATGATAACCTTACAACAACCATGGGAGACCTCCATGATAACCTTACAACAACCACGGGAGACCTCCATGATAACCTCACAACAACCACGGGAGACATCCATGATAACCTCACAACAACCATGGGAGACCTCCATGATAACCTTACAACAACCATGGGAGACCTCCATGATAACCTCACAACAACCACGGGAGACATCCATGATAACCTCACAACAACCATGGGAGACATCCATGATAACCTCACAACAACCATGGGAGACATCCATGATAACCTCACAACAACCACGGGAGACATCCATGATAACCTTACAACAACCATGGGAGACCTCCATGATAACCTCACAACAACCATGGCAGACCTCCATGATAACCTCACAACAACCACGGGAGACCTCCATGATAACCTTACAACAACCATGGGAGACATCCATGATAACCTCACAACAACCACGGGAGACCTCCATGATAACCTTACAACAACCATGGGAGACCTCCATGATAACCTCACAACAACCACGGGAGACCTCCATGATAACCTCACAACAACCATGGGAGACCTCCATGATAACCTCACAACAACCATGGGAGACCTCCATGATAACCTTACAACAACCATGGCAGACCTCCATGATAACCTCACAACAACCATGGGAGACCTCCATGATAACCTCACAACAACCATGGGAGACCTCCATGATAACCTCACAACAACCATGGGAGACATCCATGATAACCTCACAACAACCATGGCAGACCTCCATGATAACCTCACAACAACCATGGGAGACCTCCATGATAACCTCACAACAACCATGGGAGACCTCCATGATAACCTCACAACAACCATGGGAGACCTCTATGATAACCTTACAACCATGCGACTACCTCCAACACCACGGGAGACCTCCATTGTAAGAGGTATGATCATGTTTATGTGGATGAATCTAATCATTATGTATTTGTTCCTCAGCACCTGGCCTGTCTGCTCATAACATCTCAGGTCGTGGGTCAGATCCGAGAGGCTATCGTGCCATTCTTCATCTTCCGCCGCCGAGCCCGACAACTGGACACTGTGTTGAAGAAGACGGAGGCGTTGCAGATGGTGAACGGCCGGGACGATGTGGCGAAGGTGGTGCAGAAGCAGGCCAACTTGGAGGCCACCATGGACCCTTATGATGTCAGTATAACCCCGTTCTATTAACTTGTACAACACGGGGAGTAAGTGAGTGAGTGAGTGAATTGGGTTTAACAACGCTTTTAACAGTATTCCAGAAATATCGCGGCATGTCAGCTTAATGTTGGAAGTCTTTTATCATAAGATGACCAAATACTGCCTCCAATACAGGAGGGCATGGTGAGAAACTGCAGGTTTCAACCCTTGACACAAACTAGATCAAAATAATGGCATTAGTACTATAAACAACTTGTGAACATTTTAAACACTTTTCATGCTTATTTTGGTACTTTTACCTGGTACCTTCTACAGAGACTGAAGTTCCGTTTGTCATCATGTTGCAGGGTCCAATGGACGACTACCTGGAGCTGTTTCTGCAGTTTGGCTATGTCTACCTCTTCTCCTCCGCCTTTCCACTGGCCGCTCTGTGGGCACTTCTCAACAACATCACAGAAATCAGAACCGATGCCTTTAAGATGTGCAAAATCTTCCAGAGGCCTTTCTCAGAGTCGGTGCCAAACATTGGTGCATGGCAGGTAAAGATAATGTCACTCTCATTAAAATCAGCCCTTTTACTCGGAGACGATACCTCACTGTGTGAAGACATGATGACACCTCCATAGAAGGACATGTCAGATGAACCCTGAGTGAGCTTCGACCTTCAAAATTCTCGGAATGAGCGAAGCATTCAGACCAGCAATTTGGATTTGGATATTTTGAAAATGAAGTTTATCAGACTGTTCTGAATATAATTAATAAAGGCTGTGACATTATATTGTTGTGGAGTACCATCCATTGAAGGAATATTTGGGTTCCGTGTGAGTTTTCTTTAAAATCAAATTTCCAAATTGAGGTGATAAAGAAATTAAGCCAAATCATTTCAATAAGCTGACATTTGATTGGCTCGAGGTCTTTCAGGGGCGGTCACGTAGCCTAGTGGTTAAATCGTTCGCTTGTCACACCGAACACCTGGTTTCGATTCCCCACATGGATACAATGTGTGAAACCCATTTCTGGTGTCCCCGGCGTATTGGGGTAAAACTATGCTCACTCACTCACTCGAGGTCTTTCGTTTAGATTGGGTGGTCAATGTTCGCCCATGGTCCACCTGACACAAGTTCTATGGAGGTGTCATCGGATGTCACGTAGAGAGGTGTCAGAGTAAAAGATCTCATGTTAATTAGATTGAGAAAATGGAAAGATATCCTCACCTGACTTATAGGTGCCATGTTGTCTGTCATTCTAGGATTTGGAATAAAAGTAATAATTTTTCAGAGGGACTTGGATATTGGAAAAAAGACTCCTAGTAATTCTCAGAGAAATAATAATTTACTGGCTAGTTTTGATTGTTTGCATAAGGCTAAAGGCAACAAGGCTTTGAATCACAAGGTTTGTATCTGTGTATATTCATGGACTAATGTTGGATGTCCAAAAATGATTCGTTAGTTATTTTGTTTATAATTCTTGATCTAGAATCTTTGTTTCAATTAAAATCTGCTTGTCTGAAGCCACCATTAGTTATGACGTAAAATGAGGAACTGTCCAGTGAGATATGTAGTTTTAATGTATGATGTCAGAGCAGATTTGGGTGTGACTGACAAACTGTGATACTGTTGCACTAATTCAGTTGCAATCATTTATGAATCCTGTAGACTTGAGATTATGTTATCTGAATTACAGATGCTTGTTTATCAGCTTTAGTCAAGATTTCCTATATTTTCTTTCAGGTGGCATTTGAAATTATTGGGGTCATCTCGGTAATGACGAACTGCGCCCTGATCGGGATGGACCCCGAAGTACAGAAACTCATGCCTTCCAATGTCACGGCTGTCAACATCGTTCTCATCTTTGTTGCTGTCGAGGTATGGAGACTCGGACGTGTGGTGTGTGGCAGCAGGCTTGTTAAAACTTGTATGCAGCATACCAACACTTTGTAAACATTTCAGATATGTTAGAATTTGCTGTTCATGTGTATCCTTCAGAGCCTCATTGCTCCATCTGCTTTATTCAATCAGGAAATTTTGTGTTTTGCAGATTTGCATAAAGTGATGTAGTTTGAATAATTTGTTTGATACCAAGTTGTGGTATATTTACAAGTCTATACAAGCTCCATTTCTGAGAATTTTTTGTCTCCAAGTTACACATACCATGTGGCCCCCTACTTCTATTTTTCAAAATCAAGGGCAGGTAACTCTGAAGACTATGTCAGCTATGACAGTTGGGTGGTAGAGACATTACATAATTTTTCTCTCCTTTTCTTCAAATTTAACAGATTATGGAAACTGAATGTGAAGTGTATTGATACCCTGTGACTTTAAGTGTATTCATTGCTGCAGCATCTGGTGTTGGCGGTGAAGGCTGCCGTGGCGTTCTTCATCCCGGACGTACCCAAGTGGGTGGAGCTACAGGTTGCCAGACAGGAATACCAGCTGAGGCAGGGCATGATGAAGGAGGTCGGTACACACCTACTCCTTGTCCTGATAATGTTGTGGCAGCCATTTTGTTTCTCAATTTACAGGGCCATGTTTCCTAAAGCGATCATAACTGTACAACTATCGTAACTCCTATACTTCAGCATTGACTTACGACAGTCATAGTGCTATGATTTCAGTGTGAAACGGCCCAAGTATCTTAAGTTTACACAGTTTTCTATTGTTATCTGATTCATGTGGGGAGTGCGGGGCAGAACAGTATCCCCAGTACCCCAGATGCAAGGTTGTAACTGGGTTCTGTTCCCCTTCGCTGCTTATTGCTGGGTATTCATGCATTCATAATGTCCGATGCTGATTTTGCACAATCCTTCACAAACTCTGACAGAGTGCACATTAATAAATTTGCAAAATGGTTATTTTGTCAAAAAACATAATTCAACCACATGTAATTATTTATGTTGTATTTTCCCTTGAATCCTAGTTAATATACAACTGTTTTGTTGGTTTCCCAAAACAAGGTTTAGAGTGGTATGTAATTTTTTCTTTTTCCCTTGTATCATGTAATAAGACATAGATATATATGATTTTATCATTTAGAAATGTAATATGCCAAACCATTGATTCTTCAGACATTCCTCTCAAGTTTTGTTTTGTTAAACCTGTTGGTATAGGTCATCCCCCTCAATTATCTGTCTTAATCCTGGCAATCTCCCTAGCATTGTCTTGAGGCTTAAAACTCTTGACTTGATTTCAAATATGTTTCTCGTTAGATTAACACTTTTCCTAAATACATTGCAGGCAATATATTCAGAGCTTCTGTATCCACAAACACACCGCTATCCTTCAAAATGTACTGGCTGATCGACATGCTGATACTATTGTAAAGCATTATGCACATCGTACCATTCAGAGAAGCATTAAGGAACCGACTATTTGATATTGAGGGAGGGGGCTTGGATTTTGTATGGAGACTAGATATGTTTTCAGCTACATTTGCAAAACCATATACATTGTATTTTCTTAAATTGAAACTATTAGCTGAATGTTTTTTAAAAAAAATCATTTCATGCAACAATGTATTTTTTGTGGCTTACAGATCATTATCCCCCACCTTGATGTTAATGATAACGCTTATTTTAAAGCATTATATGGGACAGTGTATTTTTTTCGATCAAATCCCCGCTTGAGCCCCCCATCCCGAATATTATATGGTCACCCCAGAGCCCTATACAATGCAATAGCTCAGCAAATATTGGGGAGTTGAGTGGTAATATGATCTAGAGTATCAGAGTGACGCCTTCATACAACAGTTTGCTTAAGTGGCTGGCCTGTAAAGGGTCAACAACATTTGCTTGCATTTTAAGTTGAGGGGATGGAAACATTCTTTGACTATGTGGATTGGAATCCTGTTGTTTGACACTCTTCTCTCCAGAAAACTGCTTCTTCTCCTCAGCTATTAATCAAGTATTAATGAGACGGTAGAATGAGACCCTAGGGTCCTACTACACAGGGTCTCACTCTACAGTCTCACTCCTCAGGATCTCACTCCATAGGGTCTCCACAGGGTCTCACTCTATAGGGTCTCACTCCACAGGATCTCACTGCATTGGATCTCACTCTACAGGGTCTCACTCCATGGGCTCTCACACTATAGGGTCTCACTCCCAAGGATCTCACTACACATGATCTCACTCTACAGGTCCTCACTCCACAGGGTCTCCACAGGGTCTCCACAGGGTCTCACTCCACAGGATCTCTCTACACAGGGTCTCACTTCTCAGGATCTAACTACATATGATCTCACTCTCCATAGGGTCTCACTCCACAGGATCTCACTCTACAGGATCTCACTCCATGGGGTCTTACTCCACAGGGTCTCACTGCTCAGGATCTCACTCTACAGGGGCTCACTCCATGGGGTCTCACACTACAGGGTCTCCCTCTGCAGGGTCTCACTCCCCAGGATCTCACTACACATGATCTCACTCTACAGAGTCTTACTCCACAGGATCTCACTCTGCAGACTCAATCCACAGGGTCTCCACAGGGTCTCCCTCTGCAGGGTCTCACTTCTCAGGATCTCACTACACAGGATCTCACTACACGTGATCTCACTCTACATGGTCTCACTCCCAAGGATCTCACTGAACATGATCTCACTCTACAGGTCCTCACTCCACAGGGTCTCCACAGGGTCTCACTACTTAGGATCTCTCTACACAGGGTCTCACTTCTCAGGATCTCACTACACTGGATCTCACTTCTCAGGATCTCACTACACGTGATCTCACTCTACATGGTCTCACTCCCCAGGATCTCACTACACATGATCTCACTCTACAGGTCCTCACTCCACAGGGTCTCCACAGGGTCTCACTCCACAGGATCTCTCTACACAGGGTCTCACTTCTCAGGATCTCACTACACAGGGTCTCACTTCTCAGGATCTCACTACACAGGGTCTCACTTATCAGGATCTCACTACACAGGGTCTCACTTCTCAGGATCTCACTACACAGGGTCTCACTTCTCAGGGTCTCACTATACAGGGTCTCACTTCTCAGGATCTCATTACACAGGGTCTCACTTCTCAGGATCTCACTACACAGGGTCTCACTTCTCAGGATCTCACTATACAGGGTCTCACTTCTCAGGATCTCACTACACGTGATCTCACTCTACATGGTCTCACTCCCCAGGATCTCACTACACATGATCTCACTCTACAGGGTCTCACTACACAGAGTTTCACTCTACAGACTCATTCCACAGGGTCTCACTTTACAGGGTCGCACTACACAGGGTCTCACTCCACAGGGTCTCACTCCACACGGTCTCACAGGTTCTCACTTCATAGGGTCTCACTCCACAGGGCTCACAGGTTCTCACTACATAGGGTCTCACTCTACAGGGTCTCACTCTACAGGGTCTCACACCACAGGATCTCACTCTACAGACTCATCTACAGGGTCTCACTCTACAGGGTCGCACTCCACAGGATCTCATTCTGCAGACTCAATCCACAGGGTCTCACACTAAAGGGTCTCCCTCTACAGGGTCTCCCTCTGCAGGGTCTCACTTCACAGGATCTCACCTCACAGGATCTCACTACACGTGATCTCACTCTACATGGTCTCACTCCCCAGGATCTGACTACACATGATCTCCACAGGGTCTCACTCCACAGGATCTCCACATGATCTCACTCTACAGGGTCTCACTCTACAGAATCTCACTCTACAGGGTCTCACTCCACAGGATCTCACTCCACAGGATCTCACTCTACAGGGCCGCACTCCACAGGATCTCCACAGGGTCTCACTCCACAGGATCTAACTCTACAGGGTCTCACTCCACAGGATCTCACTCTACAGGGTCTCACTCCACAGGATCTCACTCTACAGGGTCTCACCACACAGGATCTCACTCTACAGGGTCGCACTACACAGGGTCTCACTACAAAGGATCTCCACAGGGTCTCACTCCACAGGATCTCACTCTACAGGGTCTCACTACACAGGATCTCACTCTACAGACTCACTCCACAGGGTCTCACTCTACAGGGTCTCACTCCACAAGGTCTCACTCTACAGACTCACTCTTCAGGGTCTCACTCCACAGGGTCTCCACAGGATCTCACTCTACAGGGTCTCACTCCACAGGATCTCACTCTACAGGGTCGCACTACACAGGATCTCACTCCACAGGATCTCACTCTACAGACTCACTCCACAGGGTCTCACTCTACAGGGTCGCACTCCACAGGATCTCACTCTACAGACTCACTCCACAGGGTCTCACCCTACAGGGTCGCCCTACACAGGGTCTCACTCCACAGGATCTCACTCTACAGACTCATACCACAGGGTCGCACTACACAAGGTCTCACTCCCCAGGATCTCACTACACAGGATCTCACTCTACAGGGTCTTACTCCACAGGATCTCACTCTACAGACTCACTCCACAGGGTCTCACTCTACAGGGTCGCACTACACAAGGTCTCACTCCCCAGGATCTCACTCCACAGGATCTCACTCTACATGGTCTCACTCCACAGGATCTCACTCTACAGGGTCTCACTACACAGGATCTCACTCTACAGGGTTGCACTACACAGGGTCTCACTCTACAGGGTCTCACTCCACAGGATCTCACTCTACAGGGTCTCACTACACAGGATCTCACTCTACAGACTCACTCCACAGGGTCTCACTCTACAGGGTCTCACTCCACAAGGTCTCACTCTACAGACTCACTCCACAGGATCTCACTCTTCAGGGTCTCACTCCACAGGGTCTCCACAGGATCTCACTCTACAGGGTCTCACTCCACGGGATCTCACTCTACAGGGTCGCACTACACAGGATCTCACTCCACAGGATCTCACTCTACAGACTCACTCCACAGGGTTTCACTCTACAGGGTCGCACTCCACAGGATCTCACTCCCCAGGATCTCACTACACAGGATCTCACTCTACAGGGTCTTACTCCACAGGATATCACTCTACAGACTCACTCCACAGGGTCTCACTCTACAGGGTCGCACTACACAAGGTCTCACTCCCCAGGATCTCACTACACAGGATCTCACTCTACAGGATCTCACTACACAGGATCTCACTCTATAGGGTTTCACTCCACAAGGTCTCACTCTCTATAGGGTCTCACTCCACAGGATCTCACTCTCAGGGTCTCACTCTCTATAGGGTCTCACTCTCTATAGAGTCTCACTCCACAGGATCTCACTCCACAGGATCTCACTCTACAGGGTCTCACTCTCTATAGGGTCTCACTACACAGGATCTCACTCCACAGGGTCTCATGGGTTCTCACTACATAGGGTCTCATTCCACAGGGTCTCACACTACAGGTTCTTGTCACATGCAGTCTCCATAGGTCTTTCTTCACAGGGTCTCATTCCAAAGGTTCTCACTCCACAGGGTCTCACTCCATAGGGTCTCATGCCACAGGGATTCATGACCAGCCTATAATGTTGTATTTATATGTACAAAGATTTTCACATTGCAACTTATATTTTATAGAGCCATTTCCAGGTGACTCAGCACATTTATATGGTAAACCTTGCTTAATAATACTTCTGTTTACCTCTCATATTGTTTGTGTTCACAGAGAATGGCAGCATCAACACGCACAAAACAAATCCTGAAGAAAATGATCCAAACCCGGAAACCCATGACAACCGACATGAAGTAGACCGTCCTGCACAGGGGAGTCGTAATCCAGGAAGACTGTGGTGGAAGCTCTGTCGTCTTGTTCTACTTCTATCTCTAAGTATGGCCTGACCCAGGGCACTGATATGCATCAGTTTTCAACACCTTTCTTTTTGCTTTCATTGTTAAGTCAGTGGAGTAAATCTAAATACTATCCTTTCGGTTTTCAATTATATACTAAAATATAGCATAAGATGAGAGTAGCATACAGCTACTCGATCATAAGTCTGATATGTCAGTGCAAGGATTATATAGAAAAAGGTTGTCATACACCAATAAGGTATTCATACCTACAGAGTCTGCCCAAAAATGGTTGCCCATCTGGTGGAGAAATATTCGGTTTTATTTTTCATCTCTAATTTTCTGCAAACTCATTTTGATAAAAATTATAAGCATTTGCATTAATGATCTGTGTGTGATGGTATATAAGACTTTGTTGTTGATTTTTTCATATTGTGATGACATTGATGTTTGAGTTGATTGGATTTCAGAGAAATCAACTCCATTTTCAAAGTACTTGTCTAAATAATGATACTATTAAGGCAAACAAATGAAGTGGTTTTTTTTACCGAAGCAAACCTTGAGTATTAACTGCCTCAGCGTGTGAGTAAATCATGTCCTAAATTTATGAAGGCAACAAAAATGTAATTGCATAATTTCTAAAAGTCTATAACACTGGTATTATAGTTATATATATAGTATACTAGTATAATACTGGTATTGACATAAAACTTCATCTATCCTTGAATGTTGACTGTAGCAAAACTAGTCGAAGCCTTCATCAAGAGTCTAGCACTCATGGTCTTCCTGTCACCATGTGCCTGACAGTGCAGAGACTATTCACCTAACCACTGCCATGCTCAGTATCATGTGTTTGCATGAACCTCTGGTGTGTCAATCCAAGCATGTGTTAGAAGCTCAAAAACGTCCTGGGTACATGTGATGAATACCTTAGATGTTGGTTTGATGAGTGAAGATTAATTCATTTTAAAACTAAATTTCTGTCATCATTTTATTGATCCATAACTTGTTGTTCAGAAAATAGTATTCCAAAATTTATTTTGATATTCTACATTTAAAGCTGGGACAAATGATTGGTTTAACTGATTTGTTCTGGGATATTTTCCACATAATGAAGCCATATGCAGAATCAAACCTAGGTCTTCTGCTAGATGAACTGAACCACTAACCTCTGGACCACCCACTTACAACTTAGGTGACTGTGTTGAGTTATTTGTGTGTGAAGTGTTGTGCAATACTCCTTTACTTTTATAAAGGAAATATTTTTACTATTTCTGTAGTACATTTTAGTTACAGAACAATTTAGTGAATAGTTTATGTGTTAATAGAAGTTAAGTTGTTGATCTGAATATGCCACTGAACATATCATGTTGCTTATCTTTTCCTTTGAATGGAGTGTAGATTAAATACTTATACCTCTGTCTTTTTCCCCCAAAGTCTCATCTCTTTGGGTCTCTGTGATAGTTTTGATCATGGGACATGAAAATATCTGTTGCTTTGATAGATGATTTAGATATTGATGAACTGAACCACTATTTTGGAGTAATCAAATGCTATGACACAACAGGATGTATGAAATATCCGGAAAATAAGAATGTGGCCTTTATTATTTCAATTCAGAACTGCCTGTTTAAGTTTGTTTTTGAGATTCAGAAATCAGATATGCTACTCTGTATGCTCTGTTCGCTTGTACCAAGAACTTATATTAAATTGGATTAACAACCAAAACAACATCTGGATTAATAACAATATGAGTAATTTGCTTTATTAAATATCATTTTTGTCCCAAAATATTTTAGATAATTATTGTTGATATTTGTATTGATGTTGGTACTTATCATGTGAATTGTTTTCTTCATCTGCTTTTATGCATTTCAGTATTTTTTATACTTTCCTACCTTTTCATAACATATCTAGTGTACTTTTATCAGCAACTATATATTTTCAGGGTTTATTGGTTGTTGTTTTAGTGTGTGTTACAATTTGGTATAAATGTTAATGTTTCACAGAGGGATAGAATTGAAAAGCTCATCTTTTAGTATTAATATTGGGATTTATGTCCCAGTTGTGTGAAAATGCTCAACTTGGAATGAACAACATCCAAGGAAAAGTCTCAGTACCCCAAAACTTTTAAAAAACTTATTTATTATATACATGTATTCATGTATTCACATTCTTCATGTTTTAATTAGTGCTGTTACAGGAGCCTTTTGCATAAATGTGGAATTCAAATGTAATGACATTTGACATTAAATATTTCAGTAGAGGCATGTGTTTATGTGGTAGTCCTTATGACCTATATAATAATCCTTCAGTGGTAGTGGTAGTAGTTCAATTACCATCCTCATCACCAGTCTTCCAATATACAGTAAAAATAACTTTTGTTATTGGTTTTGTTTCTCATGTTTGAGGTTTTTGAAAAAATCAATTCAGCAACTTTCTTTCATATGACGATTTTAAATGCAGAGTCGCTAGTCATAAAGTAAATGTTTCGCCATCTAAAGCACTGTGGTTAGAGTTACCTGCCCTTGCTCTAGGAACTAGTAACTAGATCTAGTCAGTGTTTGTATTCAGTGAGGAGGACCACAAATCTGAATAGGTGACTGATTATTTTAGAGTAAAAGTTTAATTTAGTTTTTTTTGTCCATAATTTTTTATTTCCATCCCTGAATATGTGATTGTTATAACAAAAATGATATATCGTTTACATGTAGTTCTGACAATGATTTAGTTGTCTCCTAGTGACTGATAGAGTCGGGTAGCCAAAGTATGTGGCAGCCTTCTAGTTGTATATTAGACTTACATTATAACCTTTTGTGATGTCATATACCAAATAAAAAAACTAAAAGACATCCAGAGACACAGCTGGTCATTTGAACCAGTTTACCATTCTGGTTTCAGGTTAGGGAATGCTCAGTGTTCTTCTTCCGATTCCTTATACTTTTAAAACCATACAGCTTGACAGTTATACTGTACGCTAGTCCTTCAAATTTAGTACTCATAGATTTCAGTGCAAGTTAAGATTTGTTTGATTGTTGTTTAATGCCGCCTCAGCAATATGACTGTGGTCTATAAATAATCGAGTCTGGAGCCAGACAGTCCAGTGATTGACATCATGAGCATCAATCCACGCAATTGGGATACAATGACACGCATCAACCAAGTCAACGAGCCTGACAACCCGATCCCGTTAGTCGCCTACTACGACAAGCATAGTCGCCTTTTACGGCACGCATGGGTTGCTGAAGACCTATTCTACCCAGTTTCTTCAAGGGTCACAAGTTAAGAAAGATAACAGTGATTGATATATTTTAAATGTTTCGAGCTTTATTATATATATATACTTATCGCAAGGGGTCAATAAGTACAGATGATGATCTCTCAGCCTGACTTCGGTGGAAACAAGGCTGTGAGTACAGGGAAATCCCAAGGCGCAGATGTGCATGATAATTAATTAGGTAGCCAATCAGATTTCAGTATTTTATCTCGTGGTGTGATGTACATATATCATAAATAGAACTTGATACATGAATAGATTTTCAGAAAACATTCATGGTTGGCGTGAATCATGAATTATACATATGCATTTATGTAAAGTGTAATGGACTTAGGAGCATGTAGAGATTTACGATACCTGACTCTACTAGGTATAGGTGTCACAGATGTATACATGTAATAATATATTCCTATTTCTTGTGTTTAGTTAAGTGATGAGTCCCATGTATGCATGCTGTTTTTGGTGATAGGAATATACATGTATTTATTTCAAAAACTGACATTATAGGGTATGGGTTGAAGTATTGTGTATTGGGTCTTGTGTTTTCTCAGTTGTGTGGAGAATATTATGTAATCATAGTGTACAAATATATCAGCCATATATTTCCACCTTGGTGACAGCTATGCCGAAGTCTAGAAAGTCTTTCATATCGTGTTGTTTACAAACATGATTTGATCAGTGATGCAAGAACATTGACATTGAGAAGTTGTTAAGACTTGAATACACTCGCTGAATGCCTATTGACATTGTCTTGAAGCTAATGTGTTTTATTGGTAATACTCTGTGAAGCGAGAGTAATTATTGTTTTCATCAGAATATTTTCACCTGAACAAATTATGCATAGAAACGTTTAAACTGTGAGAACCTTGAGACAAGCTTAAACATCACAGCTCACATGGCAAAATTTTCAGATGACATTTTGAAGAACCAAAAATAACATTAGGCTTTTTCTTTCTTGTTATCTTCCTTGCCTTCCAACCAGTATTGTCACAAAAATATATGTTTATCATTGAAGACATAAAAATTCTCTCCTTGTTACCAGATTTTGATGAAAGCATATTGTAACAACAATGCACATACTTTCCTCATGAAAACATGTACCCTGTATGTGTGCTCCCCCTTTCCTCCATCAGTCAGTCAGTCCCTATGTACTTCCTGGGTGTTAAGCAGCTTTTGTATGCTATTTTCTTTACAACTTATCACAAAAATGTTTAAATGTATGATAACATTGAACTTACATTTATTTATGCAAGGTCTGACCATTTACGTCTTGTCTTACCGATAAATCTGACGAGATTCAGGAGGCAATATGATGAACAAAAACATTGTCAGGCTTGATGGAAAGTAAATTCTTAAAAATAGTTCTTTTAAATAAGAGTAAAAACATTTATTTATGCAAGGTCTGACCATTTACGTCTTGTCTTACCGATAAATCTGACGAGATTCAGGAGGCAATATGATGAACAAAAACATTGTCAGGCTTGATGGAAAGTAAATTCTTAAAAATAGTTCTTTTAAATAAGAGTAAAAACAAAACTATAAACAAAATAATGTCAACAAAGAGCTTTGAATTATCAAAGCATATTTAATATCTTTTACTTATTCAAAATTTAGAAAAGATTTATCCATAAATAACAAAACTATATACCTGCCTAATTGAAGTAAAGATAAACAGTTACTGTTACGACAGTGGTTTCCCACTTTGTGTTAACTCTGCAATGATACTGATTGCATGACAACAGCTGCTTTACAGAATGTATATGGACGGAAGTTTTTCTTGTATCTTAATCTTTGAATTACACACAACTAAAAGTGATTAATGATAATCTTATGAAGTGAAGTTAAAGTTATTTAACGAGAAATGATAGGTCAGTCCTCTCAAGCTGCTACTGTAAATTTAGAGACACAGGAAATTGTCTCTTTTCAATCTCATTGAAATCAGATCTTTGTGCTACTCTATAGCTGTAGGAAGCACAAAGATCTGATTTTAATGAGGTTCGTCTCTTTTGATCATATCATAAAAGCTGTCAATGTGGTTTTATGACAGTTCGATTATTTCATCTTTAGTGATAATCATGATTGTGCCATACTGCGATCCTATTTCTGACTGCCATTATACAGGATGAGTGAAATACTGATTTCCTACACTCTTTGTTATTAAGCATTATTATATATCCACAGTGGACATGAGTCTAGAGCCATGTGGCATTTTACATCTCAGGGTATGCTCACTAAATGCTGAGGAGATCAATTATGATGAGAACTGTGTTAGATGTTTTGTGACAACTGTTTGTTGAGATGCTCCATGTTGAGCTCAGTGCTGACCACTCCATAACATGTGGAAATGTCAAGGTCATACCTCCATGGGGTCAAGATGAATTATTTTTGATACATCTCAAGACATGCTTGATGTGGTTATCCTGTCAGTAGGCATCAGAGTTGCTCATGTTGTTGACCCCATCTGTTTCTTTATTTTGACGACTCTTCTGGATTCTTTTATTTGTACTAAATTTTATTCATATATCCTTTTAACATGTTTAACCATTGTTACCAGTATAATAAAATAATGAATCTTTGCGATGATTTGTTTGATTTTTCTTGTTAACATCAAAGTTGGTCGAGAGTAGTTTCCGAATCAGCTTGTATTATTGGTGACTGTGCAAGGCAAGAAGACATTGCGATGGTGGAATATTCAGGGGATGAAGATAGTCCAGATGAACCTTTATGGACATGAATGAATGTCGGTGGTGGATCCAGGATTGAATTCAAATCAAAACGTGATTGAGGGACGGAGGCCGTAAGACAAATACTGTTAAAATGTGAAAATGTTTGGCACTTACAAATGACAAAACATACAAAACAGATTTGATGATAAAAATATACTTCCAGATGGTTATGAAGTCCCTTTCACTTACAAACGGACCGCAAGTCGGTTTAAGAGTATATTACACATAATAATGTGTACCAGTATATATATAATGAACCAAATCTAGCCCTGAAGTGTGCACAAGGATGCAAGGGTGCACAAGGGTGAGACCGAAATTGCTTAAATTCACCTGATTTGTGACCTGTGCGCTGTGCACAGAACCATGTGCTTCATACTAACATATGATCTGGGGGTTCTTGCTGCAATGAGTCTCAACACATGAATATGATCATACATGGTGATTCAGTCAGAAGAGAAAAGCAGACACTGAAGAGGGTGCATGCAGACCCCCTTTTGCTAGCCAGATGCTGATCCCTGGTGAGTGGTATTCTGGATGCTACAGTGCAGTAGGCTGAATGCCATGAAATATTAATCTGGTACGCACATGCCAATCTTTCAGTGTCAAAATAGATTTTTCGCCTTTTTATCTTGCAAAGAGAGACAAATCAATAAAATATTTAGCTCTAAGCTTATGATCATGCATGGTCATGCCTTCTATGTGAAATCCCACTCTATTTACTTGTACCATGTCAATGTATGACACAATATATTTCAAGTCAAGCTTTTATTTTTGTTAAATTTGAAACCCGTTTGATACAAAGATGATTAACACAACTGAAAGACCCCTCGACCTGAACAATTTCGGTCTGGCTTTTAACTAGCATATAGGGAATGAAAGTTTATTTGGTTGATATTATCTCAATTCAAGGCATATGAACAAAGCAGAACTTCAATTTTGTCTTATTTTACCTATTATCCAGAAAAATGGGTTACATATCTACATCAAATATATTATCTTAAATAATTGTCAGGATGTCAATTGACATAAACCTCCAATTTTCATCTAGATATGTGTAAGAAAGGGGGACTGATTTAAAGCAATTCCTCGGGACTGGTTGTTGCCCTTGTAATTGTTTTTTCCCGTGAGTACCCGGATGATATAGCAGAACTCTAGACTAGTTCTCAACCTGTGCTGCGCCATTCGTAAGCGCATTTGTCACTTTTATTGATAGTATAAGGGCTTATGGTCACATTGATCAACAAGATGAAATAGTTTTGGAAATAATAAGTAAATGTAGGTATCTTTGTGGGTAGCATCGGTAATGGTGACGAGGTTTTCATGAGTCACTTGCTTGGTAATTGTGCGATTTTCATTTACACTATTTTGACTTGCAACACAAAGTAAATATTTCACCTGAGCATTGCTTATCTTATCATGTTTATATTTTTACAGTCAAAATGTGCAAAATGTTCACTTAGGAAATTTATTAAACACCAAAATATTCAGTTATTTTATATTCAATCTGTTAAATAAATGGACAGACTTTTCAGTCAATTTGTAAAATGGATGAAATATTTAGACATATTATAAATTGCCTGAGTGAATCACATCTTACACATTGACTGTAACATATACAGGCTTACAAAGGAAAAGAACTGTGAAAACAACGTCTATTGTGCATCGATAATTTTAGGCAGCTTCCTTGCTCGAGGAACGTATCCATGAATATCCACATAAAGGAACAATATCCCACAAGTCTGCAGCTGTACGAAGAAACTTATTCGATGTCACGTGGGTCTGTAACAATCAAATATTTTAAAATATATATATATATCGTTTCTGGATGTTATAACCCATGTTGGGGGCACGGGTGGCCCAGTCGTCTAAGGCGCCGTGATTTGTTGTGCAGAGTTGCGTCCCTTGGGCATGCCAGAAACCTATGATTGTGGGTTCGAATCCCGGTTCGCCCCGATTATGTTTCTAGGTTTGTCAGCACCATACCTGTACTCGTGGGTTTCACCGAAGTGGTAAACGTCTGAGACCTGCATCACTTCGAGCTTTCCTCCCACATTAAGCTGACACGCCACGATATAACTGGAATATTGTTAAAGGTGGCGTTAAACCCAAGTCACTCAGTATAACCCATGTTCGTTTCTTAACTGTTTGTTTCAGTTGTTTCAAATAAGGTGTGAAGTCTCAAAGGTCAGCTGAGAAAGCCCATGTGACAGCTATTTTCATAATGTCCACGGTTCTAAATAAAATCCACTGAACAATGAGCAATCGATCAATCAACGTATTATCGGTTAACCCTTTGAACAAAGTATGTTGTTTTTACATCGGCACTTCACGCCATGATATGAGTGTATTCCCTTTGCTTTACCTGCTTTAGTGAACCTACACATGTAATCACTTACTTTTGACATATCCACTGTGCAAGATTACAGTGATTAAACAATCAATGTATTTTCTGTTGATCCTTTGATGGCTAAGAATGATCCGTTGATTTACAAAAAAGTAAATCAACTGATCATTCATCTCTTACTGGGCTGCCACGTGCATATTACATAACACACATTTCACCTCACCTCAAACCTGGATTTAGATTGAATAATTACCCCAGACACAAGAAATGCCAAATGGGAACCTTCATCAGGTATTCTGAGTGGTGCTACCACTAATTATACCTGTAATAAATTAATTAACTTGAGCATCAAGTGAATGATGACAAATACACAAGTGTAGGGTTATACCAGAAAACATGGATGACATCAAAGGGAGTAGTAATCGTATTATCCATGCAATCCGAAATCCGAAAATGCTTTCACTGCAGGGATACTTTTTTTTATTATTAAGCTATAACCATCAGGGGTATTTCCAAATAACGACACCCAATGAGCTTCCACCATTGTTGAGCCTGAAGAAATTAATAACATGCGCCCATTGTCGAAATCTTCACAGGTAACCAATCAGTGTTCAAAAATGCGTAAAACAGATATTGCCTCCAAGTTTATTTAACTGTCCTTGCAGACGGTAGCCCAGTCTCTTGTCACGCTCAGTTGCGTTAACGAGTAAAAAGATTCACGGCAGTTAGTGATTCCTAACGGCCATGCAGCGTCAGACAGCCAAGAAGAAGCCAGAGATAAGTGCCCCATTAAGACAATATTGTACACAAAGATTCCCCTGTTGAACCACAGGCCTGAACATAAACTTAAGATTTACTTCAAATTGCAATGATAACATTAAAATATTGATGTACTGAATTACTATGATTTTTAAAATCTTCTTTGATAATATTTATAATTAAAAATATGCATGAGTTTTTTTTGATAGTTGACAACATTTGGTCCCTTTCTGTCATGGCCATGGAACAGGTCACAAATTACTCAGAAAACATATACCGTATTCGACGTAATAAACACCCCGCTATTAATAAGCGCCCACGAGATATTTGCTTAATATTGGCCAGTGAACAATCCTAATTAGCACCCCTTCCAATTGATCAATGTACACAAGACTTATATATTCGCCTATAATACGCACCCGTGTGTTATATGCACACTTAATTATGGGCAATTAAATTCTGGAAACATATATCTGTCATCCATAAACATTTCAGGCTGTCAGCATTAATGACGAAATTTATCTTTTAACTCTGTTTTTTTTCACTGAAATAATATTCTAATAAGAGCCCCCTATTTCTAATTTTGAGAGCGCCCTGGACGCTTATTACGTCGAATACGTTATTCATATAGCAAAATGAAAATAGTTTTGGCAGTTCAATTGATTTGTTCATCAAGATTGTATTCAACATTTAATCATTCATAATCTACATCTTTAAAATTGGTCCAATACATTGCACCAGCTGTCAGAATGCATTCAATAACTTAAGTTACACACCATGAAGTACCAGCCATTGAATGGCTTGCCACTGGCAGGAGAGTTACCTCCCTTGGATTGACAGTGCATGTCAACAAAACACATGTCATTGAAGATTTGCTGTACATATATTCAGTAGCTGTGACAACATGTCTCCATACAGAGGAGCCCTGAGACGTTTAATGAGGTTGTCAACTTGTTGTAGGATAGAAGTCAATCACATATACATGTATTGCATTAGATACAGATATCAACATGACCTGACTATCACTTGGCTGGTCATAATACATGCATGTATATATTCCCTTCCTACTAGGGAAATAAGTTGATCCAAATGTTATTTTCAAACACCTAGGCCAGAGATCTATGTGGATGTTGAGATTCAAGTTTAGATCTAAATAGGTCCCCAGTAACAAAATCCATGTTTGTCACAAAATGTAATTTGTAATCACCTAGGCTAGATTGGTTGGTTGGTTTGTTGTTTAACGCCACACTCAGCAATATTCCAGCTATATAACGGCGGTTTGTAATTAATCGAGTCTGGACCTGACAATCCAGTGATTGACATCATGAGCATCGATCCATGCAATTGGGATCGATGACATGCATCAACTAAGTCAGCGAGCCTGACCACCCGATCCCATTAGTCGCCTCTTACGACAGGCAGAGTCGCCTTTTACAGCATGCTTGGGTTGCTGAAGACCTAGGCTAGAGACCCACATAGAGGTGGGGATTCAAGTTTGGAATAGGTCCCAAGTAGTCTAATCCATGCCTGTCACAAGAGTTGACTAGACGAGGATCTGACAGTTACAATATGTGACGTTCACGTCATGGATCATTGCTCATGATACAGACAGCTGTTTGGCCTGGCCAAGATGGGAATATTTTGTAGAAGGTTCTAATGTGATAAAGTCGGAATACTGCTGACTGGCGTTAAACATCATATTTTCTCCCTTACATATAATTACATACACAGGTGGAAACCTTGTATTGACATATCCAACTTGTGCACAGATTATTTCTGACTAGTCAGCAGTTATTATGCAGCATAGCTATATTTTGGGGAAAATAACTAGTCCTTCAACATTTCCTAACTCAGAAATATGTTAGTTTCATTGCGTATAGGCCTGATGTTAGTTTTGATATTTTGGTACTGTTGTATTCATCAAGACATTGTTAACAAAATGGTGTTTTATGTTCTGTGTTAATCTATGTTTACTCTGTATGACAGGGCATACCCGACACTCAACTTGAGGATTGATGTAAACGCCTCCCAACACGAGGCTGACGTGGTGCTGCCAGGTCTTCGTTATGAAGACATTGATTATACAGGTCAGCTTCACTTTACTTCACTTTTGCCAGAAAAGCTTAAAAATCAAAATGTAGATATTGAGATAAACAAATTGTCATAAAAATGTTTATTACCCATAGGGTTAGAAATAACAAAGTTAATAAAAATCATATGTGCACAACTGCAAATATCACTTCACGTGCACCACTGTATTGCTTACATCATGTGGACAGCGTCACACTAGAAACGGCGTCATAGCTGCAGATTGTTGACATCATTCAAAAGTTGTGATTTTCTAGGACAGCGGACGTGATCAGTGCATTTTTCAAAAAGGGGGATCAACAGGTTTAAGAAATAATGGGCAATAAAGAAAATATTACTGTTGTATGTGTATTTTACGAAACTCTTGTAAGCATTCATGTATTACCCTCAAATTCTCTCAGGAAATACAAGAATTCAGAAACTTGTTTCGGAAAATCAGAAAGACACACATGCTGGTATGATATCTCCAGCAATATTCCTGTCATAACGTGGTTTGGGGCCACCAAGAATGAGATTCAAAGACTGTATTACTGTCATAGGGAGTTTAGCTAAGTTATGTTCAGTGTTAAAGGCCAAAGGAAACTCTGGTTTAATGACCTTGACCCTCTTTGTCAGTCTAAGAAATGCTTGATTATTTCTAGTTGAAAATGTGGGTAAAAAGCTCTGGCGAACATATCATAGAAATTAATTCAGTTGGTTCAGTACACAAAGCAGAACGACCTTAACAATGACCATTCCAGGGACCTTGACCTTCAATGAAGGTCACACAAGACCTTATCAATGTCCAAAGCTGAAGATGATGTGTATCATATTTCATCCTACTGAACAGTGAACACTTCTTGAGTTAATGTCAACATAATACATGTTTAGGTATATAACCTTCATGTTTTCAACAAGAAATATTGTCGTAAGAGGCGACTAATGGGATCGGGTGGTCAGGCTCGCTGACTTGGTTGATGCATGTCATTGATCCCAATTGCAAGGATCGATACTCATGATATTAATCACTGGTTCGTCTGGTCCAGAGTCGATTATTTACAGACCGCAGTCATATAGCTGGAATATGACTGAGTGCGGCATTAAACAACAAACCAACTAACTAGAAATAATTAAGCACGTGTTTAACTAAAGTAGAGGGTCAAACGTCATTATACCAGAAGTACATGCAACTTTCTTATTGAAGTAGCTAGAGGCTAGAGGCTAGAGGCTAGGCAAGTTGTCTTGCATTGGACATGTGTTTTCCCACACCAGAAGTGATGGTATTTGACATGAAGTGACACAGTGGAATTGCCTTGAGGTTCATTATGCCAGCTAGAGGCAAGGCATTTTAATCTGGTAATAACGTAATTGTATCACACTGGATTTTATGTGTTGGTATGTAATGAATTCTGGGGACTTCGTGATGGGCCTGCTTCTCTTTTTGCTTGCTTGCAAACACGTGTCTAGTTTAAAACTATAAGCATGTAAAATATATACATTTTCAGAACTAAGGGATTAAATTTTGTCAAAGTCTGTGTATCAAGGACAAGAGAATGAACTCTAGATTTATTATGCTAGATCTGATTGATTTGGCAAAATGTGAATGTACATTTCAGTATCATATTAGTTATTGATTTCTTGTAAATGGTGAAGAACCACAAACGTGAATATCGGTTAGAGAAAGACAAAGGGTATACATTTGGGATTTGTTTTCTTTCATTTTTCATGTAAATAATGTCATCAGATCCGTGGTCCATCAAATATTAAAGAAAATTTCTATTTTCTCCCATGATTCCACAGGGCAGCCTGACATCTGGAGGATCTACGATATGATGGGAAGAGTGGAGTTTGCAGCTTTCTTCCAAGACTACTCTTTCGTGGACTTCACCTCTCTCTACAAGAAGGGAATCGGTGCCTTCGCTAAGGCTGTTAGTGTCGAGATAAAGAAGGGCTTTTACAAGACAACAACACCCAAAGCTCCACTGCATGTGCAGCTGAAACTCGACCACATAGGGGAGACAACTTTCACCATCAAATCTTCACTATCAACTGGCGGAAAACACTTACCATCGGTAAACATACAGAGTCTTTACACACTGCAGCATGTGGAGAGCAAATTGGTTGAGAAGATACCCGACTGGTGGAAAGTAAAATTTGCACCTCATATTGCAGCTGATGCTCAGAAACTCATCATCTATCCCCCCATGGATATTCCGAAAAAAGTGTTCACCCACTCTCTCACTGTACCGCGGATAGACACAGATATTCACACACGGACACGATGTTCATCGTATGCCAAGTATTTCATGGATAATGCCAGCATCGCTTCACACCGAGGCTTTTATCCTAACATGTCAACATCTTTTCATGAACTGCTTGTCAAGAAAATGAAAATGGTGTATTTTTCAGCCAGCAGCTGGGGTGACATGTTGACGGCAGAAACGTGGGAGGATGAGGATGTTCCACGGACATTACACTGTAATGTCATCAAGCAGGGACATCACATCTGGTACGGGTCAATGGTGTTTCATTCAGAACCTTCCCGCCTCTCTGAACCAGGTTCTACGTAACTCAGGAAGAAAGGGAAATTGATGGTTTGATCATGAATTTCCATTTTAACAGTTCTTATACCAGAACAATCAAATTTGGAAAAGCGAAATCTCTTCCAGTAAAACTCCCGTTTTAGAGTGTAAAGCCTTTTTATTATTATTCAGTTTGGGGATAAAAGAATAAACGGCAATGGTCAAGATAAAATAAAATTCCAAAAAAATATTTAAGTTCCCTAAGTATGTTTAGGAGGATGAAATAAGAATGTTGAAATGTAGGATGTGTGCTGTAAGAGTGTCTTTGTGAATGACAAGTTAATGAGATCCTTTTCCATCAATTAACTTACATTTTAGGTCATAATAATTTGTTTCATCCCCACCTGCCTCAGACTGAAACTCAAGACAGATTAAACAGTGTTTTCTTCTTTGTTTACTTGATGACATACACCACATGCAAACGGTCATGCTTCCTGTTGACAGTTAATGTACACAGATGACTTGAACAGTTTGCTAAAAAGAAATTAAGTTTTGTGGTGACAGGCTTGGGCTTACTTTATCCTCAGTTGACTAGAACTATTGGTGATGAATCTGTGTGCATAACTAGTGAAGAAGTGAACTTATCAGTATTGGTGATGAATCTGTGTGCATAACTAGTGAAGAAGTGAACTTATCAGTATTGGTGATGAATCTGTGTGCATAACTAGTGAAGAAGTGAACTCATCAGTATTGGTGATGAATCTGTGTGCATAACTAGTGAAGAAGTGAACTTATCAGTATTGGTGATGAATCTGTGTGCATAACTAGTGAAGAAGTGAACTCATCAGTATTGGTGATGAATCTGTGTGCATAACTAGTGAAGAAGTGAACTTATCAGTATTGGTGATGAATCTGTGTGCATAACTAGTGAAGAAGTGAACTCATCAGTATTGGTGATGAATCTGTGTGCATAACTAGTGAAGAAGTGAACTTATCAGTATTGGTGATGAATCTGTGTGCATAACGAGTGAAGAAGTGAACTCATCAGTATTGGTGATGAATCTGTGTGCATAACTAGTGAAGAAGTGAACTTATCAGTATTGGTGATGAATCTGTGTGCATAACGAGTGAAGAAGTGAACTCATCAGTATTGGTGATGAATCTGTGTGCATAACTAGTGAAGAAGTGAACTCATCAGTACTGGTGATGAATCTGTGTGCATAACTAGTGAAGAAGTGAACTCATCAGTACTGGTGATGAATCTGTGTGCATAACTAGTGAAGAAGTGAACTTATCAGTATTGGTGATGAATCTGTGTGCATAACTAGTGAAGAAGTGAACTCATCAGTATTGGTGATGAATCTGTGTGCATAACTAGTGAAGAAGTGAACTTATCAGTATTGGTGATGAATCTGTGTGCATAACTAGTGAAGAAGTGAACTTATCAGTATTGGTGATGAATCTGCAGGTTAATCTTGTGTTTGTGTGTCCCCTGTATCTTCAGGGCTGGCATTTCGGTAAACCAACAATAACCCCTGGATCCATCCCCATGGTTCTCGCGATCTCAAATTACCTGCCTTGAATTTCATTAGCCAATTTGAATTGCTACGCTACTCAGTCTAATGGACCAATCAGAATGTGAGTTACAAACCAGCCTCAATGTTGGGATAGCGACATCAACAACATGGCGCCCAGTCCCATTGATTACGACAGAGTTTGCGCGAAATTCAATTTTGAAAATCTGACCGACACGTAAAAGAAAGCCCTAAAAAATCTTTTTGACGAAAAGGATGTCTTCATGTACATTAAACTGACGGTTGCTTTGGTTTCTAGGCACTATGAGTTACGTCCCTTACCCATTTTCTTTTTCTTATCTTGATGTTTGATTGGTCTGTAAAATGTTAATGAAAATCAAGGGCGGGTAATTTGAAATTGAGAGAACAATGGGAATGGATCCTGTGGTTAGTGTAGGTTTAGCAAAATGCAAGCCCTGGACATACAGTGGATGGTGTTTGTGAATCTCAGATTGTATTTCATTCCTTGTAGCATGTTGATGTGGAACAGGTGATCATGTAAATATGCTGGATTGTTTTGTCTATTATTTCCTCATTTATCGAGCATTTGTTTTCTTTGGAACAACTGGCAGCTACCAGGTAATCTGGACCACCTTTATGACAAATGGGGGCACGGGTGGCCCAGTCGTTTAAGGAGCCGCGATTCGCTGTGCAGAGTTGCGTCCCTTGGGCACGCCAGAAACCTATGATTGTGGGTTTGAATCCCGGTTCGCCCTGAATATGTTTCTAGGTTTGTCAGCACTATACCTGTGCTTGTGGGTTTCACCGAAGTGGTAAACGTCGGAGAACTGCATCACTTTGGGCTTACCTCCCACATTAAGCTGACACGCCACGATATAACTGAAATACTGTTAAAAGGGGCATTAAACCCACCACACTCCACACTCACTCATGTTTATGTTATGTGCACCCAGTATTTTATGAAAGCTTCAATGAGTTTTTATGACTTGAGATAATTTAAACTTTATGCATAGGTCTGTGGAAGAATATAATATTATATTATTAATTTTCTTACTTTTCTTGATACTTTTCTTTCCAGTCATCCAGATATTTATTTTATCGGTAGATACAAGGTGAGGTGAAATGGGGTTTAACTTCGCGTCCATTGCACTTATATAGCTCTGCCTCTGTGTGCGTGAGTGAGTGCTTGCGTGCGTGCTTGTACTTGTACTAGTCTGGACTAATGCCGATTTATAGTGCTAGCCCACTGAGATACCATGCCGCAGTTAAACATGAATACCCAACTCAGACATAGTATACCGACTCCAAGCCAACCAGTCCTTGTTTTAGCCCCTTTTTTAACAACAAGTACCATCTTTTAACATCTTTTGGTATGACACGGCCGAGGATCGAACCCCGGACCTTCCGCTCTCTGGGCAGACGCTCTACCACTAGACCACGGAGGGCGTCCTGTAGATACAAGCTGTAGTTGTAGTGTCTGGGTCAGCTTACTGCTAAACACACACAACAAAATAGATCTAACCATGGTAGACCTAAATACATTTTTTAGGTCCATGATCAGGTGAGGTGAAATGGGGTTAAACGTCGCATCCAAGATTATTGCACTTATATAGCGACGTGCATGTACGTGTGTGTGTTTGTGTGGCTGCTTGTACTCGTCCGGACTGATGCCGATTTAAAGTGCTAGTTCACTGAGATACCATGCCGCAGTTTAACATGAATACCCCACTCAGACACAGTATACTGACTCCGAGCCGACCAGTCCTTGTTTTAGCCCCTTAATGCCGAGCGCCAGACAGGGTAACAACAAGTACCATCTTTTAACGTCTTTTGGTATGACGCGGTCGGGGATCGAACCCAGGACCTTCCGCTCTCCGGGCGGATGCTCTACCACTAGACCACGGAGGCGGTCCAGGTCCATGATCAGACTCATTATATGCAGGAGTGGCATAGACATTCCATATATATAGTGCTAGCCCACTGATATATATATATATAGGCCATTCTTTTTCACACACCTAAGAGTTCTGTCCCTTGAGTTCTTGAATCAGTCTGGTTATTCAGCAGGTTCAGAATTTGTAGTGATTGTGTATATAATAACATACATAAAATGATACAAAATGCAAACTTGGATTTCTGCATTGACACTAAATTATGGCCATTGAGAAATTGTAATAAATGACTTCATAGATGAAAAATTCTTTTGTTTCAAAGTATCACTGAATGGAATGCCAAGCCATGAGTAACAAAACCATAAAATTCCAAGAAACTCTCAGACTCAAATATGTAGTTCCATACCTTTATTCAATCTAGAGAAGTATTCAAAGTGGCATTTTCAGTATTCACAGGTCACAGTGGAAATATCTAACAACGAACATCCATTACTTAAATTATGTACCCCATTATTCAAAATAATTTTTGTTTTTGTAATAAGGAGTCACAGTTTATACATGTGATATCAAGCATCCATTTCTTAAATTGTAACCTATTATTCAAAATATTTGTTGTAATAACAAGTCACAGTGATATCAAACATCCATTACGTTAATGGTATAATTATCTACTGAAGTCAAATGATGTAATCTTCATGTTTACCTGTACAGAAAATCATGATAGCAACTGACAAGGCACCGATTAGTATCTAAGTAAAACATTGTGAGACTTCAGTCTGCAGACATATTTGTATTTTGTTAAAGCCACACTCAGCAATATTCCAGCTACTTTTACAGAGCAATAGTACAGAGACTGACATTGTGAGCAGCTAGCCAAGTTGCCAGGGTACAAAGACATAATAGATCATTCCTTCTCTTAGAACCATCGGAAGAAAAAATCAATCAATTATTCCAGTCATATATGCCACAAAGCACCCTTAATGTTAAGTTGATCACAACTCCCCTTAACAGACTTATAATCATTGTAGCGCTGAGATTGCTTTGTGGCCCTGTACTAAATCAGTTATTTCATTACTTTTTGCTGCTCTGGGATCCAAGGTAACATTTACATGCACAACAGGAATGTTTTGAAGATAATACACTAGGATTTTTGAGGTGTCTACAATGTTTTCCAATATCATCTATTTACTGGAATATTTTAGCCTGTTTGTCATTTTTGTTGATAAATAAATTATTAAAAACAGAAATGTGTTTCATCATGTTCTTTATTCCTCCAAACCAGGAGATTCACATGGTAGCTGTGTATACATGGTATACAGTGCATTGGTATGTATAGTTTTACACCGCTCTCAGCAATATTGAAGCCATATCACACACAGCTTCATACACTGTAGGAAATCGAACGTCTTGAGCATGAGAAACCAACGGTTTACATACTGCTCTCCAGGCAACATATTTCAGATATCATGATCTATTAGACTAACATCTAGTCCCTGAAATGAACATATCGTACAGAAATAAAATAGTTGTCAAATTATCTTTAATAAATTTAATAATAATAATAATAATTTAATAAAAAGGAGCCCAGAGACTCTCTTCAATTCCTGATACTGCAGAAATCTAGACTTGCCAAACATTATAGACTTGCATGGGCTGTATTTGATATATTTGTATCAGGGTCTGTAAGACAGACTAGTGATCTATGGGAATAGCTACTTGTCAACAGCTTTATCCAATACATGGAAAACATGTAAGCACCACTTCCAACATAATTCCATACAAATTAGCCATTTTCAAATATAATCCTGAACTATTTTTTCTGATAAATGCATTTGTTGTTGCTCAGCTAATGACATGTTTTGTACCAGTTCTAAAGCAATAGGTTGTTTTATGACCTTATCAACTGCTGCTTATTTTTTGCATCACATGATTGACCCAGTTTTTGCAACTAGTTCGAGTAACACATAGAGGAAGTTTATTGCTTAAATGTTAACACTCAGCAGTTTTGTTTGTAGAACTGGAGAAAAATGTGCCCAGGCATCATTCCACAAAGAATCTTAGAGCTTAGGTCATCGTAACTCCCATACTTTAATGATAGTCATTATGCTAAGATTGCTTTGTTGAACGAGGCCCAGGTGTCTGGCTTTCACATATATTCCCAGTACCTAGTTCATGTGGGAAAGAGAAACAATGTTCTTTGTGGAAGAAACTAATTTTGACGATGAAATCATTTATTGCAACAACTCATATTTCTGATCTCTGACTGTCCCTGATCACGTTGATACCAGTACAAGTATTGTACAAAGTTACAAATTTACACATGTTGAAATAGAAGCAAAGAAGTTCATTGGGGAAAAGTATAATTTCTGACTGTCCCTGACAATGGTAATAATATGAAACCTATTTCAACAACAAATTCAGATAAGCCACTGCTCGGAGTGAGTATGGTTTTTACGCCGCTTTTAGCAATATTCCAGCAATATCACGGCGGGGGAAACCAGAAACTGGCTTCACACATTATACCCATGTCAGGAATCGAACCTGGGTCTTTGGCGTGACGAGCGAATGCTTTAACCACTAGGCTACCAGAACGCACCTTCCAAGACTGAGAGGTCATCTCCTTGATCACTTGCAGCACATCCAGCACCATGCAGTCACTACTGAGTCAATGAACGAATCTTTGGCCTTAATGAACTCTATGGTACGCCTTGACAGCCTGATCAGCAGCTTGGGATGCTGCATGCACAGATCATCGCCGGTACACCCATCATACATCAGGCTGTACCCATTATATTTCTAATACTAAAATAGCTTGACTGGTGTATTTAACATACAAATATCTGTACACATGTAGAATACTAGTCATACATCAGTACACATGTGTATCATACATCAGTACACGTGTATCATACAAGACTCATACCGGTACATCAGTACACATGTGTATCATACAAGACTCATACCGGTACATCAGTACACACGTGTATCATACAAGACTCATACCGGTACATCAGTACACATGTGTATCATACATCAGTACACACGTGTATCATACATCAGTACACACGTGTATCATACATCAGTACACACGTGTATCATACATCAGTACACACGTGTATCATACATCAGTACACATGTGTATCATACAAGACTCATACCGGTACATCAGTACACATGTGTATCATACATCAGTACACATGTGTATCATACAAGACTCATACCGGTACATCAGTACACATGTGTATCATACATCAGTACACACGTGTATCATACATCAGTACACACGTGTATCATACATCAGTACACATGTGTATCATACAAGACTCATACCGGTACATCAGTACACACATGTATCATACAAGACTCATACCGGTACATCAGTACACATGTGTATCATACAAGACTCATACCGGTACATCAGTACACATGTGTATCATACAAGACTCATACCGGTACATCAGTATACATGTGTATCATACAAGACTCATACCGGTACATCAGTATACATGTGTATCATACAAGACTCATACTGGTACATCAGTATACATGTGTATCATACAAGACTCATACCGGTACATCAGTATACATGTGTATCATACAAGACTCATACTGGTACATCAGTACACACGTGTATCATACAAGACTCATACCGGTACATCAGTACACACGTGTATCATACATCAGTACACATGTGTATCATACAAGACTCATACCGGTACATCAGTACACATGTGTATCATACAAGACTCATACCGGTACATCAGTACACATGTGTATCATACATCAGTACACATGTGTATCATACAAGACTCATACCGGTACATCAGTACACATGTGTATCATACATCAGTACACATGTGTATCATACAAGACTCATACCGGTACATCAGTACACACGTGTATCATTCAAGTCTCATACCGGTACATCAGTACACATGTGTATCATTCAAGTCTCATACCGGTACATCAGTACACATGTGTATCATTCAAGTCATACAACAGTCAAACATCAGTACACATGTTACAATACAGTTATACATCAGCACTGGCAGTTATTAACATTAACAGAATGACGTGTGACTATGAAGTTGTATATTGCACATTCCCTGAGTTCTAGCTGTCATTCTTGAAACTGTTGTCCCTCTCTCAGCAGCTGGGTTGACTGTCAGCATCTTTCAGTTATATTTAGGACATCCAACACTCCTGCAAGCTGTGTCATTAATGTTACAATTGGGTGAGTGAGTATGGTTTTATGCCACTTTTAGCAATATTCCAGCAATATCACGGCAGGGGACACCAGAAATTGGCTTCACACATTGTACCCATGTCAGGAATCAAACTTCTTTTTGGCATGACAAGCGAACACTTTAACCACATGGCTACCCGACTGTCCCATATCAATGTTATTGCCTGTTAGTACCTTCAAGAACCTCTTCTGGTAGTTATTATATACTAATCCACATATGATAGGGATAATCTGAGTGTCCGGGGATACATGTACGTTGTTTTCTCCCGACTTCCGAGATTGGGCTAGCACAGTATCCCAATCAGTAGTGTATAAAAGTTCTCAAAATTTTAGTCAGACCACCGGACTATGCAACATTCTAAACACAAACACCTGCTGTTTTATGCAAGATCTATTCTGATACTGTGGAAATCTTCAGCGGAAGGTTTCCATGTTAACATTTATTTCAACATTATCACTTGAAATGAAGCTTAACATGCATCAGATCCAAGCCTACTGGGACGGCACGTTTTTAAGCCCCCTCGTTATTTAGTCCATGTGCTTAAAATTGGAAAAGCAAAACGCTTTTAAGCCAATGGGCTTAAATTAATTTGATAAATTGATTGATCTCCCTTACCACGCTTCTATATGGCCAGTCTGCACCAATATTAAACCTTAAGCGCTGTTAGAAGTTTCCACATACTCATGTGGACATTAAAACGCATAGGGCTGACACGCATACTGTGATATTGGTTTGTTGTTACTTTTTTGACAGCCGTCATTTCAAGTTTGGATGTGTTCTTGATTCACAATTTTCAAGTTGAAAAAGAAAATCATGTGTTATGATAAAGTCTTTCCATTTGTGAGTATTGTTTCATTAAACTTGGGATATTCATTCTTCCTATCATGTTTATTTTCTTTCATTTTTAAGCCCTGCGCTTAAGTTTGGATTAAATGTTACCCATTTAAAACAGGCAAAATCCGTAATTAAGCCCAGGGCTTAAAAACGTGCAGTCCTGGAAAAACTCTTCCTATTCCTACGCCCAGATACTCCCCCTAGGATACACTCAGAATATCTCTATCAAATGTTGAGTAGTATATATCATTATCTACAGGGCAAACACAACAATACATAAATAAAGGAAAGTATCCCTGCTATTGATAAATGTTCCTTACACATGTGTACATCCCCACAATTTCATCAGCAACTCACACACAGGTCACCAACAATGAGTGAGTGAGTGAGTGAGTGAGTTGGGTCTAACTTCACTTTGTGTTTCGTACTTCAGTTATGGTTATACCACCATGTTTAAGCTTACTGCTAAACAAACTGCAGAAAAATCATGGCCTGACATTTGAACCTGTCGATCGGCATGAAGTGTGCGATAATAGCAGCAGGGTACTAGGGTTTTCCTCATTTAGGCTTTGACATTTCTATTATACTACTAAAAGTTTGCTAAGGATCAAGTTTTGACGGTATCAAATATCATGCAATGAATAAAGATTGAAATATCCCGGTAAACAATGATAAGGTAACCCATACAGGACCTCAGTTTCATGATGAGAGGAGAGAGCCATGCAGTCATGGGCACGATGTGCACGAGGTGCTTGAAAACCTGTGTTTGGCAGCGTTCCCGTTTACCGGTAATTACCAGTTTTTTACCGGTAAAATTAAAGCTTGGACCGGTAATTCATGTGACTACCAGTCCCTGTGGACCGGCAAATGAAGTACCTTATAAATCTTTGTTGTTGAACAAAACATCGGTGATATTCAAGTCGGCTTGTCTGTTACCATCAGGGTTTCCCCCGTCTATTTCTAGGTTAGATATCCATTTGTAGTGACTTGTCTCAAACTATATAAAAAAAGAAGAGAAAATTGTGACTGAAGTTTGTGTGGATGGCGTATAGATCTAACTAAGTTACTTCAGAGATGACATCTTTGCACTGAACATGATGTTGAAAGAATTCAAACCAAATAATTTCCATACGTTTTTTTATTTGTTGAAAGTTGGGACTGGCAAAAATTAGCATGATTAGGGGGGACTGGTAATTTTTAGAGATGCCAATCCACAAGGACTGAGCAAAACATTTGCTACTGAGGACTGCAACAACTCAAGCACTCATGTCCCCTCAGCATCAAAGACGTGGTTTGACGACCGAAGAATTAGGCAGATGCATAGGCATGCTTGAAACCTGGTCAATACAACATCACAATGTAAACGTCTTTGGTGTCAGCAAGGCGTGGAATCGATACCAGAAGTGTGGAACAGCTACACAGTGACAGGCATGTGTTCAACAGCGTTCCACCACACAGTAGGAAGACAGGTCCCTCCTGATTGCAGCGAGACGTCATCACTTAGTGACTGACACCACACTCAGAAATGACCTGCAGAAAGCCAGTGGCATTAACGTTTCAACTCAGACAGTGCATAATCATCTCTGTGAAGCTGGTCTCCGGTCACGGAGGGCATTCATTCGCATCCCTCTGACCCGCCATCACAGGCAGACACGTTTGGATTTGGCTGAAGATCATGTCAGACCAGAACTGGGCTCCAGTAATACTGTCTAGACTTCACAGATCATTGTGCCCGAGTGTGGCTTAGACAAGGAGAAAGATTTCAAGATTCCAACATAGCTGAACATGACCGCTAAGGAGGGTTGGTTTGGTTGGTTTGTTGTTTAACGCTGATTCAGCAATATTCCAGCTATATGATGGCGGTCTTTAAATAATCGAGTCTGGACCAATCCAGACAATCCAGTGATTAATATCATGAGCATCGGTCCACACAATTGGGATTGATGACATGCATCAACCAAGTCAGCGAGCCTGACCATCTGATCCTGTTAGTTGCCTTTTACGACACAAGCATAGTCACCTTTTACGGTAAGCATTAGTTGCTGAAGACCTATTCTACCCCGGAATCTTCACAGGTCCACTAAGGAGGGGGCTCCACCAAGATTTGTTGTGGAATCAGTAGAGCTGCAAGAACCAATCTCCATGTCTTACAGCTGGGCACGATGACAGGTGTGCGCAACAGGGATGTCATTCTCGATGTGCACGTGAGACCGTATGCTAGTAAATCGGACCGGACTTCAACCTCATGGATGATTACGCACGACCTCATCGTGCCAGGGTCATTGATGCCTAGGCTAGACAGTGTCCAGGCTGTAATCGCATCTAGTGGATTACATGCAAGTTACCGAAAGTAGTTTTTAGGGACAATGAATTTGTTTTTATGACTTTTTGATGTTTTAGTTTTGGTCAGATTCTCTCATTTTGATGGGTGATCTGACAGATAATTGGTCACACATTGTTTGTTGGCATTGTGTGGCACATGACAACGGACCTATGTTCATTAAACATGCCTTAAATAAATAAAAATATTGTCTTTGGCTATGTCAATAGATGCACACAATTTGACGTATTACCTTATAAAGTGGTAATCCTCAGCAAACTTTGAGTAACATACTTCAAAGGACGATATGATTAATATGTACATGATTGAAGCCAGATAGTTTATCCTTAGCAATTAATTCACGAATGTGAAAACCTAGTGCACGTGTCGAGGTGTCGTGGCACATTGACCAATACACATAGATCATGAAATCCATGTGCACTGCATCACACTCCTCCATTCTTCTGTACAATGGAACTACATTACCCCAGAACGCCTACTATCCCAAAGCGCATTTATCACACAATATTCTCAAGTTTGTTTAGCAGTTATGTGGGACAAAAGCTCAAAGTGACGCAGATCACAGCCATAAACAACTCTAATGACACCCACAAGCATTGTCATGATGGTACGGTACAGACACACCAAGGATCATATCAGGGCACATCTGGGATTTGAACCCATGATCAGCAGATCCTGGCACCTACCAGTTTCACTCTAATTGCTTTAGTCCCGACTCCATTGGATACACTGTACCCAAGTCTTTTATCATGACTTAACTGTGGTTTAGTAGCAAAGCAAACACCTAAATATGAGTGGCATTAACTGGGATCATGAGAATCAATGGTAGCTACATGAAGTATGGCCTGGGCGTCCCCTAGTTGGGAGTCTTCTTCAAGAAGTGTGTGGTAAGTTACATTCATAGTTATATCAGCTACTTCATAGTTAATTGTATTCCCTTCGCTGTCTGTGGCAATCACCAACTGCCCGTTCTGCAGAGCACTTTGCAGCTGATCACGACTCATGTCTGAATTGACTATTAGGTTCACAGTGTCAGGAATGTCCGAGATGGTGGTCTCTTTCTCTTCTTTCTTTTCCTCCTCAACGATGGTGACATTTGTGGTGTTGGTGATGCCATGCATCTTGCTCTGATGTCTCTGGAGGTGGTGCTTGTGACGGAAGACGTAGCCACACACGCTACAGCGGAACTTGCCCTCTGTTGTGTGGGCGTTGTAGTGAGCAAGACACATCACCTCTGTCCTAAACCGCCACGTACAGCCAGGGAACGTGCATGGGAATGGACGATCAGGATCGTGGACTAGTTTGTGCTTCTTCAACGTTGACTTATCTGCGTAAGCAAACCCGCATACATCGCATATAACACTGCCGTCATTATGCAGCTGACGATGAGCATGAATTACTGCATTAACAGAAGATGAGAAGTTGCACTGGCTACATTTATACACCCTTGTCTTGTGAGTTCGATAGTGAGTTTTCAGATAACTACGAGTCTTAAATGCCTTCCCACACTCATCACACAGATACTTCTTGTCAGATTTATGAACCAACATGTGTTTGCGTAGATATCGTAATCTGTTGAACTCCTTGCCACATTTACTACAACAGTACTGGCCAGGCAAGTCCTGCTTCTCAACACTTCGAATCCTGCACTCAACTGATTTGGTTTTCTTCTGTTTCAAGTTTGCGATATAATCCGACATTTTCATGATGCTCTGATCGCCTTGGTCACTCTGGGATTCGAGTGGCTTGATCTGAATGTTCTGATGTATTGACATCATGTCTCTATGCATTTGTTTCATGTGCGTACACATTGAATTCCTCCAATAGCTCTGAAACTCACAATGTAAGCACTTAAATCTGTCTTTACTGTACTTGAACGAATTCCCATTGATCATGTTTTTCAGGAGTACGAAATGGAAGTCTTCAGCGTCATTGAAACATTGTAAAGATTGTCGAGTACCAGCCCAAGTCTTTTCGGGACTGGCGGTTGAGTCTGTGTCTTTGTTTGATTCAGAACAATTCCCCTCAATTTCACACTTCTCCTCATCAACATCCATCTTGTCAACATCCCTGTCAGTCTGCATGTCATCAACTTTGTTGTCAATATCATTCTGAAGGTTGTCGTTTTCAACATTCTCCCTACCACTCACATCCAAGTGGTTACTCTCAGTGATGTCTTTTTCATCCAAACTACAGTCATTTTCTTCTTGTTCATGGCCGGCCTTCTCTTCATCGTCTTCCCCTGCTCTTGTGATAACAACATGGATGGTTTTAGTTACACTGTTGTCATCAGAGGTGGGTTGGGAATCGTCACAGTTCACACTGAATTGTCTCTCGGGGGAATCGGACTCGACTAGCTTCGATCTTTGTCTACCTGCAGATTTTGGTGAAGATGGTTTGCTAATAAAGCTGAGTCTGTGTTTCTTCTTGTAATGTTCACGTAGCGTGGACTGACGGGAGTAGGCAGTCCCACACAGCTCACAGCTGACCCCACTCTGTGGACCTGCATCTGCAACAACACACTGGTAACAACAATCTCACTAACTTCAAATCCTTTACTCCCATATGATGCCTCTGCAAGGAGATCTGACAAACTCTCTATAGGAGCATCTCTACGCAGATCTGAAACATGCTCTATAGGAGGTCACATTATGCGAACCCTGAACTCTGACCACCCAATCTAAATAAAGGATCAACTGGTTATTGAGCTAATTACATGTCAGCTTTCTAAAACAACTCGGTTTCATTTCATTACCATCTTGATTTGGAAACCATGTTAACCAAAGAAACCCACATAGAACATGACTATTCCCTCTATGGTACATCTTTTTGGGTGTAGTGGCCATGACGCTCATAAATGGCAAGGTGTATAAAATATCCACAACATATGTTGTGTAGTTTTATTAATTTCCTTTTGTGACTACAACCCACTCACTACACCCTGCTATATGGAACATGAGAGAACAAGAACATGAAGAGTAAAAAAAGATTCTTTACCATGGTGGAATAACACAATATGCAAAACACATTTTATATTATGATAACTGCCGCTTCACACCTATATTAGTTATATAACATAATTGAGCAATGTCACTTACGATCTATCCTATGATTGAGATATTGAATGAGAAGAGGGAAGCTGGCATCACAGATTCCACATTGATGAGTGCTGATGCCAGCACGGGAAGATGACTTATCTGCAACAATTGATATATGTATTGTCATAACTACCAAATAATTATATACATGATATAATGTATTAGTACAGATACAGTTACATGATATGATGAAAAAGTTTATCACACAGTTTTCTGGAAGCAAAATATTGCAACTAATATGCATAAGAATAAAATTTTGTTTGTTTGTTTGTTGTTAAACGCCACACTCAGAAATATTCCAGCTATATGACGGCGGTCTGTAAATGATTGAGTCTGGACCAGACAATCCAGTGACTGACATCATGAGCATTGATCCACGCAATTGGGACCGATGACATCCATCAACCAAGTCAGCGAGCCTGCATGACCACCCGATCCTGTTAGTCGCCTCCTACGACAAGGATAGTAGACTTTTAAAGCAAGCATGCATGCTGAAGACCTATTCTAACCCGGATCTTCACGAGTCCATAAGAATAAAAAATAGATGCAAATGGTGTGTGGAGAGAGTCCCAAAGGATGCAGAATTATGTGGAAGTTTTGAAAGTTTTGAATACCAGAGGACATGCATGTAAAGTTAACTGCCATGTATGTTCAGAGAAGAGACATAATTTCTTCAAAGGATCAATAAAGTTAGTTTTAAACATGGACATTCACAAGTATCATTAGCACAAGATGATTCAGAACATGCATTATGAGCATTTAGCTGCTGTAGTCCATCAACTACCAATGATGATAATTAAAGATCCATTTTACAGGACAGTGCAGGTGTAACCACCAATGCCAAATTGAGTGTCATGTTCTTAGACAATTTGTTAATTTCACTCTCCTTTTTCTACATATCATTATCAATATAAGGGAATGAAAAAAGGACTACGGGATACATGTGCTGATATAATCCATATTTATCTAGATCGTAGGTATACCTTCTGTATGCTAGGACCACGAAGACTAAATCAACAATGTATGAGAAAATAAGTATTTCACATATCCTGACATGGTGTTCGTTAGAAGTATACTTTACTGCATAGTATACTGCTAACACAACATTCTCTTACATGCCTTAGCAATAACAGACTGACTGGTTGCAGCTGCACTGGCTAGGAACTAGTAAAATCCTAAATAATTGTAAACGAGGCAACTAGGAAGCCTACTGTTGCTTTCTTCGGTGTCGGGAATAATACCCTCTGAGTTCAGTTCTTCGCCGTTTTGATTAGACCCTTCACTTGACTCTTCCATTATCTATTGCTCAATTAATTTGGAAACACATCTAAATTTTACAAGATGTTGACATTTTATTATCCTTTTCTTGAAACTCTCTTGTTGAGGAGGCTAAAAACAGTTTGCGCATGCGCTGAATTGAGATACATTAACCGGACGATAACTATTAAAATAAATAAGCGACGTATGAAGGTTTCATTTTTATATTCTTTCAATTGTAAATAATTCTAGCATATATAAATAACTTTTAGACAGTGAATGATTTCAAAGGTGTTGTAATTGCGTTGGTAACGACTTTATATCTTTGGTTTGATATCTGTCTCGTCTTTTACTACGACATTTCCGTATCCGGAAAGTTTGTTTACATGGGTTACATCGACTGCTATGTTGCTACATCGGTGTCATTAGATGTTATATGCTAAACACGCCTTGTAAACCGACACATTTAGATCCAATAGAAGGGAACTATGGCAAGCGCATCTCACCACAGACAACATCTAACTGGATACTTGGATAAACATAAAAATAAACAGCTCAACAACAATGATTCAAGTTCAGGGAGTGGAAGTGGAAACGGTAGTTCCAGTAGCCAAAAAACCATGAATTCCGGAAGTGGTAAAACATCAACAAAACCAGTGGCAAATTCAAGGTAGGATACATGTGCATCTGTATATTTAATATTCACACTCTTCTAGCTCATGGCAAAATGTATAAGAATCATAGAATCAACAAATAGACTAAATCAATTTAGGGCAAGAGGTCATCACATCCTTACATTGTCCATCTTAAGGACAGAACGTCTGTGGTTACCCCCAGTATATATGTTTTATATGAACCAAAGAAAAACTATTGCCTCATATTTACGACACATGCATTGGTCCTTTTGTCACTGTATCTGACTTGTAATTTGCTATCTGATATTGGTATCAAACATTCAGTACAGGATATATATGTACACACACACACACACACACACACACACACACACACACACACACACACACACACACACACACACACACACACACACACACACATATTGCACACACACACACACATATTGCATATCATTAGCAGCATGACTACAGGATATAGAAAAAAAACCCAAGGAATGTAAAATACCTTCCTTTTTCAGAGCAAGGGGAGGAAGAAATACCACTGCAGTCACTAACAGTCGAAGACGTCCTCCACCACTGATAAAAGGAAAGGCGACAATAGAACAGTAGGCCTTAACTGTCTTATCCTTTCATATATTGTGCAAATAAATATAGTGTGTTGTTCCCACTCAAACACAAATAAATTTGTTCACAGAATTTCGCTAGATCATACCGTGAAATACAGATGACTTATTTATCCTGGGGCTCCTGGGCACCATGAGTGACAGAGTTGGGGGTTTTAACACCGCTTGTAACAGTATTCCAGTTATATCACTTGTCACTTATGTCAGCTTAATGTGGGAGGAAAGCCCAAAGTGATGCAGGTCTCCGACGTTTACCACTTTGGTGAAACCTACAAGCACGGTTATGGTGCTGACAAACCTAGAAACATAATTAGGGTAAATCAGGATTTGAACCCATATTCAAAACTTTCTGGCATGTCCGAGGGACGCAAGTCTGCACAGCAAATTGCGGCGCCTTACACGACAGAGTCACCTTTGCCCCCTCCGGGGGTCCATGAGATATGCTGGTATTTGAGTTAAAAAGCTGTTTTGATTGAATTGAAGCAAAATAAGATGTCATTTTGTTTATGGTCAGGTAATTTTAATTTGTTATTCCAATGGATTGAATTGATAAGAGGACCAACAGAACTTGTGATCAACATACTTTTATATGTGTTTTTATTTTCTTAGGCAGCTAGAATAATCCCCATGTACTGGGTATACAAAATATTAATATATGTTTCATACACATGTTCCTGAAAGGTAACAATATACCTGTCAGTAGTATTATTGTGTGTACATACATGTACCTAAATGTTTAAACATACTGAGAAAGTTCCATCATAAACATGGGAAAACTCATGAGAAATTAAAAACTAATTTCATTTTTTTAACAGTATTTAATAATTTATATTCACATGACCAGAAAAACATAGACACCTTTTTTTGCATGCACGGTCAATATCCCAAATCTGACAACATATTGCACATGTTAGATAAATATCATGAATATAGGGTTATGGGCTAAAACCCAAGAGTAATCCCAAGTATAGCCCATGTTGTAGTACTGCTACTGCTAGGATCTCAATATAAATGTGACATAGGAATTCAGTTGACAGATTTCTTAAATAACAAAACCAAATCCATTATCTCGACCCTTTGACACAAAAGAATGACTTTGGCAGTCATCAGTGATTGAAATAAAGGGGTCCTTGGTTCCTTGAGATTTGCTGATATAGAAATTGAATCTGAGAACCCTCTAAATCTTTACCATTAGAGATTCGGGTTAGGGCACGAATCCCCTTGACTTTCATGCTTAATTTCGACCACTGTCACCCCTATTTCGCCTGTTGTGTAATGTCTTTTTATTAACTTGACTACCCTACAAGTTGGAAGAACATGAATACATGACTCTTTTTTATGGAAAGCAACTTCCTTTTTCCTTTGTATCAATGTTTGGAGCTACTTCTCAGGTGAATACTGAGAAAGTGTATAATGTTATTTATATATCATGATATATATGATGATATGTTTACATAAGGTAGGATTAATGTAGAAAGACAACAATATGTAGACAAAACCAATGAGATCATTATCTTGTTATCTTTGTTTTTATCCATAATAAAATGTCATGTACCATATTTGACGTAATAAGCGCCCGGGGCACTCTCAAAATTAGAAATAGGGGGCTCCTATTAGAATATCATTTTGGTGAAAAAAACGGAGTTGAAAGATAAATTTCGAGGTTTATGCTGACAGCCGGAATTGTTTATGTACGACAAATATATTTTTCCAGAATTTAATTGCCCATAATTAAGGGTGCATATAACACACGAGTGCGTATTAAACGCGAATAAATAAGTCTTGTGTACATTGATCAAACGGAAGGAGTGCTAATTGGGATTGTTCACCAGCCAATATATTAGCAAATATCGCCGTGGGCGCTTATTACGTCGAATACAGTATTCATCATGTTCATACCCAATTGATTATTTTAAAAACTTTGCAATTTTCTGTTTAAGTCTCCCATATGAGATTATGGTGGAGATATTTAGCTGTCTGGAAGCCCAGGATCTGCTGAAAGCTGCCTGTGTGTGCAAGAGATGGCACAATCAAGCCAATGACAAGTAAGACAGGCCATATATTCATCAGGGCGGGAAGATGGGAGACTTTATTTCCAGTAATTTGCTGTGAAAAAAATTATTTTGATTATGATAGGCTAATTCAAGCCTTCTTTCTTGTGAGTGCTTGCCAAGTTTCCTTTGGCAGTGTACCATATTATAATGTTCACACTGGCTTGAAAGGCCTTTGAATTTGATAAAACGACTTGAACATGCTGAAAAGGCAATTAGAAAATGTGGTAAGATCGGAAATCAAAATTACTATTTCATTCATAATAGGTGATGACTACATCCTTTAGTATATTGGTTCTTATCTCTATTGATGAATAATATTGAAACACTGGTCTGTGGACATATAGTTTTAGTATATTTGGGTGTACAATTAGAGCCATTCTGAAAACTGAAGTGAGATAAAATGATGAAATCAGTCCGTTTGTAAGTACACTAGATCTCACATTTAGCCTTTGAAAAGTGTGTATGATCATTGCCTATAAACGAAGGCCTTCAACAGGCCTATATTTGGTGGTTCAAGTTTTGTGTGACTCAAGGAAAGTGAATGGCACACATCCTGTATAATGCCAGTGACATTACTAGAACAAGCAAGAGCAAGACCTCAGCTAGTGTAGGATGTATATTGATACTAACAGGGCTTGATTTAGCTTACATTGAACATGCACCAGTGCTACCTATTATCAAAAATGCAACCTAACATTAATGTCTACATTCAAATTTGTGTCTGATTAACCCTAATTTGTCCACACAACCTCAATGTTTGAACAAACTCAATATCTCTAAGTTTTATTTACCATTATGGCATACTATATCACAAATCCCTGTGTTGTGTCAGTTTCAGGACACATGACACAGTCATCGGAGATCTGTGATTATGTTTACTTAGATTAGTTTATGCATCTGTGTTTCAACTTTTATAAATTTATGTGAGAGGGTGCAACCTGGTTTAGTCGGGTGCAACTAGGTTTTCATGTCAACATGCACCTGGTCAGGTTAAATCAAGTTCCTTAAATCAAGCCCAGACTAACATATTTAGATTGAGATGGGCCTATTTTCCATTACTTGGTTTCCAGATTTATTTAAAAGCATACCTTGTATTTTCCTAAAGGTGTGATGAAGCAGGAAGAATGAAATGAAAGAAAATATTTTAATATATGACATGTCAAAGTGTTATTTTCCTTTCCCCAAATGACCCACTTTAAAGGTTATTTTCATAACTAACAATCTCCCAAACTGTTCTCAATTTTCTGATTAAGATTGATGCATAAATAAAAACGTCTAAACAATTTCGAGTATTGTGATGATTATTATTTTATTCACAGCCTGCTGTGGGAGAAGATTTTCCGAACACATGGTGCCACATTGAAAGATGACGGAGCCAAGCCTCTCCGACCACCTCTGGAGTACTGGAAACAACTCTGTATAAAACGGTAGGAACATCGAAACTTGCTGCCCATACGTGGATCTGGGGGAGCAGGGGTGACATTCCCCATTTTGAAGCATACTCAACATTTATTTGTCTGGAAATTTAATGGTGATAAGTGGAGTGAGTGAGTGAGTTGGGTTTAACGCTGCTTTTAACAGTATTCAAGTTATATAGCAGCGTGTCAGCTTAATGTGGGAGGAAAGCTCGAAGTGATCAAACCTAGAAACATAATCGGGGCGAACCAGGATTCCAACCAACAATCATAGGTTTCTGGCATGCCCAAGGGATGCAACTCTGCACAGGGAATCGCACCTTAGACGACTGGGCCACCCGTGTCCCCTGATGATAAGTTGAGCTAATGGTAAACGTATAATGTATATACTATAACAAACTCATTTGGTGATACATTTTCAAGAAAATTATGCAGTTACTGAATGTCAATTGCAAGATCACAAAACACACCCCCTTCAAATTTCAATGTAATTTTATATGTAGTGAGCTGTGTGTTCTGAATGTGTTAAGAAATGCATCATTAATAATAATATAACACAGGCTTCTCTTGGCCAACTGCATATTAAGTGATCATGAAAGATATGTTACTTTACGTGAGTATTTTCTACCATGGAGATAGTTGCATGTGCCCAAAGCTGGCAAATTGTGTGTCATCGTCCACTGTGTCAGTGTTCATGTTGTCACCCCCTGGTTTGCCTGGCCCCGACTCTGGTATTGCAATATATCTGACTGTTACTGACTGGCACAAAACAATTTTCTTATATATTTGTTTGAGACAGATTATTTTTAGCTGCAATGTTTTCAAGAGATCATATAATTTGGAACATCCAGTTTGTCCAGTGAATGATTTAGTTTCTTTTGTAAAAAAGTATTTTTTCTGGAATTTTTGGGGAATGATTCTTTAAATTTAAATCCCCCAGAATATGAAATGATCGACCCTTTATATGATTTGTTTACACTGTGATTCAGGTGCACAGAAAAACGGAACAAGACCTGTCTGAAGCTACTGAAAAAGATGCACCCCTACACTGGTCTGCCCAGATTCACAGAGAAAGCTCTGAGGTTAGTATGGCAGTCTGTGTTTCAGTAATTACATGTTTATCCTCCACCAAAAGCCTGCCAGTTTGGACAAGAGACTGACAGAAACCTTTTTAAATGCTATATTGTAGGATAGCTGACTTTATTTATACCTGCACTGCCAAACATGCATCGTCAATACTTCAGGATATTGTATACACTGTCCCTCAGTCACTGAAATATGTCCGATATGAGCTGTAGTTGCCATTATTAATTAACGAATCAAAACTAGACAGCTACTCTCAAATCACCATTATTTCTCATGCAAATAATGCCTCAGCCTTACGCTAATCCGCTCTACACATTGCTTTAGTTTCGGACAATGGTTGAACTCATGCACAGAGTAGGGCACATGTGACTTCCATGATGTATATACAGCCTCAATCCAGTTCCTGACTTAACATAGACACATGTCACTATTGCCCAACATTTCAGGTGTATTCACAGGTGATGGTAGTACATATACAAGGCTTTGTACCAGCCTGGATGTAATAACAATGCTAAACATGTTACATGTAGCCCACAGGGCATCTTCTCGAGGCCACTAGCTTATATCAAAGCCTAAGTTTCTACCCTTGCTACATCAAGGCCACATTTCTTAGCTGAATTCTGGTGCATAGATCATTAGTTGTACCCCTTGTAATGAAAACCCGACATCCAATCAGATCGCTGTTCTTATCTCAGATGGCTTCACAAAGATGGCAACTACAATAGGCGACAACCTAGTTCATCAGATAATGAAAGCATTTGTGATTTCATCCCTGACAGATAAACACAGCCAATCGTGGAGGGGTTTAAAAGATGAAAAAAACTGTATTCGTGTCAACAAAGACAGACAGCGGTAAATCATGGATGTTGATTTTGTGAAACGTTCTCTGAAATGACTATAGATATGTGCAATAGTCCAATCATATTTAGCACAGGAAAGTGGGACTGATGTGGCAAGGGTGGAAACATGACTTTGATAAAAAGGATAGTGGAGGCTCATGCCTCATGCCTCATCAGCGCTTTATGCTTTGTGTGTAAGTTGGGTTTTGTATGAGTGTTTCATTATTCTCATTTCCTTTTCACTCCTTACGGTGTAGAAAAAGTATAATTGTTTTTGTTTTTTTGTAATAATAGTTTAGTTTAGTTTCCAGAGAAAGCGCAATATATATTCAACCTGTTTCAGAACCAAGGACATATTTGTGGGAATTATACAGAATTTCCTTTCTTTGTAGAAGTGCAGGTGTGTGGTTCCAGCTGTGTTTGATTGACAGCGATGGAAAAGAGCACACCAGTATGACGTGTGATGTATTCCACCACAGCATGTCAATAGCAGTACGCTGGTATAGCCTCACCAATGTCCCCCTGGCTAGAATCAAGCAACTCAAAGTCTTCTCTTGCAATCCACTGTTCTTTGATGAAAAAGGTCATGCAGTCCGGACTGGGTAAGAAAACAGCTGGTGTTGGGAAGATAGGGTGTGGTTATTGTCCTCTGTAGACATAGATCAACCCTAATTTTGTATGGAGTCCGAGGTTTAACATGTTTACATTTTCAACCAAAATCGAGAAGTGTGTTATCAAAATTATAATTCTAAATGCAAGAAATACCAGAAAGAATAGGAAACACTGGGAAACCTTGTATTGAAACACAATTATGTTTAAAATGAATTCGATGACAGCGGGAAGGACAAAGACCATGTGCAGCATGCAGACAACTGAAGTCATGACATGTAAGATTGAACAGCCTTTCATCATCTGCCCCGCTGACTCGGTAGGAATGCACATTAAAAGGATGTTTGCACAATTCAGCAGTAAAACCTTTGTATTACAATTCAAATGTAAAGCCTCCAAGCAGTTCTCGCTTGAAAGCAGTACCCTCACAATGTTACTATGAGATAGCAAGATGTGTGTATCTACAATTCTTAATTAGGCGTTGTATGATATCACTTGACCGCCACTTGTATATTTCTGCAGCCCCTACCAGAGGTCACTGATGTCCAGCACTGATCTCAAGTGGAGTGTTTATGTGAAGGACACAACGCCCGTGGCAGCCAATGACACTATTGTGTTGTACAGTGTGCCTGCATCAGACCTCCTTGTCGCCACATGGAAGGTAGGGCTTTTATCAACCTCTACTGCTGAATTTCTGATAAATGAAATTATGAATGATATTTTCCCATTTGTCATGGTAAGATTTGTATATCCCGGCTAATTGTACAAGATTCTGCAATGAGATTTTAGATTCTTGTCTTCCCATTAGTCCACATGTGATATCAGATCTACATGATATCAGGAGTTTACTGATCACCTGATCACCACTAGAGAAAACATTTTTTTTAAATCACCTATTTCAGTTACCAAGTCTAATAGACTATTTGAAATACAGAGGCTGCTTACTCATGTTAATAAAATGTGATATACTGTGTTGTTGGTCTGGAATATTTAAGGCAAATGTGGCAATACATTTGAGACAGAAAGCTTTGCAAACAATAACTAACAGAGGGTCTCATAGTGAAGTGATTTAAGTATTACGGTAAAAAGTTTGGTTTAGATGTATGAAAGCAAAAATGCATGGTTAAATGGATCCCTGAAATTGACAATTCAAATTATAGACTCAACAGATGCCTAAGATCTCATTACTTCTACACTGGTAGAATTAAGATAACCACCTGTGTTTAAGAATTAGAGGTTTCAAAGTATGATTGAAAACCCTTAAATATTTCAAAATTGAAACCATATGTTATTGTGGTTGGTTTAAAATGAATTAACAGGTATCAAATCTGCATTCCTCTAAATGGAATACACAGTAGGTTTATCTCCTCAGTAAATCATGTCTTTATTTGAAATTATTTGTACTCATTAAATTATTAACCTTTTCCACAGGCAGATGGTGAGTTGGCGTTTGTTGCCGTCGGTTACCACCATCTACAGTTGGTACACAGATGCTTGCTAGGCACCACCACCAGGTACAGTACATTTCTTAGTGAAATAATTCATCAGTTAATTTGATGATGAAAGAATTTAGAAATAAGATTGCTGAGCCTCTTTGTGTTGAGAACTGGTTCACACGTGTCCAGAAATTATGTAGTTGATGCATGAAAGTGCTTGCGAAATAACACTTCAGGCATTATGTATTGCACTGCAGTGATCCTCGTTGGTACTAGGGTTCAAATAGGTCCTAATCACTCTGTTGCTGGTCATAAGAGGCGACAAAATTGAGCCCTTATAAAGAACTGGGTTAGAAGACCTGTCTTTAGCAACCCAAGCTTGTTGTGTGAGGCGACCTACAAGGTGGTCAGACTCGCTTGGTTGATTTATGTTATCATATCCCAACTGCATAGATCAATGCTCATGTCAATCAGTGGATTGTCTGGTCCAGATTTGACTGTTTACCTACCGCCGTGACATTGCTGGAATATTGCTGAGTGCGGCGTTAAACAACAAATACATAAACTACATTGAATCATGTGGTGTGTCTGTCATGGTTGATTGCATGTCAGTGTTCCCCATAGTGTTATCACTGGCCCAGACAGTCTTCTATCGGCTGATAGCTGGAATATTGCTGACTTCCCACATGACAGACAGACAAACAAACAAACAAACAAACAAACAAACCAACAACACACTGATTCAACATTCTCTCTATTACTGCAAACAGAACATCATAACATCATTAGTGATATTGTACTCTTTGTTATGGATTTTACAATCACATTTTCTTAAACCTGAAGCAAAATAATTTTTTGGAACAAATTATTCTTTGCAAATCACCAACAAATGGGCTCAGCGGATCTGTGTGTTCTCGAGATAGTGTTCTTTACCATTTGATAATATATGATGATAACTTTCATCTCACCACCTGCGTATTACTGATTACATTAAGGAATACTTTCATCTAAGATATTAGCATGTTTGTGACTTGTTTTCACAGTGCATTTCCACTGCCGGTTCACACTCCTGTACCAGATGATATTGACCCTAGTTATGGTAAGAGTGGTGAAAGTAGACAGAAAGTGCATATAAGTGTCGCTTTATGTTTGTGTAAGTGAGTGAGTGAGTATTGTTTTACGCCGCTTTTAGCAATATTCCAGCAATATCACGGCGAGGAACACCAGAAATGGGCTTCACACATTGTACCCAAGTCGGGAATCGAACCCAGGTCTTCGGCGTGACGAGCGAACGCTTCAACCGCTAGGCTACCCGGCTGCCCCTACTTCAAGGGACAAGAAAATATTTAAGTTAAATTTCTATGGCCTATGCGTTTTTGCCTACCAACTGTACCAGGAATCATAATGCTATGAGGACACGAGGATGAAGCACAGCTGCAGTACTTGTGTTGACATGGAATTCTTAATGGAGAAATTAACAAGCCCCGATTCAGCAGAATCGAGTGATTTCAACGACCTGTGCCATGTTATGGTTGCGATAATATTGCTCTTGAATTTTGTATGATTACCTATAGTTTTACACATTCAGAATGGCCAGTGAATTTCTGGCACAGAATTAACTGCAACATTAATAGCGTGACATCATCACAATCATAGAGAATCTCACCCGAAAAGTCTCTTAGCTTTTCCACTTTTATCAGCGAGAGTTGATAAATTTGATATCAAATGACACAAGGGTGAGATTCTTTTTATCATCCAATGTCATTCTTCCAACTTTATCAGTTTGTAGACAGTAATAAGCAGTGTCATAAGTGTAAAAAGTACTGCAAACAGCTTCAGTAGCAGAGCCATTAGTGATGTCATTTGATTGTGATGTCATGGTAACCAATGACGTCACAATGGTCTGCAAAGTATTGTGATGCAATTTCATTGCAGCGACATCTACACTGTAGATATCGCTTGATCTCACCCAAGCGATATCTCCTGTGGGAGCCAGTTTTGGATGATAAATGATGAGAATGAACTCCACATTCACTGCATCACACTCCTCCGCAGTCATTTGTTCAGTGGCAATGTATTCTTCCATAGCCTGTGGAATGCATTTGTGTACAGACATCTCTCTTAGTTGATACCAGTAATATTGTGGTTGACTAGGTCTCCATGACTACCGGTGTACAGTGGACGTCCGCAACATGAGAAGCTCGCTGTGGACACAACAGTTTCAGGGCCTGCACTGCAGGAAGCAAGACATTGGTGAGTGCAGCAAGGCGTCCTCCATCTGCAGGCTGTGACATAAAATTGTGCAGGGATCAAAATATCTTGTATACGGGTAATCATTGTATACGGGTCGGGTGGGTACTAGAACTCTATGGTTACACTACAAGTCACTAATGTTTGCATTTCTTTCTGACCATGCACCCATTCCTTCTGACTTTTCATATGGTTGAATAAAGATATAACTTAAGTCAACTTCAGTATGTAGCAGGGCGTGGAGTCATCCCACAGGTGACATCCTTACCTTGTCAGCTTGCTGACGGGGTTAACCTCTTTGGTCATGTGGACAAGGCGTCCGACCTCTGCTCAGAAGGTCCGTGGTTCGAATCCCATCATGGGACTCGGAAATTTGATGGTCGCTACATTGGCGCCCAACGTGGGGCTGAGCACGTTCATATTAAATTTGAGCAAAATAAGCCTCAGTACCCTATTGTGCGGCCCGGGACGTGCCTTGTGTTGACCCTGGAGTATATAGCAGGGCGTGGAGTCATCCCACAGATGACATCCTTACCTTGTCAGCTTGCTGACGTGGTTAACCTCATTGGTCATGTGGACAAGGCGTCCGACCTCTGCTCAGAAGGTCCGTGGTTCGAATCCCATCACGGGACTCGGAAATTTTATGGTCGCTACATATGCATGACCAGATCGTTTAATACATGTATCTAAATACATTTTGCAAGTGATGTGGTAAAAAAAAATCCCAATCAGACATTTTGTATGTCTTGAGACCTACAGTGGGTACCCGGGTAGGGTCAGGTAATAGGGGGGTTGGTACCCGGGTAGTAAATTTGGACTAGTCCCAGCCCTAATGTCATACATTCCGTTTGACTTTTTATGTTTGAGTAAAGATATAGCTTCAACTTCAATATATGCCTGATCAAATTGTTTTATATGTGTACATGTATCTGAATAGTTCTTGCCAGGGCTCCGGTCAAATAATTCACAATTGGACATTTTGTACATCTGGACAGCAGGTACCCGGGTAAATGTGGACTTGTCCCAGCCCTATTATCCAGTGTATTTTATCTCAATTCTGTTGGGATAAATATAGTCCCATTCATGACCATTGTGTCTCTGAAATAGCTGTCAGTTACCTCAAATAACAGGACCAAGAGAAATTCTGCTCAGTCAGAGATGAAAGCAATGGATCCAAAACGATCCATGTTTAGCGAATGGATCCAGGGTAGAATGCAGGTACATGTATAACATACTGGATAATTGCGGATGAGACAGTAGTGGCCGCCATGTTTCAGGTGAGGGCTACGCCTACTTCCGCCTGATCAGGAAGGACCACACAGGGGACCACGTCATCATCCCCAAACAGTTCAGTCTCCCCTGGAAAACTGATCTCTTCAAAGGCATCATCAGGGTAACTAAACAGTCACAGGTGTCTGTGTGTCCTTCTCAGTTATGTGTATAGCATTAAGTACAACTGTTAACACTGTCCAAGAGTTGACGTCATTTTTGTCAAATTGTGTAAATGCGTAATTGAAACAATGATGGTAAATAAATATTATTTGGGGTATTATTTTTATGGGGAGGTAGGGGTGTGGAGGGGGTTCTTATGAGGTTTTCGTCAAAGTGAGCTGATGTTACAGCCTGTTTGTCTGGCATTATCTGTAATCATCTTCTCCTCAGAAACCACTGGTCCAAATCATGACAGCTAGATTGGAATAGCTATATGTGTCCACTGTGCAACCATTTCTGCATAATAAATAAAACTGTTGTGTTCTTAAATTCTCTCAAAATTTTCTCAAAATCATTTTTGGCTCTGTAAACATCTTCTCTGAAATCACGAGGAAGCTGAACTTTTTCATTCATTCATGGTAAAGACTGCCTCAGTGGTCTAGTGGATAGAGCATCTGCCAGGAGAGCAGGAAGGTTGGTGGTTCGATCCCTTGGTTCGTCATACCAAAAGATGTTAAAAGATGGTACTTGTTGTTACCCTGCCTCGTGCTTCTTGGCATAAATTGAATAAGACAAGGATTGGTTGGCTTAGAGTCAGTTTACTGTGTCTGTTAAACTGACGCATGGTATCTAAGATGACCCCCCTGTACAAGCCTTTAAAATTGATGCTAATTTATATACCCCATCTATAAAGGGAATCGGAATGAAGCACGTCACAAGCACATACACAATCCCTACATTTGCAAAAAAAAGCGTGTTTGTCTTCCGCAGAAAAAAATTACAAAGAAAAATGTGATGCTAAACCCCATTTCACCTCACCTCTTACTATGAATTTTGAATCAGTCATTCCGCTTTATTGTGTGCTTGTGATATGCAGTACATGAAGAGATGTCTTTTACAGAACGTTGCATGGTTGGATCTAACGCTTCTAGACGAGAGGGAAACGGTGTTTTGGTCATTCAGGTAGGTGATTCATCATATCTTTGTGCATGATTCGAAATCTCTTTTAGTTAAGCAGAGTTAAAATCGTAATGGCATGTTTAAGGAATGTTCCTAGTGCTACACAAGCTCACTTACAATCGTAATGATTATAATATGTGACAATGTTGATAATATGATTTTGTTTGTTTATTTGTTGTTTAACCTAGCAATATTCCAGCTATTTGATGGTGCTCTGTAAATAATCATGTCTGGACCAGACAATCCAATGATTGACATGGGATACAATGACATGCATCAACTAAGTCAGTGAGCCTGACCACACGATCCCATTAGTCCCCTCTTAGGACAGGCATAGTCGCCTGTTACGGCAAGTATAGGTTGCTGAAGACCTATTCATATGAACATGCTTAATGTACTGTATGATTCCTGAAACAAAGACCGTTTCCGTGGTCTAGTGGTTAAGCATCTACCCGGAGAGCAGAAGGTCGGTAGTTCGATCCCTGGTCATGTCATACCAAAAAGGCGTTAAAAGATGGTGCTTGTTGTTACCCTGCCTGGCACTCGGTACTACGGGGCTAAAACAGGGACTGGTCGGCTCGGAGTCAGTATACTGTGTCTGAGGGGGGTAGTCATGTTAAACTGCGGCATGGTATCTCAGTGAGCTAGCACTACAAACTCAATATTAGTCTGAACTAGTACAAGCAGCCACACACACAAACAGCTATTTAAGTGCAAAAATCGTGAACGCAACATTAAACCCCATTTCACCTCACCTCACATGAGACAAATCTATGGATTAAGAAATTCAAAAATGTATTATCAATCTCAGTTAAAAGAAAGAGAGCAAACTTTCCAAATTACAAACTAATGAATATGTGACTGTTTATTGTAATTTTTTTATTAATATTTAACTAAGTTATAATAATGTTTGATAAACATGATAGAAAGTATGATTTACTGTATGTTTTATTTGTTAATATATAAGTATGTAACTGATACAGTAAGTAAAATGTCTTTATTCTTACAGTTCACCATTAACAGCACAGACAAAAGAAAAAACAAAAAGTAAGTATGATTTTGTTGTTGTAAAATGGGTATATCATTCTCATTCTCAATTATTTGTTAAGTGTTAGTGGGGATCGGAGGAACATGTATTAGTAGCAGCAGTATATACCCTCTGCCTGTCCAGTGATGGGTTGGTACATCACATACTCTCATTGCACTCTGGCTGTCCAGTGATGGGTTGGTACAACACATACTCTCATTGCACTCTGGCTGTCCAGTGATGGGTTGGTACAACACATACTCTCATTGCACTCTGGCTGTCCAGTGATGGGTTGGTACAACACATACTCTCATTGCACTCTGGCTGTCCAGTGATGGGTTGGTACAACACATACTCTCATTGCACTCTGGCTGTCCAGTGATGGGTTGGTACAACACATACTCTCATTGCACTCTGGCTGTCCAGTGATGGGTTGGTACAACACATACTCTCATTGCACTCTGGCTGTCCAGTGATGGGTTGGTACAACACATACTCTCATTGCACTCTGGCTGTGCAGTGATGGGTTGGTACATCACATACTCTCATTGCACTCTGGCTGTCCAGTGATGGGTTGGTACATCACATACTCTCATTGCACTCTGGGTGTCCAGTGATAGGTTGGTACATCACATACTCTCATTGCACTCTGGCTGTCCAGTGATGGGTTGGTACATCACATACTCTCATTGCACTCTGGCTGTCCAGTGATGGGTTGGTACATCACATACTCTCATTGCACTCTGGCTGTCCAGTGATGGGTTGGTACAACACATACTCTCATTGCACTCTGGCTGTCCAGTGATGGGTTGGTACATCACATACTCTCATTGCACTCTGGCTGTCCAGTGATGGGTTGGTACATCACATACTCTCATTGCACTCTGGCTGTCCAGTGATGGGTTGGTACAACACATACTCTCATTGCACTCTGGCTGTCCAGTGATGGGTTGGTACAACACATACTCTCATTGCACTCTGGCTGTCCAGTGATGGGTTGGTTCGTGAAATTAATGCGTCTCCAAAAGAATGCGACCGCTGGTCCGTAGCCAAAAATGCGACACCCCCCTCCTTTTACAGGAGAATCCTCACCTTAATCCAACATTACATTAATCCAATCACACACCAAATAGCACTGCTTATTAGCGCTGAGTGGGGTACTTCCGCTAAAACAATACATGCGCGCTGGCTCGTGTCGGCCTTTGACGCAGTCGCAAAGAACAAAGACACCGTGTTGCGTGGGTGGTGTCTGTCTGGACTTGCAGGTGTGATCAGTGATGACATAAGTGAGTAGAACTCTTGTCTTGACCCCAGCAGTGACAATTCACAGGATGTAATTAGTGTTGGAATGACATTGTTTATATACTTGTTACAAGTGCTGCTTAATAAACAGTGATATTAAATACATTGTTGTTTGTGTTCAGCATATGTCTAAGTTGGTATTTCTGCTATCAAAAATGTCTTATTGTTGATATAAATACGATGTTTAATAATGCGAGCAAAGACCACTTGCATTTTTCGCATTTAATTCACGCTCGCGTTAATTTCAAGATTGACAGAATACAGAATGTGTGACGGTGCATTTTGTGATTAAAAAGGTACAGTTTTGGGAAAGGGCGAGGCTTCTCTTCACCTGATTGTTCTAAACAACTGTTTCTTTTGTATTCAAATAAAATGATGTCATGAGTCCTCCATGTGTCTAATACAGCCAAATACTCAAGTTCCACAATTAGCATATCAACATATGAAATGTAAAAGTTTATATAAACTCCTTTTTCCACTCAAGGCCCACAAACCTACAGCCCAGGTGTTTGTGTGAGTAAATGTACATGCACACTGAGGCAGGGACGTATGAAGTGTCAGGCTGGTGTACATTATCTGGATATTATGATACTACATGTGCCCTAAATGACAAATGCCAGAGGATCTATTTTTTTGCTGTGGTCTAATGAATAATTTGTTTTGTAGATGTTGACTTTGTTTACAATGGGGAGGATCACTTGACTGCCATGTTCACTGGAGTGAAGGGACAAGTACATATTGAACTGAATCAGGTATGTTGTCATCCAGTATTGTCGGGTATTATATTTTCATTCTGTTATGATAAATATCCAAGATCAGGGTTAGAAGTGGTCTTCAGCAAGCCATGCTTGTCATAAGAGGCGAATAACAGGATCAGGTGGTCAGGCCAACTGACTTGGTTGGCATGTCATTGCCTAGATCGATGCTCATGATGTCAATCAGTAGATTACCGGGTACAGACTGCTGTCATATAGCTGGAATACTGCTGTGTGCTGCGTTGAAAAAGAAACAATATTATAAATACCCTGGAACCACTGGCCACCATAGCTTCTTATGCTGGAAGTAATGTCTCAGTTTCGTGACGCTAACTTGTGTATGTAACCTGAGTGGATGACTATTTTTGTGTCCTCTCTTTCAAAAACATTTCAATACGAAGCTATGGTAGTGAATGGGCCTAGAGTATTTATCATAGTAAAAATGTAGAATGTAGATAAGATAACGGAGGATAACTAACGATGGCATGTTGTGAATAAATTGGTAGGTGATGTAAGCATCAATCCACACCATACCTGAGCCACTAAGTGATCTTATAGCTTAGCGTAACTTCCATACTTTAACATTGTCTTTGTGATACGTAGTGATAAGATAATTTTAAGGAGAAGGGCCCTGTCCCAAAAAGAAATCTTAGCTCTATGGCTATTGTAAGTCTATTAAGAGTATGGCACTCAGAAGTCTACCGCTTAAATTGCATTGTGGAATGGGACCGTCAATTGATAGTGTTGATACAATGATACACACTCAGCTAAGTACAGTAGAACATGGATATAATGAACTACAAGGTACTGGAGAAATCAGTTCATTACATACGTTGTTCGTTATATACGTTTTCGCTCGGAAACGTCCGCCATCTTGGCTAAAACAAAACACAATACACATAATTGCTACATTGACTTGTATTAGCAGTGTTTGTTTTCCATGGACAGGCAAGATGAACATCATGCAAGTTTAACAAGGTTGTATCGTCACCAGTGATTGATTTGCTGCTGACTGCATACAGCCAATTGTCAGTGATACTTGACACTGAGTGACATTTCTCAGTTCGCTATACACGGCACTAATTGGTGGTAAATGGGCTTGTCGGGGATCAGATATCAGTTCGCTATATATGTTAGTTCGCTGTAGAGAGTTCTTTATGTGCGTAAATTTTATTTGATAATATATAGGAGGTAAATCGGGGATTTTTTAACAGTTTGTTCGCTCTATCCATGTTCCTTATATGCGTGTTCTACTGTAACTGTGTTTACGGAAATGTACACTGGCTGAGAGTGTAGTACACAAGTGTGCCTCAGCTGACCACTGTGATAACATGATGTGGCTTGTGTGTTGAATAGTACTGATATGTACTCAGTCCACAGGGCTTACAGCTGAGGGCATGCAATGAGATGGCACTGTTTCTTGTTACAGATGGATGATGATCGCACGTTCGTGTCTTGCCTAGAAGTGAGGGTTGCGCTGGCAGCAATAAATGAGTGGTTTGAGACCTGTTACTGAACAAGGTTGTCATGGCAACACTGCAGTTGTTGCAAATGCTTGTCACACTTTATCATAAAATGGTTGAAAACTTTCACTGGAAAATGTTTATTGACACAATGAGTTTTAATGTCATTATAGAATCGTAAATAGAAAGGTGTATTTTTGAAAGATTAAAGCAAGATTCATGATGTCTGGACTAGTCGGTCAAGACTAGCAGGATTTCCGGATGTGTAGGTCCAGACTGGCAAGGTTTCCAGACGAGTGGGTCCAGACAGGCAGGGTTTCCAGACGAGTGGGTCCAGACAGGCAGGATTGCCATACAAATGGATCCAGACTGGCAGGGTTTTCAGACAAATGGATCCAGACTGGCAGGGTTTTCAGACAAATGGATCCAGACTGGCAGGGTTTTCAGACAAATGGGTCCACACTGGCAGGCTTTCCAGACAAATGGGTCCACACTGGCAGGCTTTCCAGACAAATGGGTCCAGACTGGCAGGCTTTCCAGACAAATGGGTCCAGACTGGCAGGCTTTCCAGACAAATAGGTCCAGACTGGCAGGCTTTCCAGACAAATAGGTCCACACTGGCAGGCTTTCCAGACAAATGGGTCCAGACTGGCAGGCTTTCCAGACAAATGGGTCCACACTGGCAGGCTTTCCAGACAAATGGGTCCACACTGGCAGGCTTTCCAGACAAATGGGTCCAGACTGGCAGGCTTTCCACACAAATGGGTCCACACTGGCAGGCTTTCCAGACAAATGGGTCCAGACTGGCAGGCTTTCCAGACAAATGGGTCCACACTGGCAGGCTTTCCAGACAAATAGGTCCACACTGGCAGGCTTTCCAGACAAATGGGTCCACACTGGCAGGCTTTCCAGACAAATGGGTCCACACTGGCAGGCTTTCCAGACAAATGGGTCCAGACTGGCAGGCTTTCCAGACAAATGGGTCCACACTGGCAGGCTTTCCAGACAAATAGGTCCACACTGGCAGGCTTTCCAGACAAATGGGTCCACACTGGCAGGCTTTCCAGACAAATGGGTCCACACTGGCAGGCTTTCCAGACAAATGGGTCCACACTGGCAGGCTTTCCAGACAAATGGGTCCACACTGGCAGGCTTTCCAGACAAATGGGTCCAGACTGGCAGGCTTTCCAGACAAATGGGTCCAGACTGGCAGGCTTTCCAGACAAATAGGTCCACACTGGCAGGCTTTCCAGACAAATGGGTCCACACTGGCAGGCTTTCCAGACAAATGGGTCCACACTGGCAGGCTTACTAGACAAATGGGTCCACACTGGCAGGCTTTCCAGACAAATGGGTCCAGACTGGCAGGCTTTCCAGACAAATGGGTCCACACTGGCAGGCTTTCCAGACAAATGGGTCCACACTGGCAGGCTTTCCAGACAAATGGGTCCAGACTGGCAGGCTTTCCAGACAAATGGGTCCACACTGGCAGGCTTTCCAGACAAATGGGTCCAGACTGGCAGGCTTTCCAGAGTAGCAGGTGAAAGACCGGAAGGGTTTCCTGATCTGTGGGCCCAGACTAGCAGGTTTTTGGACAAGCAGGTCCAGACTGCCCAGTTTCTGTCATCAAGTCATCAAGTAATTATTTTAGTTTCATCTGAAAACATGTACGATATTGATCAGTTATTAGCCATTTGTATATAGCCTTCAGGTTACCACAATGTCACATGACCAATTATAGTGATACGCATCCATATAAAATTTTGCATAAGAAATCAAAGAGAACAAAAATCAATTAAATTTAGTGTCACTTATACATGTACTTTTTGCGTTTCCATGGTGTGTCTGTGTATAATTGTAGATTTTCACTCTGCCTCTTAATATTGTATTTTGAAATCTATCCAATAACGTGAGAATGTGTTACCATGGTTACAGAGCTTGTAAAACTGATATCACTGTTAGGACATGCTGATGAATACAATGACCTCAGCACCAGGAACAATTAGATCCAGCAAGACAATCGTGCTTCGTTCATGAGGGGAGAAGGGGGATGGGAAGTGGTGGCTAAGTTTACCTGTAGGTATATAGTCCATTTGATACTCTGTGATACATTTTCCGATTAACTTTGAATGTTAATATATACATGTTTATAACCTTGTCATAATTACAATTGATATGAAATATATATTCCAGAATTGTTATTTGAAATTGAGTTGAAATTGCATAAGCATTATTTCAGCCATAAAGCGACTTTTTTAAAGTGAATTTAGAGAATGAAATGTATACAGTGTTTTATGTTGTTTCCTCCGTCCACAACCTGTGTATATTTCTGACAGATGTTAACATTGTTAAGTTTCTAATAAACAGTTTAAGCATTGTTGTTGTCTTTATTCTGTCTCCATGCCAGGATGCTGAAGGTACAGAAGTTCACCTTCTGACCTTTCATCAAGTGCTCAACTCTTAGTGAGAATATTGTCAAGGGTTTTGTCTTAAGCCTCAGTGACTATCATTTTGTTTGCAAACGATTTTAGACTTGTTATCCCCCCGACATATAATGACGGGGGGATATAGCCATCAGTATGTCCGTACGTCCGGCCGGCCGGCCGTCCATCTGTAATCATTGTTTGTCCGGAGCACTTTTCCTAAACCGTACAACCTAGCTTCACAAAACTTGGTACACTTACCAATCAGGCTCAGTAGTAGTGCCTTTTACTATTTAGAGATTTTTAGAATTTCATATTTTTGTCGTTTCCATGGAAATATGATGAACTTAGGAAATTTGAGGGTACTGCTCTTGTCCAGAGCATATTTCCTAAACCGTACAACCTAGCTTCTAAAACTTGGTACACTTACCAATCAGGCTCAGAAGTAGTGCCTTTTACTATTTAGAGATTTTTAGAATTTCATATTTTTGTCGTTTCCATGGAAATATGATGAACTTAGGAAATTTGAGGATAGTGCTCTTGTCCGGACGATATCTTCCGAACCATACGACTTAGCTTCTCAAAAGTTTTTACACCTATCAAGCAGGTTATGTAGTGGTGCCTTTGCTATTAACAGATTTTTCTTTTTTTTTCTTTTTTCAATTTACATTGAAAATTGATGGATTCATATGCGAATCTGCGAAGTTATTGTTATTACAATTTCATGAGATCATCAGAAAGTGAGCTACATGAACCAATATTTAATAACCCTCATTATATTTCTGGTTTTGGCATCAAGGAAACAGATTTCCTTGCCAATCTAAATACATTTGAAGGTACACACAGTTTACCGACATGCCACATCGGGGGGATATGTCATCTTCGGATGACTCTTGTTTCTTATTGTCTTGATATTTTTTTATAAGCTTTTCATGTTAGTATTGTGTTAGGTTTGTGAGCGGCAATGTGCAACTATTACGCTATGACGTCATGTTCCCCAGCATCAGAAGTGACAGAAGTGTACCTCGTGTTAGTTACGAGTACATCATCGTTCAAACCAGACATGTTTTGTTGGATGTTCCTCCCAGTTCAGGTGCAGGTCGTAGAGTGAGTGAGTGAGTGAGTGCAGACGACTTGGCCACCCGTGCCCCGCAGGTCGTAGAAGGACACAAGCATGATATACAGGACTACAAACACACTACAATTATTATGATTTCAATATGGCAGTTGAATTAATTATAGAAGGATATTGTATATAATCTGTATATACGTGGCAGGGAGAGAGCCAAATCTGTAAGTGTAACAGAGCCCCTGTGTCTGCTGTTTGAGAATAGAGGGCTGTAATCAAAAAATGGATGCAGCTTTTTACTCTGACCTACAAAACTAGGGTCCAGGGGACCCAAATAATTAATTTAAGGGTCCATACAGGAAATATGCGAGTCCTGTAAAGTAATGAAATGGTGTAGAGTACAGTAAGATTTGATCATTACTTTAATCACCGGACCTTTATATTTCTTGTCAAGAATTGGGTACAATGAATATTACTATGCGTCCCTCGGGAGGCAATAATGTTCATTATGCGTCTGTTCTATACATTTGTGCCTACTGGACACACATTTCTGCATCATGTAAATCCCTGTGGATGCTTTGAGTGACAGCAAGATAGCTTGGGAAAAACTGAGGAGATCAACAAAGTCAAAGGAAAAAGCACATTTTTAGTTTGAAATATACAAGAAATTTTTGTGTGTGTTCAAACCCTAAAGGCAAACAAAAACCTTTGTGAAAGATCCTTTTCAAATAAATAGACCTCACGGTTCAAGGGTATAAACTAAATGTAACATTTTTCTTTGAGAAATACTGAAAGGTTTACAAATTAAGCACAAGAGTTAAACCCGGTTCTTAGATGGAATTTCTGTCAGGGAGGTGCAAAAAAGTAACCATTGATTGTAGCGGAAACAAACATTGTCCATACTTTGTACCACCAAAGACGCCAACAGCTTCAGGCGGCTGGAGAAGAATAGAAGACCAAGACTGGTCAGTTGGATTAGCCAATGCCTTCTTTTGTCATGCTCACCCTTCTGCACAAAGTATAGTTCCACCCATAATCATAATTGTCCAATTGTCCATTGCTAATCACCTAGCAATGCCAATTAACTGTAGGCTTTCCTTGTTATAACCTATTAGCGCCAATTAACTGTTGGCTTTCCTTGTTATAACCTATTAGCGCCAATTAACTGTTGGCTTTCCTTGTTATGTATCCACCTTTGTTATCTTTTTTCTTTTGGCTGTACATACGTATATCTATATGAGGGCGGTCTGTACTAAATCGAGTCCGAACCAGACAATCCCGTGACTGCCATTAGGAGCATCGATCTACGTCCATGTCTCTGAGTCTGACCTCTCGATCCGTTGGTCACCTTTTACGACAAGTATGGGTTGCTCAAGACCAATTCTAACCTGGATCTTCACGGGTCACACCTACAATACTACTTATGTTGTCTAACAATGGTGAAAATATAGAGGAATTCAACAGGACTTGCATTCACTTTGATACTAGAATTTATTAAGCATAATAGATTAACATTTATGCGTGACTAATTTTCCAAACATAAGACAAAAAACAACACATTGATAGTTCACAAATTACATAATAACACAATTCAACAATAAACAATACAATAGTAATTGTATTTTGTGAAAAACGTAAGAACCCTCAACTAAAATTATGATACCTCACTAATTGTTAATTATTACTTCATCTGTGGGTAAAATTGAGAAGTGAATGTAATGCAAAACACTAAATCAACACAAACATTGATGTTACAAATTGCAGTCTAACCTTAAGAAAAGTAAAGTAACAAACAAATAACAAGGAGACACATTTATCTCAATGTGACATAATATACTCTGAAATCTTACATAGGAATTCTTTGAGCAAAAAGAGCTCAAAATATACTACCAACAAAGAATAAGGGAACCTTCCAAAATAAAGGAACTGATGATTTGAATGTAGCTATCGTTGAGGTGTTCATTTCTACGGTGGCCCATACCCGCCACTGGTGAGATCATTTTTCACTGTATGCCTCTATATTTTATCTGGCGGCCGCCAGATACTTACACTGGTGAGATAAAATATAGACGTTTACAGGGGAAAATGAAAAGTATTTGGCGCCTCCAGACAAAATATAGAGGTATACAGTGAAAAATGATCTCACCAGTGGCGGGTATGGGCCACCGTACGTTTCCAATACCGTGGCGTTGCACCTTAACACAACATCTAATCACAATAAAATTTCACATCATGCATGTACAGCACGTGTTGCACGTGCACAATGACGGCATAGATTGGAGTGGGCTAGGTAACACAAGGAACGTGCGGTGCTCCAATGATTCACAGATGGCACAAAACGTTGGCGACGTCGCGGTGAGTGGTATTACAGCAACAAATCCTGAGCATTATTTGTTTTGGGTCTGTAGTGTCATGGTGTGGGCGGTATCACACATGACAGGCGAGGCGATTTGTTATTGTGAACGGCCATTTGACTAACCAGCGATATGTTGACGAAAGTTTACGTCCTGTTGTTTCTCCATTCTCTAGAATTATCGGCAGAAATTTGAAACTGCAAGATGGCAATGCAAGATCACATCATGCCCAGGTCGGCATCGATATCTCCCACTAGAAGGCACACGGACATTGGACTGGCCCGCTAAGTCCCCTGACATGTCCCCAATAGAGAACCTGTGGGATGTTCTCGGGTGGAGAGTGCACGCCAGAGACCCAGTACCAGGAATGTGGCTCAACAGTATGCCATCAAGGTGTACATGTATCGCCTAACGTGGTGGACACACCAGATATTGATTTACACACTCGGAATTAACCGTCATTACACAATAATCATTCATCTGTTCCCTCGGTTTGAGTTGGTAGTATATCAATGGGTGAGTGCTTTGGTTGGGTTTAACGCCTATTGATAGTATTTAATTTTCATAACGGCGTGTCCGCTTAATGAGAGATCAAAAGAATACAAGTCAAAGAAGTTTACCAATTACAAAAAAGAACCAACACATTGGTAGCTCACAAATGATACATCACAATTCCACAATAAACGATACGTTAGTTATTATATTATGTGAAAATTCCAAGAACCTCAACTAGAAATACACTGATATCTTCCTTCTTGTTAATTATTACTTCCACTACGCGTATCATTGAGAAGTGAATGTTTTGCAAAACAATATAACAGCATTAACATACACATTGTAAAGTTTTACTTATGAAACGCAAAGTAAGAAATAACAAAGATACAGTGTCACATAATACACTGTTATATTTTCACTGGAATTCTTTGAGCAAAGAGAGACCAAAATATAAATAGGTGAGTGCGTGAGTTGGGTTTACCACCGATTGGTAGAATTTAATTAATATCACGGCTTAACGTGTCCGCTTAATGCACGTGAGTGGAATGCAAGTCTAAGATGTTTACCAATTTGGTGAAATAACAAGCAGGAGTTTGGTGTGAACGAAGTATCATAATCAGTGCGAATCTGGGATTCGAACCAACGATCATCGGACTCTGGCACGACTGAGGGACGTAACTCTGCACGACGAATGGCGACGCCTAAGACGACTGGGCCAACGTGCCACCTTGTGCAATATCATACACAAAAGAAAAGGTAACTGATACTTTAATATATCCTATCTTGTATTGTACGATATTACTGACGTATTTGATATGAGTAAGAAAAAAACCAACTTAAAACACCAAAGGTGAGAAAACGAAAAGCTCATACAACAAACAACGTACTAGAGTTAACAATAGGAAACAATGTTAAGTTGACTGGCATAATGTTTATAGTGATTAAATACTGTAAATGAAAATAAGAAATCAATATTTCACTCGGGTGAAGTACCACTCTATGCTGGAACTATATATTTTCACTCTGCCCCATGAGACTGTGGTTTCAGAGTGAGATTGTGGTTTCAGAGTGAGATTGTGGCGATCAGTCAGAATATAAATACACCCGAGCCACTCATTAAAACATCAACTTTGTCAGGTCACTCGATGAGATAAATATGCTATTAGATACAAAAAAGACCAACAAACACGTTGATAGTTTTTACCCAAACCGTAAATTGCAATCCCAAATTTGACACTTTTTGTGAACAGAAGACGTGTACATAAAAATATGCTTGATTTCCTTGTATCGATAAGGAGACAGTTATACATAAATCGTTTCAACACTGACCTGCGAAGTGACATTGACTGGCAGATTTACATAGCCTAGTGTTGAATTACATTACAATCTTGTGTCGACATAGGGATATTAAGTTTATGATTGTGAGATACCGGCAATATTTCCTCGGAAAGTGTTTTACCCTTCCGTGTGTATAACCAGAGCAGACAAACAGGAAGTGATATCCATCGTTTCACACATAACATTGTCTTTCATTTCGTGGAATGTTAGCGTACCTCCCAGTTTCAGCAGCTTATAAGAACTGGACACTTACTTACTTACTTACTTTGGAGATTTAACGTGCGCTTTCCGACTGATGCGTATTTCGCACACGGGCCCGGCCAGGCCATTTAATGTGTTTCCGAAAGGGGCGAAAGTGGTCTGTGCAACCCAAGAGGGGGGTTTAGGGGTTGCTTATATAGAATTTGGGAATTTTGAGATTTGGAATAGATGCCGATTGGGTTGGGGAGGAGAACTACTGGACAAGTGCCTCTCTACAACTTATTACTGGAATTATGTTGCCAAAGACACATTGAATAAGGCATATGAGCGAGCTTTTCTGCCATTTGGAAGATTTCTATGCCAGTCCTGTTCATGGGGGTATTTTAAACAAGAGATGAATTCTGACATAAAAGACATTATTTCAGACATTTATTGTACCAAGATATGCTCCTTGAAACAACATATGACGACACTTCCCAGGATAGTACAACCCGGCACAACCCAATAACTTCAAAATTAACACATGAATCTTTGATATGCAAAAATATACAAAGAGTAGCCTCCACATTCTCCTCTAAGAGAGCTATTGCTGTTGAGCTGTCGATAATTTGTTTGGTGTTGACAAATCATCGGATATATTAATTAGATCATCCTTTGACATTGACATAACATGCACATTGCAACATATACATACAGTGCAAACTGACATTTACATTTGCACCTGCTCCAGACACAAGGCAAATTTGCTTCTTGTGTAAATATACGCAAATGAGTAAACGCGTGCACATGACAAGTATATATTCACGTATGTATATTTACACACGTATGCACATATATACACACATGTATAGAGGTGCATCTGAACGGGGTATTAGATGAATGGATATAGTACAAGTACTTAATTAATCTGTAGCTCTGTACATACATATATTAATATATTTATGACAAACACAAACAGTAAAGTCACAGTATACAAGTTTCCAGATATTACATCTAAGTACATTCTGTACCAATGAGAGCAAAAATAAGTAATAGTAAATATTTGTTAAAAACAACAAACGATTCTCTGTATGATCAAAAAAGTTTTCTTCCGAAATGAAATCAAAAGTGCAAATAAAAAAACCTCAACAAGAAGCCATCAACATCAAAAGACTTTAGCCCTCAATCAACCGTGACCAAGGGTATTACATACCCCCGGCGTACCATCAACTCATCAAAGACCCCAATCAGCCATAATCCCGTTGTTTATTTACTGGCTTCATCCCTTGTTAATGGCACTGACTTCACCGATGATTGTCATCACTACCCTTGTGTGGTCATAACAGGCTTCTCTACTCCAGTATAACAATATCTACTCTACTGTATAAACATTGCCTCCTACTTGTATATATACTTGCCTACTACACTCAGTCCTTCATAATCAACAATCTAAAAAACAACAAAAAATCCTAATACTTACCGACTCGCTCAGTGGACTACAAGCCCTCCAAAATAAAAACACCCAAAACCGCCCTGAACTAATAAATCAGATACTAAAAAGCTCAAATGATTTAACTAAGGCAAGGCAAACAAATAGTATTCATTTGGATCCCCGCCCACGTAGGAATATACGGCAATGAAAACGCCGATAAAGCAGCTAAACTATCCCTTAAAATCCCAGAAATAAGCTTAAACCTACCCATCTCCAAATCAGAAATTAAAAGTGTTAACAAACAAAAAATCACCAAAAAATGGCATAACCTATATCAAAACTCAAATAGCCAAATCAAAAAGGTTCTCAAAAAAACCCTAACCAAACCAAAAATTCTACATCCGTCCAAAAAAATCGACAGAGTAATTACTAAACTCCAAACAGGACATACCAACCTAAATAACCACCTCAAAATAATAAGAAAACACGCAACAGGAACCTGCCCACATTGCAAACAACAAGAAACCCCAGAACACGCACTCATACACTGCACCCACTACCTAACACACCGAACTACACTACAAACCACCCTAAATCTAAATAAGGCTCTTACTCTAGAAGCAATCCTAAACCCACAAAATAAAATAGAAAAAATCAAAGCCTTAGGCGTATACTTAATCAAAACAGGACTAATACATCGCATTTAATACCCCAATAAACTACCAAAACCAGACCACATAATCAAACTAACAAACTTCCATACTCAGGTCCCTTAGTTCGTCCCCCAAACCCTCTTGGCATTTTTTCCAAATTTCCAAATTTCCAAAATTCTATATAAGCAACCACTAAAACACCCCTACTGGATTGCCAAACAACTTTTTCCCCTTTTCGGAAACACATTAAATGGCTTGGCCGGGCCCGTGTGCGAAATACGCTGCAGTCGGAAAGCGCACGTAAAATCTCCAATATAAGTAAGTAAGTACTCTGTAAATCACTTGCTTGATAACGGTGTTGGAACCTACACCGAAACGTCGCTCTTAATTGTAATAAAGAAGTTGTTCATCCATAAATTCTTATCCTTACTGGCAATCTGCTTCTTGCCATATGTGTCTAGTACAAACATTTCAACAGAAGCTATCTATACAGTATTTACATAATGCAAAAAATAAAAATAAAAGCCGCGGCACTGTAGCTCAATTTTATATATTTTCAATATTCTAAGGGAAAAGTGTTTGGCTTACATGCAAAAGCGTCAGTAGCCACATTAAAAATCGGATTTAAACCTCTTGAACAAATCCATGTGTCACACCTGGTTGGGACAAGCATGCCAAGTTTTAACTGGTTGATCATGTGACTCTGAGGAGAACAAACACTGACAGACGACTGGCAAGCAGGTCATGACATCAGCTCACTTGACTTTAATCAGGTGAGCTAAACAACAAACAGTGCATGGTATACACATGATCAAACATTACAATAGTTAACAAAAACATATTTGGTTACGATGAGTTAAAATACTACTGACAGTTTTTGTGCCGACAAAATAGACAGCACTTCAAGTTGCTGCTTTTTTAGCAGCTACCATGTGCAAATTATTATTCAGGATCATTCTTGCAGAGCCTAGGAGCTTTGTCATGAATGCTCACTGTTAATTAACATGTACACAAGCGTTTCCTCCGTGCCATATCGTCTCAGTGGGTGTGAAATGGGGGATGGGGTGGGCTGAGGGTCGCTTCGAACGTTATTGCAGTTATATCACGGTGCACCATACGGTATGAACTGTGGGTGTGCTTGTGGGGTGCTTGAACAAGTTAATACTGTCTACATGCCCTGTTTTAACAAGTTCTCCTTACCCATGTCTCCTCGTGGTTGCAAATCCAGCATAGGACTAACGTCTAATCAACCAGGTTAGTGTAAATTAACAAAACACCCTAACCACGATAAAACAGAAATGTAACAATAGATGTACAACACCAGCACCTATTCAACCAGGTCATGGGCAGTTTCGGTATGATTTTAAAAAAATCCTTAAACTCAAACAGGATACGTCCAGTACCTTTAAAGCATAACATGTTACAGAAGCATGGCGAGTATTTCTCAACCCTTTGTTGCTGTCACTAACATGAGTCAATTGGCACAGCAAAATTTACATACGTTATGATGGACTAAGCCTTCATGTTACTAATACAGGCGCGTTTGTTACCTTGGTACACCACACCCACTTCTTTTGTACATGACCACTTGTTGAACTGGATACTTTGTTGTATCTGGCTTGTTAAAACCATTGGCATGTTTGTCATGATTCGCCCAACGGTAATTAATCTAAAAGCATCTTTTAAAACTACACGTCATTTTTGCTCTGAATACTTACTCTTAGAACACTCATTGTCTAAAAAGTGGCATGCAGGACACTACATTATTGTTTCGGTGACTTACCAAAGAAGTGGAATTAAAATATTATATTTTAACTGAGCTTATTTACTATCTTTACTTGGGGTTATCTATCCAATGTGATTATTTATGGTCATAGATGCAAGAGAAGTATGAGGTATGTGATCTGACTAAGAAGCACTTCTGACCTGTCTACTACCTAGGGAGTTATCTCCTCTTAGTTGTTGGTTTTCATTCCCTTTTGTTGTAGTTTTTCTATGTAGGATGTTAATCCAAATCATAATTAGCCATATTGGCCTGATCAGACCAAGCTGCAAATTGTGCTCCATCCATTTCGGTAGCAAGGGAGTTATCTCCCCTGAGCTGGTGACGTGCTCCTCCTATAGTCTCGGCACACTCAGGACACTTGCTCTCCTGCATGGCACCACCGCATTCACCGATCGCATAAACATGACCTGAAGCACACACACTGGAGATTTTGCCAAACAAGTACATTTATACGTACACAACAATATCAAAATAATCAAATCTTGATTTAACTAAAACAAAAAAAGACCCTTTCCACTGTCAAACACATGCAGTTCTTAGACGTTTACCACTTTGGTGAAACCCGCGGGTATGGTCCTGACAAACCTACAAACATATTTGGGGCGAACTAGGATTTTAACCCACGATTATAGGTTTCTTGCGTGCCCAAGGGACGCAACTCTGTATGGTGAATTGCAGACGACTGCCCCCCCCCCCCCCCCCCCCCCCCCCCCCCCCATTATTTTGTATTGTAACATGTTCCATGTTTTTTCAGGTGAACAGTTTACTTGCCTTTGCATGTGTTTATGACGGATGCTGCCGCTGGGGCATGATGCGCTCACTTTTCGCAAACACCTGTTATCATCACTATTTCATGTTGTGCCATAGTTGATTTCGTCAGTACAGTCTATTCTGCTTTTGGTAGAGATTTCTTATGATTATTTTAATAGGTTTTGTCGCTCTAGCGTTAAACAAGATGTCAGTTTGTAGATAGGTCTGATACCAGTACAAAGGGAAAATAAGGTAATTAAAATGCATGTAAAGAGTCACTCACCCTTCTTGCATTTGTACCAGTGTCCTTTCTGGCTAAAGCCCATCGCCTGGAGAACCATGATACGTTCCTCGTCTGTAATGCCAAGCCCTACCCGAGGATATTCAGCTTCCAGCTTCTTCAGTTCCGCCTCCAGGCCTTCCAGCTCCTCCTGCAACAGCTTCTGCCCACTCAAGAGTTTTTCTGATGAGTCTTCCACACACTTGCGCTTCTCATCCGAAACTTCTACAGCTGAAAGCTTATCTTGCACAAGGAGATATCGGTAGCAGAGTCTTATTCTAGTGAGCTCCATTTTAAACTCTGATAGTTCCTGATCACTGAACCTGACACGTTTTAAAAGAACCCATTTCATTAAAGAAGATAGTTCGTCTTTCATGCCCTGGACCTTGACTCTGTCAAGGCAATCTTCAGACATGATACTGTCCAAATTGTCTTCAGTGCTTCTGACATTCAAATAGAACCCAACCTGATTTGACAGACTAGCTACTTGATCGGTATTTCTGGTTGAAGTTAACTGTTTCCTAAATATATTCTGATGTTCTTGATTGTGAATTTTTGAAAATTCTTGGGTGAGTATGTTCTTTTCTTTAGCCATTTCACTGGATTTGGAAAGTAGTTTGCATTTGACAACATCCATTTCTTTTTGACATTGACGGATACAAGTTCCATAACGCTCTGATGTCATGATAGGAGAAGTACATTTTGGACATGTTTTCATTCCTATGCTTTCACTCTCACTGTCCATGTACATGTCAAGAGATGTAACCTCAAAGATGTGATTACAGTCTGGTAGCTTGTAGAACACAGCATCTGGTTCATCTTCAGTACCAAAGAAGATTTCAAAATGTGTCTGGTCTTCACATTTTCTACAGACACATTTCTCACAATTCAAAGCTGTGCATTTGTGACCACAAGGCATAGTTCTGGTGCAAGGCATATTACACCGGTTTCTGTTGCAGTCTTTAGAGCAAAGCTTGGTGCATTCATATCTATTGTTACAATTCTTTCTACATCTCCACCTACATGGTTCCTTACATGGAACACACCTATCCCCACATTTGTAACCACACTTACTGTGGCCGCACTTTTGTTCACAGGGTTGTCGACATGGTGGACACACATCAGTACAGGATGCCTTACAGATATGTCCACATATTAGTTTCCTCTCACATTTCTTCCTACATGGCTGGTGCAAACGACCCTGGTGGCATTTCCCACAAGTGCCCTTGCAAGGATGGCCACAGTCAAGCTGTGCTTGGCACTCAATCTTACACAGAATTGTTTGGGAACATGCAATCTGACAAGAATGTCCACATTTTCCGGTTTTCTTGACAAGTTCATTGCAGTTGTCTTCCGTGTTGCACACCTGTCCACACTTTCTTTGACAAACATGCCCACATGGTATTATCTCTGTACACCTTTCTTCACATTGTACGTCTCCAACGTCTTTGAAACATGGCTTCTTTGCCGTATGACCACACTTTGGTAGCTGGACGTTAATGGTTTCTTTGCACTTAGCAATTTCCTCACAACATTTCTTTTTCTGAATGTGTCCCTCTTTGCAATGTTTGTCAACCACTTTTATACATAGTCTTGCATGTTCTGGGTCATCGGGGTGACATCTTCTGCTACACCTGTGCCCACATTTGAGACGTGCATTACATGCCTGATCACATCCACCATCTGAGTATTGGTCAAAATCTTTGGCAGTTTTAACCTCCATCACTTTCTCTGGATGTTTGGAACATTTAAGTTTCAGGAACTTTCCACAGATGCCTTTTTCTTCAGCTTTGGTAACTATTTTGTCCCACAGAGGAGACGCGTTCCTCAAACATTCCATGTTTCCAATAACGTATAGTCCTTCCTTTGCTCTGGAAAGTGCAACACAAACCCGATTTGATGCTGAGAGATGCCCTATGCGACCTGACTTATTGCTGCGAACAAGGGAGAGTAGAATGATTTTATTTTCTTCACCCTGAAAATTGTCCACCGATGTTATTCGTACACCAGAATTCCTTGCAGTCTTGTGTGTAGGCTCGATTTCAGAATTCATCTGCTCCTCTTTCTGTGTTTGCAGTAATAAACAATCCCTCTCAGTGTCTCTAATACTCTTTCTTAAAGCCTGAACTTGATCATTATACAATGCTAGCACAGTTATCTCACTGGATAGATACCCCTGCAGTCTGAGGTGTCTATACAACTTTGTCAGGAAGTCTGCTTCGTATTTGTTTCTGTGGCTCAGAGATCCCTCATCATGGTCTTCCTCTATGTCGTGTGTAAGGAAATACACATTAGTTGCCATGCCACGAACATCGGGGAAGCAGAAGACAGATTCGTCATCTTTCAGCGTCTTGTATATATGTGGAACCAGAAGCTGGGATATCTCTGGTCTCATTCTGTGCTGGTTTTCAAGCTGCTGAAAAGTTATTCCACCTCGGACTAAGCGTTCAAAGAGTGACACATCAGTATGATGGGACTTGGCAAGAGAGTAATCATTGAACGCTGGCCTCAGTTGTTGATGGTCACCTATCATTATCAAATGTTGACAGGAGGGTGATAGAGCACCAAGAACATGCTGTTCGGATACCTGTGCTGCTTCCTCTATGATGACAACAGGAGCGCCAACTTCTTGCAGAGTCCTTGTGTAACGTGCTGCAGCAGTTGTAGTCATGGCAACAAGTGATGCTCTTTTCATAATTCTACTGTCCAGCAAACTACAAGCTTCACAGTATCTTCGAGATGCTGCTTCATATTCTTGTTCCAGGCATCGGAGCTTCTTCCTAAGTGGATGTGTAGCTTGGTGTACCCAGTGCCTGTACAATCTCCAGCGATCAGGGACATCCAGCTCCCATATATCATAGATGGTTCCTACTTCCTGACATGTCATGTTGTCCTGCAAAGCCAACAGCTCTGTAATCCCTTTTATGATCTGTCTGCAGCCATTTTCAGACAAGTGTGAGAAATATCTATCATTCCTCAGTTGCTGGAAGTCCAGGGCAATTTCCAGGTCAAATGGTGATGTGGTAATTCCATGTGGTGAAACAAAGTCATCATTGTCATCAATGATACGCTCATTGTCTTCATTTCTAATATCCTCTGCAAGTATAAACTCCTCTTGAAAGATGGACCCATCTGCTGTACACTCAGTGTAACTCAAACTGTCTGGCAATGCCAACCATTCCCACAATATGCTATTGTTATTTGGACTGTCATAATACTTACATTCTTCAAATTGTGAATGATGGAATGAAGATAATATTTCACTGACCTTGAAACTGTCTTCGTGAATTAAAGATGTTTGGTACAATAATAGACTTTTTCTCAATTCATCAATGTCTTTTTCAATACCTTTCAGAACACCAAAGCTTTGGTTATATGCACATGATGGTTGACGGCGTCTGTGTTTCTTCAGGGCAAATCTGAACAGTTCTTCAACTTCACATCTTGAACCAACTCTGATGATGTCTTGGTCTTGGCAACTATCCATGACTGGAGAGTTCAGTAGCAGTTGCAGGAACTGATCTAATGCATGGTTTGTGTAACTAACCAACAGCAGTGGGCCCTTACCTTCATGGTGGAGTCCAGAGTCTGCCCTGTGGGTTTGCATCAGTGGATAAGGGCTCTGACCTTGCCACATGACCTTGTTGGAAAGAAGGACTTCAGCTATTCTGATTCCCATCATTGTCTTCCCTGTTCCAGGAGGACCTTGAATTAAAGCAATCTCATTGTTAAGCACCAGTTTAAGTGCCTCCAACTGAGATGTATCCAGGCCAATGTCTGCACAACACGGCCATGATTCAAGTTTCCTCACCTGAGCGGTGTCAGAATTTTGTGGTTTCAGAGTTTTGTCTCCATAGTGTTTTAGACATGAAAAGGACACTTCATCACATGTATCCAGATAGGAAGGATGTGAAACATTTTGCGATTGTCCAGTCAAATATTTTCCTAGAGGAAGAACTTGTTTGTTAGATTCTAAATCCTGGGCCATTATTTTCAATGATGCTAGTGAATGAGAATATGCTTCATAAAATGCCCTGCACTCAAGCATAACAAATGTCACTTCAAGGAGTTCTGGCAAATTACTATCCTCCACAAACTTGATGTCTATTTGTCCTTTGCATAGTTTATTTGCATCTCGGTTAGCGACTGTTGCATAGTGAATAGATTGGAAACCATCATGTGATAAACAGAGTAGAGCACCATACTGAAGCACTGAGGGAATATATGACCGTTTGTGGAAGTTTGACTGGAATTGGATCGTCTGTGTCATTCCATTATCTATCTGTATGGCGTTGGAAATGACTTGTACATTCTCATACAGCTTAACATCAGTGCTCCAAAATCGCTCCATGGATCGTTTCTCTGTATGAGAAATGTACTTTCTTATCCCATTTACCAGAGGCTGTACAAAATCCTCTCTGAAGACTGCATACATGTGAGCTACATAATGTTGTTCACTTGCGAATGGTATACATATGCCGTGCTTAGGAATACTGTTTTTTTCCCCAGACTTTATCATGTCAATGCTTGGTAAAATAGGCTCATGTATGACAGGATATTCATCCATGGCTTTAGAGGCAGGAGGCATTTCATTCTGTTTCCTGTAAAGCTCTGATATCTCACCCAACAAGTCTTTGAGTCTCTCACACTTCTCATCCTTAATTTGAGGACTGCTTTCTATAAGCGATTTGCTGATCAGTATATCTCCTTTTTCGAGTTGAACTACATGTATCATTGCTTTCATGAGTGTCAATAACTCGATCACAAACGCAAGACTTGATTCCATATCTGAAAATGATTGAAGATCCTTCAGTTTATCAATGATATCTTTCCTTTCAAAAAATTTCCTTGTTCGTAACACATACATGACTTTCAGCTTGCTTTCATGGCAAAGTGTTGCTTTAGAACACTTTTCCAGTACAGTCACGAGAGAAACAATGTGTGGACATATTTCATTATTACAGAGATACGTTTCAAGTTCTTCACTTCGATTTGCAAGTGTTGCTGCTATATCATTGGGTTGATGGAAAGGTTTGCTGAGAAAGAATATGGTCCCAACCAATCCACTTTTGTGCGATCGTTTCTTCTTGTGCTGAATCCTCTGTCGAGCTGTTCTATCAGTCCTATTTTTACACTGCAGTAATTGTTCAGGTACTGTGTCATAATGCTTCCGTTTGGTGCCTCTGTTTTGCTCTTGTGAATGCTTCTGCATATGTTCAGGTCTGGGATGATGATGATAGGATCGATTCAAATATTGTGGTTGTCTACTTCTGTCTGATGATCTGCTTCTAGGCCTCTCTGGTGTTCGCCTGTGTTCTGGAGACCAGGCTCTCTCTGATGTGACGTTTCTAACCTTCTCTGGTGGCCTTGCTGTACCTGGTGATCTGGACCTATTTCTCCCTGGTGCATATCTATCATCAAGATATCGATTCAAATATTGTGGTTGTCTACTTCTGTCTGATGATCTGCTTCTAGGCCTCTCTGGTGTTCGCCTGTGTTCTGGAGACCAGGCTCTCTCTGATGTGACGTTTCTAACCTTCTCTGGTGGCCTTGCTGTACCTGGTGATCTGGACCTATTTCTCCCTGGTGCATATCTATCATCAAGATATCGATTCAAATATTGTGGTTGTCTACTTCTGTCTGATGATCTGCTTCTAGGCCTCTCTGGTGTTCGCCTGTGTTCTGGAGACCAGGCTCTCTCTGATGTGACGTTTCTAACCTTCTCTGGTGGCCTTGCTGTACCTGGTGATCTGGACCTATTTCTCCCTGGTGCATATCTATCATCAAGATATCGATTCAAATATTGTGGTTGTCTACTTCTGTCTGATGATCTGCTTCTAGGCCTCTCTGGTGTTCGCCTGTGTTCTGGAGACCAGGCTCTCTCTGATGTGACGTTTCTAACCTTCTCTGGTGGCCTTGCTGTACCTGGTGATCTGGACCTATTTCTCCCTGGTGCATATCTATCATCAAGATATCGATTCAAATATTTTGGTTGTCTACTTCTGTCTGATGATCTGCTTCTAGGCCTCTCTGGTGTTCGCATGTGTTCTTGGGATTTGTTTGAGTATTCCGCTGAAGGCCAGGCTCCCTCTGATAACATAGTTCCATCCTTCTCTGGTTTCCAAGCTCTACTTCCCTTTGGTGGTTGTCTGAGAGTTCTATTCAGTGATTGTTCACTATCTGTATTCAAAGACTGTCTTCTGTCTTTGGATATGGTTCCATACATGTATGTTTCCCCTTTTCTGTGAGGATTCTTGTGTCCATCTTTACGTACCCCTTGTGAATAAGACACGTCCTTACGTGTCAAACTTTGTGATGTTTTCTTGCGTGATGTTTGTCTGTCGGTCTGATGTTTTGCAATCCTACTGTCCATTGTATTTAAGTTACAGCCCACTTCAAGTACAGAGCCTCTGTATTGTAGATTTTCCGAATATGCATTTTCTTCCATGTCATGTAAACTCCTAACATTTTCGAGATCATCAAATTCTCTCTCATCCAGCTCACCTTCTTCAAACTCCTCAATCTCACCTTCTTCAATGGCGTCAGCTATCTCATTACAGGCAGCAACGTCTTCGTCAGAGTAAACATCATCATCGGTACTATCTACTTCACAGCTTATATCTGAAGTATTTGAATTATTGCTTCTTGGTCCATTCTCCATCGGATACACTTCCTGCTTAATAGGTTGGTCAAGCAATAAATCTTCTTCAAGCAGCTCCGGGCTTCACAATGTAGTCCGGGACTCCCCTGTGCCCTTGTTCAGTAACTACGTTGTCATCACCAGATGGTTAAAGACCAGTTTTATTATCCTGTAGCCTCTTTCTTAATCAGCAACTTTTCTATGTGTTAGTATATTTTGTAAATCTGTTCTGCCTCTTGTCTAAATTTTCTTTTTATTCTCAAAAACTGCATGCTCATCTCTCCAGTTTACAGGCTGAAAATAGAGTTCCAAGTGTATTAACAATATACAGCCAGATATGACGTACGCAAAGCCCATTCTTAACTTTCTCCTATCTCGATATTCCTTCATACATATATCATGGAACTGTTCTGGGTGAACAATACCTTCCAAATGACGTGCTGGTTTTCTTGGGGAATTAGTCAGCAAAGAGCCAGAGTCACAGGAGACTAATCACAATTTTATTTACAAGAACAATTAACAATTTACAATATACTTAGATAATAACTGAGGGTGCCACAGAGAGTCGGTACACACTCTGGGCTGTGGGAGAGAGGTCTGCTTGGTAAGAGAGTCAAACCCCTTCTCTCTTTAAAACCTGCCTACAGTATGTATTTAACAAAAATTTAAACAATAACAAGGAATGTGATTGGTTGATACACGATGGGTTGTGTCCTAAGCTAAATGGATGGCTAGACAGAGGGGAATACTAAATCCTGTTTATCCTGTTGGACTGGCACTAATCTTGTTGACATATTTACTGGATGCTTTGAAAGAGATTAGGGTGTCACTATAGATGAGCTTGTGTGGGGGCTAATCCTTAATGCCCTATAGACGAGCTTGTATGGGGGCTAATCCTTAATGAGTCTTAATTGAAGTAATGTTATTCTAATATACCCCGGTAGGTGATGACAGATATACTTAAATAAATATCCTTTGTCTGGGAGATGGGATCTTGATACCTTAGGCTAGCATTTATCTAAAAGCTTCAAATCAATTAAACTATGTAGACGTAACTCTTGTCTTATTGAATAGTATGTCTAGAAGACGCGCTCCCATTACCTTAGGCTAGCAACCATCTAAAACAGCTTTAACTGAAACTACTGATATTTTATATATGCATTTTACCTAATGATATTTATTACTTGGTCAACTATAATTATATGAAATGATGTATAAATATTACACCACCATAACTCATAAAAGCACTTGATGTAGATCTAATTATTATAAGATAACTTAGTATAAATGTTATCCCATGATACATATCTACATGGCACTGACCCCATGCTGATACATGTCTACAATACCCCGATAACTTGTGAACAGGAATACTGTATTTTTCAAGATTGACTAAAACAACGGAGTCACATCGTGTGACGCGAAGTAGCAGGGGATGCAATGAAATGGTGGTCAAATAACTATTCCAGTGATACACTTACACATGTCAGTCGCTGAATGATTTAGGTGGCTGTTTTACAATATGAGTGTGTCGCTTTGTAAACAAAAACAAATGATTGGTCAAAGAAGTGATAGCTTATGCAATTTAGAAAACTGTTTTTTTTTTATAGGAACAAGTATACTTATATATCTATATACTTTGCTGTTGTATCAATGGTTACATTTAAATTACAATTAGTATTGTGGTATGGTTTTAGAAAAGGTTATCTTGGATGCCAGAGTTGGAACAAGGCATAACAAAAATGCTACAATTGGTGAGAGCATTTATATTTTAAACTCCACATTCTTGTGTGGTGACATGGTGTTAAGTATTAAAAACGGAGAGATGCAAGAGAAACTACAGCCAGTTCTGAAAAATTATCAAACGGGTGTTATTATGTTTCCCTGGTGAAATAGTCACTGATGAATAGTCACTGATGTCATAGTTCTCAAACAGGTCTGGGCGTTAACGTGTCTATATCTGAATAAGCTCACTCAAAATATTCACAACTTATGGATATATTTATACACAGGTGAATAGCGCGTTCCGGTGAATCTCCACACTGTATGATCACATTTGTTAAACTTAAAAATAGGTATTTCTTCACGATTTCTTCCACATCCAGACCAGTTTTCACAGGTGCTGCAGGTACATTCACGTCGATCGAAATCCTCAACCATGCCTTCTGTTTGACATACGCTTTGTTCTCATTCGTTGTCTTGAGATCGTGTACAACATTGATTGTAATAGTTTCTTACCCATGCCCTGGCATTTCAGTGTTGTTATTAGAGAATGTAGACGATCATGTTGTTGGGTTTGTTGTACAACATTGATTGTAATAGTTTCTTACCCATGCCCTGGCATTTCAGTGTTGTTATTAAGGAATGTAGACGATCATGTTGTTGGGTTTGTTGTACAACATTGATTGTAATAGTTTCTTACCCATGCCCTGGCATTTCAGTGTTGTTATTAAGGAATGTAGACGATCATGTTGTTGGGTTTGTTGTACAACATTGATTGTAATAGTTTCTTACCCATGCCCTGGCATTTCAGTGTTGTTATTAAGGAATGTAGACGATCATGTTGTTGGGTTTGTTGTACAACATTGATTGTAATAGTTTCTTACCCATGCCCTGGCATTTCAGTGTTGTTATTAAGGAATGTAGACGATCATGTTGTTGGGTTTGTTGTACAACATTGATTGTAATAGTTTCTTACCCATGCCCTGGCATTTCAGTGTTGTTATTAAGGAATGTAGACGATCATGTTGTTGGGTTTGTTGTACAACATTGATTGTAATAGTTTCTTACCCATGCCCTGGCATTTCAGTGTTGTTATTAAGGAATGTAGACGATCATGTTGTTGGGTTTGTTGTACAACATTGATTGTAATAGTTTCTTACCCATGCCCTGGCATTTCAGTGTTGTTATTAAGGAATGTAGACGATCATGTTGTTGGGTTTGTTGTACAACATTGATTGTAATAGTTTCTTACCCATGCCCTGGCATTTCAGTGTTGTTATTAAGGAATGTAGACGATCATGTTGTTGGGTTTGTTGTACAACATTGATTGTAATAGTTTCTTACCCATGCCCTGGCATTTCAGTGTTGTTATTAGACAATGTAGACGATCATGTTGTTGGGTTTGTTGTACAACATTGATTGTAATAGTTTCTTACCCATGCCCTGGCATTTCAGTGTTGTTATTAGACAATGTAGACGATCATGTTGTTGGGTTTGTTGTACAACATTGATTGTAATAGTTTCTTACCCATGCCCTGGCATTTCAGTGTTGTTATTAGACAATGTAGACGATCATGTTGTTGGGTTTGTTGTACAACATTGATTGTAATAGTTTCTTACCCATGCCCTGGCATTTCAGTGTTGTTATTAGACAATGTAGACGATCATGTTGTTGGGTTTGTTGTACAACATTGATTGTAATAGTTTCTTACCCATGCCCTGGCATTTCAGTGTTGTTATTAAGGAATGTAGACGATCATGTTGTTGGGTTTGTTGTACAACATTGATTGTAATAGTTTCTTACCCATGCCCTGGCATTTCAGTGTTGTTATTAAGGAATGTAGACGATCATGTTGTTGGGTTTGTTGTACAACATTGATTGTAATAGTTTCTTACCCATGCCCTGGCATTTCAGTGTTGTTATTAGACAATGTAGACGATCATGTTGTTGGGTTTGTTGTACAACATTGATTGTAATAGTTTCTTACCCATGCCCTGGCATTTCAGTGTTGTTATTAAGGAATGTAGACGATCATGTTGTTGGGTTTGTTGTACAACATTGATTGTAATAGTTTCTTACCCATGCCCTGGCATTTCAGTGTTGTTATTAAGGAATGTAGACGATCATGTTGTTGGGTTTGTTGTACAACATTGATTGTAATAGTTTCTTACCCATGCCCTGGCATTTCAGTGTTGTTATTAGACAATGTAGACGATCATGTTGTTGGGTTTGTTGTACAACATTGATTGTAATAGTTTCTTACCCATGCCCTGGCATTTCAGTGTTGTTATTAGACAATGTAGACGATCATGTTGTTGGGTTTGTTGTACAACATTGATTGTAATAGTTTCTTACCCATGCCCTGGCATTTCAGTGTTGTTATTAGACAATGTAGACGATCATGTTGTTGGGTTTGTTGTACAACATTGATTGTAATAGTTTCTTACCCATGCCCTGGCATTTCAGTGTTGTTATTAGACAATGTAGACGATCATGTTGTTGGGTTTGTTGTACAACATTGATTGTAATAGTTTCTTACCCATGCCCTGGCATTTCAGTGTTGTTATTAGAGAATGTAGACGATCATGTTGTTGGGTTTGTTGTACAACATTGATTGTAATAGTTTCTTACCCATGCCCTGGCATTTCAGTGTTGTTATTAAGGAATGTAGACGATCATGTTGTTGGGTTTGTTGTACAACATTGATTGTAATAGTTTCTTACCCATGCCCTGGCATTTCAGTGTTGTTATTAGAGAATGTAGACGATCATGTTGTTGGGTTTGTTGTACAACATTGATTGTAATAGTTTCTTACCCATGCCCTGGCATTTCAGTGTTGTTATTAAGGAATGTAGACGATCATGTTGTTGGGTTTGTTGTACAACATTGATTGTAATAGTTTCTTACCCATGCCCTGGCATTTCAGTGTTGTTATTAAGGAATGTAGACGATCATGTTGTTGGGTTTGTTGTACAACATTGATTGTAATAGTTTCTTACCCATGCCCTGGCATTTCAGTGTTGTTATTAAGGAATGTAGACGATCATGTTGTTGGGTTTGTTGTACAACATTGATTGTAATAGTTTCTTACCCATGCCCTGGCATTTCAGTGTTGTTATTAGAGAATGTAGACGATCATGTTGTTGGGTTTGTTGTACAACATTGATTGTAATAGTTTCTTACCCATGCCCTGGCATTTCAGTGTTGTTATTAGAGAATGTAGACGATCATGTTGTTGGGTTTGTTGTACAACATTGATTGTAATAGTTTCTTACCCATGCCCTGGCATTTCAGTGTTGTTATTAGACAATGTAGACGATCATGTTGTTGGGTTTGTTGTACAACATTGATTGTAATAGTTTCTTACCCATGCCCTGGCATTTCAGTGTTGTTATTAGACAATGTAGACGATCATGTTGTTGGGTTTGTTGTACAACATTGATTGTAATAGTTTCTTACCCATGCCCTGGCATTTCAGTGTTGTTATTAAGGAATGTAGACGATCATGTTGTTGGGTTTGTTGTACAACACTTTTCTACTCTTTCAGTATGTTTAGTCTGTTTGATCGGACTCTTGCATGCGCTGACAACACTTTCATCAAACAGGGTTTTCTTCCTTTATCATAGTTTCCCTCTAGGAAACAAATTTTGTAATAACAAGAAAATATTAACATTCTTGTGATGGGAGTTTCGTGTAAACAGCTGTGAGATGCGTTTGTCATTCTTTGCCTCGGCCATCATGTCATCCAAAATAGGTTTTACCACTCCCACTTGGACCAACGCTCACTACATTAGAAGGGATTGTAAACTTGAAGGCGTCAGCTGGTGAATTTTCGAGTTATGAAAGATGTGTATTTATGTTTATGTATATTTATCACAACAGAAGTGGTATAAGTAGGACTTTAGTGTGGACGTAGTTATTTGCAATGACAAATGTATATTATCGGAATCCTAGATGCTATTTTGAGACACTGTTCATTATAATGCTGACATACCAATATTTATTTACCGGTACTATTGTATACTTATTTCCAGTATAAAGCTGGGATAACAAACAATTTTAATTTATTGTAGAAGTACTTCTTGTATTACTTTTTGTTTGAAGAATGTTCATTGTAGTTTTGCTGAACATTTCCAGTGACTTGCAAATATTTATATTTATGTATTATTATTCATAGAGAACATGAACTGTACAACCAATAATAATATATACTGTGATATATTACTGTTTTCATGCTGAATAACTTGGCGAAATGGATCATTCGTATGTAAACAGCACTCTGAACAGTAAACGTAATATATTTGTATGTACCAAGATCAGTTTTATCAAACTAGTAATGAAGTACTTGTTAAACTTTCTCCTGCTATCTATTATTATGTAGAATTATGTGAGAGTACATATTGACTGTTGGCGATTGACTACACGATACTGACTCGGTGACATAATGACATGTTTACAATGTATAAAGTGTATAAATTGTATATAATGTATATATTTACAATGTATAAAGTGTATAAATTGTATATAATGTATAAAGTATATAAAGTGTGTAATCTGTATAAAGTGTATATAGTTTATAAAGTGTACAAAGTGTATAAAGTGTATATAGTTTATAAAGTGTATACATTGTACAAAGTGTATAAAGTGTATATAGTTTATAAAGTGTATACATTGTACAAAGTGTATAAAGTGTATATAGTTTATAAAGTGTATAAAGTGTATACATTGTACAAAGTGTATAAAGTGTATATAGTTTATAAAGTGTATACATTGTACAAAGTGTATATAGTTTATAAAGTGTATACATTGTACAAAGTGTATTAAGTGTATATAGTTTATAAAGTGTATACATTGTACAAAGTGTATAAAGTGTATATAGTTTATAAAGTGTATACATTGTACAAAATGTATAAAGTGTATATAGTTTATACAGTGTATAAATTGTACAAAGTGTATAAAGTGTATATAGTTTATAAAGTGTATACATTGTACAAAGTGTATAAAGTGTATATAGTTTATAAAGTGTATAAAGTGTATATAGTTTATAAAGTGTATACATTGTACAAAGTGTATATAGTTTATAAAGTGTATACATTGTACAAAGTGTATAAAGTGTATATAGTTTATAAAGTGTATACATTGTACAAAGTGTATATAGTTTATAAAGTGTATACATTGTACAAAGTGTATAAAGTGTATATAGTTTATAAAGTGTATACATTGTACAAAGTGTATATAGTTTATAAAGTGTATAAATTGTACAAAGTGTATAAAGTGTATATAGTTTATAAAGTGTATACATTGTACAAAGTGTATAAAGTGTATATAGTTCATAAAGTGTATACCTTGTACAAAGTGTATACATTGTACAAAGTGTATAAAGTGTATATAGTTTATACAGTGTATAAATTGTACCAAGTGTATAAAGTGTATATAGTTTATAAAGTGTATAAATTGTACAAAGTGTATAAAGTGTATATAGTTTATACATTGTACAAAGTGTATAAAGTGTATATTGTTTATAAAGTGTATAAATTGTACAAAGTGTATAGTGAGTTTTTCTTTTTTTGTCTATACCAAAGTGACAAGTGGACTAGAGAAACTAAAGCGTGGACAAAGGTACGGCACCGCAGGATTTTCAATATATGTGAATTAGACTAAATGCAGTTTCAACAGAAGCTAGAACAGGTGTATTCCATCGCGAGTGTTTGGGATTAACTGAGAGGTATTTCTTGTTTCCTGGAAAACGTTTGAACCGGTTGTGAGATTGTGTATTGTGATAAAAAACTGCAATATGGTACACAAGTAGGTTGTAGTCAGGTACTAAACATATTTGTATGATTTGAGCCGGGGCACAATTTCCTTTTGATACACATTTGTTTATATGCCATTGGTTTTGCCGAAGAAACTGTTTTTTATCATACACCATAATTTAAATAATACATAGACATAATTTAGAAGTGAGATATGTTTTGTTATATTTCAATTGTTTTAATACGTACAGTTGTTATAGTGATACATTTGCTCAAGCCAACAAACGGAAAGAAAGTATTGTGTATTTAGGAGCTTTCATTATGTTATGCTGCCTTGGACCTGAGCATTGTCCGCAGTCACCAGCTGAGAGGCAGAGGGCCACATGACCCCTTATCCATAATTGTTTGTGGAAGAGGAATGTAATGTTTAGAACATAAAGTGGGAAGCCGATTTGGGTGCTGAAAGGCTGTAACTGACGGTTTCGTGTAGGTTAACCCGCCGACTTCGATAGACATGCATTCAAGATGCATGGTGTTTTCCGACCTTGGTAATTTATGCGGTGTATTATTAATTATTTGATTTCCCATTGTTAACACTGACACATATGTATGTTAGTGATAATGTAGAGATATTTCATGTTGTATGTAGAGTATTTACACTCGCGTCAGACTCGCTGACCTATTTTAAGCGCGGGGATTCCCCGATATTGCACCACGCATTGAAATAACCAATCAAAATGCCACCCCGTCCGTCTCTTCAGTCCCTGGTGATGCGGCTCTCTCATTATCCACCCGACATATAATGACGGGGGGATATAGCCATCAGTATGTCCGTCCGCCCGCCCGTCTGTAATCATTGTTTGTCCGGAGCACATTTCCTAAAGCGTACAACCTAGCTTCACCAAACTTTGTACACTTACCAATCAGGCTGAGTAGAAGTGCCTCTTGCTATTTTGAGATTTTTACTGGTCAGATCACAAGATCACCTGGATAGCCATTCATAAATGATGGTAGGCTTAAATAAATACTATTGCCGTATACATGCAATAACATTTTTTTCTAAGGTGTACTATTTACCGATATCATATACTATATATGATGTGAGCTACATAACCTAGTAAATTTCATGAGATCACCAGAAAGTGAGCTACATGAACCAATATTTAATAACCTTCATTATATTTCTGGTTTTGGCATCAAGGAAAAACATTTCCTTGCCAATCTAATTACATTTGAAGGTACACACAGTTTACCGACATGCCACGTCAGGGGGATATGTCATCTTCAGATGACTCTTGTTTTCACTACTACTCACTCGTTTTATACCGTAGGTTCGAAGATATGCATCACATATACACCTTGACACATATTAACGCAAGATTTCGGTTTCTGCATTGCTGTCGTTTTGCGGGGCCACTCCATCTGTCAATTATGTACACATGGGGAGGATGAAATATGCAATTTGATCTACCTACTGGCACGTCACTTTCACGAAGGAACGCTAAATTAACATTGGGGCCACTTACCTGGCAGCACTGAACACTTGTCGCCTCTAACTAACTCACTTACTACCAGTGTTTCGAAGGTATGCACAACATTCAAAATGGTTGCACAGCAGTAGTCATCCTATTGCCTGAATAACAATACTGTTCTGAGAAAACCTCCGACGACGTCATGGCAGTGCCCATAAATGGATGTCTAGCTTCGATTTAGTCGCTGTGCGCATAGACTATATCCGTTATCCAGACCCAACATTTCCGATAAAACAACATCGGAATCGTCCCAATACAAATAATCTGACATCGTGTTAGCAGCGTAATTGAAATAAGAATGACTGACAAACACATAGAAGGCATATATAACGGACGTGTTTTTATTACATACGTGAACATGTAAAATGTACATGCACATGGCGTTCTCGTGTAGTGAAATTCTGACACGCGCTATTATCCGGAAGTTTGGGTAACTAAGGAAGTCGATAAACTAGGCATTGCGCAAGCGCCAGATGACCTGTTACGTGCTGTGTATGCTGTACACATGTCTGGATAGTCACAGCCAACTCTGGTGGAAGCATCAACGTTTATTAGAACTTGCATGGCTGCATCTCTTGTCACAAGAGTGCATACCACGTAACATGACCAACGTTCGACCACTCTCGCCTCACGACAGGGGGGTCTTTCACATGCGTTGTCGATTGGCTCGCATCGATGCATTTAGCCTAACAATGGCTGTCGATAACCTATTAGTATATTTGTACAAGTATTACTGGGCGTGGCGTGCCTAAAATGGCACCTTGACAAAACAAGGTCGTCTCATTACATTAATTGCACTACGCAATATATTCAATTATTATGCATCAAAGTGAGATTGACCAATCAGAGAGACGAACTACTGACCCCACATGAGCCCGTATACTGTCAGTAAAAATCCAAGATGGTTGATACTGACCTTATGAGACCGTATACCGTCAGTAACAGCCATCTTGGATTTCCAACACACCCCCTCACATATTACACATGGAAATGCTGGTACCGAAATTCGTTATTTGATGGTGTTTTGTGTTTTACTATCATTAAGTGTGATGTGGAAGGACATAAATCTGTTTTTTAGATCACATTCGTGACTTTATTGTTAAGGATTATAGTTACAGTTTTCAACACGGTTTGGCCTCTAAGGGTTGAAGAGTGGTCTCCCTTTGACATCAGCACGGGCTGTCAAACACTTAGGAGCACGGATAAGGAAATCTCTGATAAAAGGCAAAATGTGCGATATGGATACCAGAAAGTGTAAACTTTTCGGCATAATAAATTTGTGATGGTGTCTTTAGTTGCCGTATATACAGTGTCATATTAGGTTAGCGGGAAAATATTGGGTGAGGCTGCTGACGCCTCGAGACAACAAATTGTGACTGATCTTTTTGGGGGCGGTAGTGTCATGGTGTGGGGCTGTATCACACATGACAGGCGAACTGATTTGATTACCGTATTCGACGTAATAAGCGCCGTCTCTTACAGTCTCTAATCATCATTACATCTTCAATGTCATTTCATTAGGTCCAATATTTTGGGGTTGGTAGTATACATAACAAATAATCCACTACACTGTAGCTCCTCTGGAAATGTAGTCATCAGGTAAAAATGTCAAAAAAGATAGCCACGTCAAAAAGTTACTGTCAGTGTACATAATGAAAATTGGATTCGAAACTCTTGAACAAATTGGTGTGCAATCATTGGCTGGAACAAGCATGTGAAGTTTGAGCTTCATTAGTCCAGTGGTTTCTGAAGAAGTGACGTTTATAGTGCAAAGAACTGCATTTTTGTGAGAATTTAGGAGCAATGGCAAACTGCAAAGCTCAAATCAAGGTCAAAATTTGAAATATGGTGAAAAAATAGAACGTGTGTTGAGCCCCACAAATAACTTCACACACCAATTTCATTATATCTTTATAAAAAAAATAATACAAGTTACTCCTTGCAGTAATGAAAAATGGAAAGGTCAGAATTTACAATATCACAAAACATCCAGGAGATATATGTTCAGCCCTACTACTAACTACAATATACCAAATTTGAGAACAAGAGACTGAGTAATGGCTATAATAGCTTTTTCATTATGGCTGTTATGGCATACTGAAAGTAAGATTCAAACCTCGGAGTGAGCAAGTTGGGTTTAACGTCCCTTTGAACAGTATTCCAGTGATTTATATCACGGTCTGTCAGCTTGATGTGTGAGATGCAGGACTCTGACGTTTACCACTTTGGTGTAATTCACGAGCACGGGTATGGTGGTGACAAACCTAGAAACATAATCAGGGCGAACAGGGCCAAACCTCTTGAACAAATTGGGGTGTCATCATGTAGGAACAAGTATGTGAAGTTTCAGCTTGATTGGTTCAGTGATGTGCGAGGTGAGCTAAAAAACTCTTGGTGGGCTAAAAAGCAACACACGTTATTATAACATTAATCCAAAGCTTATGTTCCATTTCAATGTGTAGAGATGCTGTAGACAAAATAGCATAAGATAACAACATGCTGATTATGTCAATCATTGACATGTCGGACATGAATTACCAGCTGAAAACAATTCTTACATGGGCACAGGAATTCTGGTCCTTTACCAGCATGAACAGAAAAGAAAAGCCCCACTAGGAATATCTTTTATTTTCATAAATCATACATAGCTTATGGACATTCACGCTTAGCATGCTGTAACCATGGTAACAGTGAGACAGACCATATCAATGGGAAATAGTTTCTAACATTTGGCAAGTTACATTTCAAATTCATATAATAAGTCAAGCTTATTGCAGCATTTGAAAAAAGACATATACTGGACAGACGTAAGTTCATGGTCCAATCCAACATTTGTCCATCTCACACAGGAAAGTAGAGAATCCAGACTTTGGCAGTCAGTTACTTGTGAGTTTGATGTAATGCCACTTTGAAGAGTACTCCAGTTTTATCAGTGTGTCATCTGTGAGGAAAGTCTGCAGTGATGCAAGTCCTACACAATTACACATTCTGGTGAAACCCATGAGCATGGGTCAAGGGCTTACAAACCAGGGATCATCATTGGGATTCAAACCCATAATCAGCAGATCCTGGAAAAGCCAAGGGACATTACTCTGCACTGTAACAATAGTTCATCAGACCTATGCCCCTGCACATTAGCACAGGCTAGGCAATAGTGTTGAAAACAGGCTGACAGACACTTGATCATGTCTCATCACCTTTTTACAAATACATGATTCAAAGATATTTGAAGACCTAAGCAGCACAGCATAAATCTCATACATAAACTACTGTCACATGGTCAAATCCATAGAACTCTCTCTGAACATAAAACAACAACAAATATACAAATAACTTGATATCAGTGAGTATCTGCAAGTTCCTTATTCTCCGCATCTATCCATCACCACTGATCACACCCATCCCAAAACAATAAAAGTGTTGTTCTTTGTAAACAATGGCTAGTTGTCACACCTGCAATATTGATTATTCAATTATGATTCATAAAAAATCTTGTTTTTTAATTGACAGATAATATGAGAAAGGTTCCTAAACTTGCTGTTAATAATATTTCCATCCATGGTGATTAACCTGAAAGAGATCATCAATTGTTTACTGCATAGTGATCATGATTATTTTAATGACACCCAACAGTTAATTATGAAATGATGCAATTCTTAAAAGGTAAATGCCTTCAATAAAAAGCCTGTTGGCGTGTATCCCATCTTCCTGAGGCATGGGAGTAACAAACTTGAAAAGTCCAGTTATACCCTTGCTGAACCAGGCTGGAAATTCTGGGCTCGATCGTTGCGTGACCAGTGGCAATTACGAGTTGTGTCCCTTCTATGCCCTTCCTACTGACTAATCAAATTCCACCTCTCATATCACTTGCATTTGCTTAAATCAAAATGATGGCGCCCAGTCAAGATGATTTGAACGATAATCAAAATCTATATTGTAATAAAATGAATCTTTCCTTGCGAAATACATCAAATCATGTGATAAAAAACCTGAAAGGATTTGGAAAATATCTGTTGATGCCGAATTGGCGGTACGCATGCTTTGCAAATCCTGCAGTCGTCTGAAATCTGCATGGCAGTTTATGAACCGGTCAATTTCATAACGCGATTTTGATTAGACTATGCACAATTTGTTAGTCCTGCCAAAATAAAACTCCACAGTTCCAGCCTCGTTCAGCAAGGGTGGAAACTGGAATTTCATAGTCAGTTAACGCCCTTGCCTCAGGAAGACGGGTGTTTCAATGGTCCATACAAATCAGTCACTGTCGATAGCTTTGTCAATGGCCCCACTAAATAAATACCGGTATGTATTATATAAATGAATAAACTTTCTACAAATTGAAGGTCTGAAGGTCATCATCAGTCATTGCTAAAAGACTTCCAGACCATGCATCTATGAGATTTGTTGACAAAAATGGCAAACTGACACATATCAAATAAAAAAAAACATGGAACATTAAATGTACCATTCAAACGTGAATCCAGGACAATATCTGTCTTGCACAACTTTGTGTAATGTCATTCTTCTACTTCCTTCCTCTATAAACATTCTACAATGAAGTATATAAAATAGTTAATTTGCTAAAATTGCTGATTAAGAAGCTTGTACAATGACCTATGAATAGATTCTCCCTGCTTAGCACAAATAACTGTAGCATTCTGAGATTTGTTTGTGTTGTGAACATAGAACTTAATGACCTTGCTGAATATAATCAATATTGTAAATTTAGAACAGTGAGGCTAAAAAGAATAACAGTTTTGGTTCTCAGGCACTGCCTGCATCATCATAAAGTCTGCCACATGTTTCGTTTTTATTTCCATTTTCCCAAACAAACAAAAATAAAAATTCCAATACTTATTTAAAAAATGCAATCAAATATAGCACACAGTTACTTCCCTTTACATGCACACTGCTTTACTGCGCATCTCGTGTTAGGGTCATGGCAGCAATAGCAAATGCTTGTTTATGTATGGAGGCCCCTTCCCAGGTTGATGGTACACAATTGTTTATTTTGTTACATACTACTGGTAGTTTGAAGAGGCAGAATAAAAACACCACCTGCCTGCACAATATTTTCAAAAGTCATTGCCTGAGAACCAATTCTTTTATTTTTTAAGCCTACTATATGATTTTTGGATTGCAC